ACAGTTTAACATGAAGTAGATTATAACAGTTTAACATGAAGTAGATTATAACAGTTTAACATGAAGTAGATTATAACAGTTTAACATGAAGTAGAATATAAAGTATACTTTTATAGAATTATGACGTGGAATAAATTTATAAATTTATACAAGTAAATGGTTAGTCAGCGTCGTGCTGGGCGAGTAAGTTTGGCATCCCCCAACAGGAATAGCCCAAGGATTTGGCAATATAACATAAACCTTCGGTTTCAATTCCATCATAACCTTCGAATCTCTCCCAAGTGGTACCAATGATGTAATTGGGAGGGAAAACCACACCTTGTTTATAGATGATTGATTTAGCGAAAAGAATGGCACCGCCAACCGAATCCAAGGGCACCAAATAAGTTTCCAGGGTAGAAACTGGATTCTCAACAAACGACTGTAAATGAAACATATTTTCGGTAACGTCTCTAGGAACATAATCCCAATTATCCCAATCATTCTGATTCATTTTCTCTAATTGATTTTTGGTTGGTTTTGTTCTTTCACCTCTCCAAGAATTCTTATCATAATCGGGATTTTCAGCTCTAGCAATTCTGGGAACCAAAATATCCTTTTTCAGATTAATAAAATGATGAATCATTTTCGGATGATCAATAGAAACAATATCAGAATCAATAAATAAAGTATAACGTTCATTGGCTAATCCATTAAACAAATTGAAATTACGGGATCTAGCAATTTGTCTTCTTCTTTTCCTCTGGACTTTATCATCATGTCTATTAGCGCGATCTTTCATACTAAAATCTTTTTCAATAAACGGTGCAGTGATTAAATTAACTTTATAAATTTTAGCTTCAAAATCACTATTAAAATAATTTTTAAAGAAGAAATCAATTTTTTTAAATTCTTCTTCATCTCCCACCAAGAAACTCAAACTTATTAATTTCAAATCATAATCAAAACCTTTAATTGTTTGAAACAAATCTTCAAATCTACGTTGCTTACCATACGATTCTTGATTTCCGATGGTTGATAATATAACTAAAGTATTTTCTTGTTCATCATAATTATTGATTTGTTTATTAATAAACTCAATTTTTTTATAATCAAATTGTTTATCATCATGATACTTCCTCTCATAAAATGGTTTTTCAGTTACACTGAACGGTTTAATGGGTTCAATGGCCGAATTCAATTGGGTAATACTTATTATTATAAGTACACTAATTATAACCCCAACCACCAAGGGTAATTGTTTCCTATTCATTGATTTAATGGAATAAAATAATTTAAAATCCCCTTGACTTTTCCGGTAATTAAATATAAAACTCGCCAATTCTTTTTTTAACTCTTTTGTTCTAATTTATCTCTATTTATCTTTAATTGTTTTTGGTTCGGTTCCGCAGTTTACTTACGTTTATGGTATTACGAGGTTCCTCCTCACTGATCCAGGAACGTGGGTATGTCTGTCTCCTTTCCTGGTAGTGCTAATACACACCTTCCTCTGCCCAGTTTATTCCTTTGGTGACGGTAGCCAGCAAATATCCCATTAGATGAACACTAGCTGGACGTCAGCTTAGCCTCCCTGATAAACCGTTTCTGTCAAGACCAAAATCCGCCTCAACACATAACCTCTACCACGTGCAACCTGCAAATCGAGCAGCGTAACCTGCAGTATGTGTAAACTGTAAACCCCTGTGCCATAACCCGCAAACTTTGTAATCTGCAAATTGAAAATATAAACTGTAACTTATGTAATCAAAAAAAAGAAAGAGGTACGGAGGTGGAACTCGATGAGATGATTTCAAAAAAATTATCATTTAATACCCTATCGACTACAGTCACCAAGCATGGCACCTAGTTATAAATCGGATAAATACGTGGGAGACGTGGACTCGGACTCAGACCATGAAATAGAGTTTGCTCCTCCCAAACACTACCACCAAGTAGACGCATCCAAGAAATTCAAAAACCAAATCAATGATAATAAGGAAATTTGGCTCATTAAAACTCCAAAAAATTTCCCAATTTCAAAATTAAAGTCATTACCGGTTAGTTTTACTTCTACATCAATTACAAATGGACCCAAGACTTTTGATCTCGGAGAGAAAAACTATCAGGTGAATGAAGAAAACTTATCAAATAATGAAGAAGTACGTAAATACTCATTAATTGCTAATAGAAAAATCGTTTCCAATAAAAAAATCGATAGATTTTATCACATTAGTGAATACGTCAACATTCCTAAAATCAACTATGACCAAGTTAAAACTCCAAGAGAAAATGTTAAAGTCATTGAAAATTTAAAAATGAGACATTTCCCAACCGGTTACAGTTCTAATGATTACAATTCTAATGATTACAATTCTAATGATCACCAAGATGAAAAAATTCTTAAAAAAACTAAAATAGAGAAGAAAGAAAAGAAAGAAAAGAAAGATAAAAAGAAGAAAAGTAAAAAAGATTAGCATTTTGTATATTAATAAATTTTTTGTATAAAGAAACCCTCTTAATTGTAAGCTGGTGCGAACCAATAAAATTATCAAAACTTTTGCTTATTCATTAATCTCATCTTAATCTTTAAATATGGGGAATAAAATCTCTAAGCAAAGAAAGTTGGGGGATACCATCACCAAGGCAACCAATATCAACCGTTCTAATATTAATCAACTTCCTTCTGAACAGTTGAAAATTCAATACGAACAAAATCAGCAATCATCCCAACCACCTCCACCAACCGTCGATGAAAGTTTAAACCAAAAACCCCTTAACCCGTCCCAAATACCTAAATTCGATGCCAAATACCTCTCTAAAAAACTAAAACAAACCCCTGAAGGTAAAGATGGGTTTGACCCTCAAGTAGAAAAAGAATTTAATCCAAATTTTGTAAATTCAATTAATCATTTGGGTAAGCAAATTAAAAGTCACGACTTGAAATCAAATCTAAATCCAAATAATATCGCCTTGAAACAATTAAGTAACCGTAAATCCTTATTTGAAAAAGGTGAAAAAGAATTAGAAAGTCAAATGAATCAAACTGATCGTTCTTCAATTAAAAGATCAATGATCCATCCAAGAACCTTAACTGCTATTTTAAATGACTTACATGATTCCAGAGTATCTAAGGACCAAATATTAAAAGATTACCAACTAGATGACCATTTCTTAAACAATTTGCACAATCGGTTCAAAGTTGCTTCTAATATTGTGGTTATCGAAGAAGAGGCTTCTCATGACCAAATTGCTCCTAAAAACTCAACTAAACGTTTTGATGATAACTTAATCGATTATAATGGTCAACTAAATGAAAATTTGGATAAACAAAAATTGAAAAATTTACAAAATAGATTAAATTAATTATGTATATAGTAGTATAAAAATATATAAAGCTCCGATTCGCAGAAATCAATCCTTCAACTACTCTCGTTCTTTAATTCAACCATGTCAAAGCTTTCTCCTAAATCGGTTATTACCACCTTATCGAAATACTCTCCTTGTGATGTTTCTGATTCCTTGGTTAAACACGGAATCGCCAACGGTGGCTACATTCCTAATTTGCTGATTCGCTCTCCCCAGATTTTGAAAAATTCGGTTGTTGGTAAAGCTTACACCGTTTTATACGCTCCTAAATCTGATCCTAGACCTGCAGTTAAACAATCTTATGTTGATGAAATCCCAGAAGATGCTATGGTGGTTATTGGTTTACCTTTAAATCAACAATTGACTTCTGCCCCTTACGTAACGGTAAATAATGCCTTGTATGGAGGTTTGATGTCTACTAGAGCCCAATATCGTAAAGCAAATGGCTCAGTCATATTAGGTCGTATCAGAGACTTAGATGAACACCTCAACTTGAACTTCCCCGTTTGGTCCTATGGCGTGGGTAGTACTCAAAATGGCCCGGTGGTTAAGGTTGTTGGTATTAATGTCCCGTTGCAAATTAAGGTCAATTCCATCAACGCAGACGATCCTCCAGAAATTCTCACCATTCAACCTGAGGAATACATTGTTGCTGATAAGAATGGAGCTGTCAGAATACCAAATCAACAAGATTTGGATTTCGATTCCGTCTTGGACTATATCCCCAAAAGAATCGACGCCGACGAACACGTAAGAGAGGACATCACTAACGGGAAAAACTGCTCAGAGTCCCAGAAATACTGGCGTAGCAAGATCTAATCTAGAATGTACACCTATTCTCTTATAATAGCTTTGTAGTATAGTTTGATAGCTTTGTAGTACTGATTGAATAGATTAGGACAGTCACACCCGTGCACCGCGATTTGGCTACGAGCAAACCTCCTTTAAAAAAGGAGTAATAACCTGGGGATATAGAACTCTTTCTTTATCAATTGACAGAACACTAATTCTAGTATCGGTGTTGGTATTGGAAGTTCTCGATAGTACTGTGAAGCTGAAACGTTTTGATTTTTTTTCCCTTTGCTGTTTAATCTAAGTCTTTGATCATGCCGGTTGATTTATCAATGGATATTGCCGCTAATGATGAAGAATCCAATGGTTTTGATGAAAGATCTTCATTAAGAGTCTCCTTAATCGGTAATAAAGACTTAAAGTATAAGATTTTAAGGGACGCTGAACAACTTAGTATCCTAGTCAATGATTTTGACCAATTGACTGCAAAAATCATTGCTAAAAGTTCGGAAGAGTTGGTTGAAGCTGATACGTTGATTAGTGACCTAGAAACAAGTTTGGTTATATTGAAAATATTGATAACGTTTATATCGGAAATCAAATTCAGTGAAAAATTCGAATTAGAACCAAACTTGAAAAAATTTAACCAATTAATAAGTCCAATTAATAAAATATTGAAATATTATATGAAAGTTTTATTACCCTTGGTTTATTATACATCAGTTGATTTGGTTCAGAAATTTGAAAGTATTGTTCGATTTAGTTTGGAGATTTTCATTAGTTTAAACAATCTTCAACATTTCAATTTACATTTTGATGATGAATCGGGTTTAAATGATTTATGGAAATTTGTTACTTCTTTGCTTATTTTAACTGATGGGAGTCTTTCGGCCGACCAAAATGATTTCAATCCAATCATATCTTCAAATTTGTTATCTTGTCTGTTGAAATTAGTTCCTTTATTATTATCAAAGTCAGCAGAAAATCCCCATACTAATCGATTAATGATTGGTTTATTATCAGTTTTATTGAAAAGATTAGAAAATGAATGTGACTTGATTTGTAAATTTCATTTACCAAACTTAACTAATAATGAATTTGATTTTTTTTTGAAAGATTTAACTTTTAAAAATTCGAAATTACCAAATATTGAACCTAATTATGATTTTTTCAATTCAAAAATAAATTTGTCTTTATTAATTGATTTGATAACTTCAATTGGTCAAATATTTAGTCAATTTAATGATTCAAATGATCATTTGATTATGATTATTCCAAATACTTTTAATAATAATTCAAAATCTCCCACCATAATATTATCAAATAAGATATATTTCACTTTATTATTATTATTAAAATTTGATAATAAATATTTAAATTTAGTTTCCTTAAATTTAATCCATTTTTATCTTAATAATTTTTTAAAATTTAATGAACCAACTAAAGAAATTAAACATGAAATCATAAAAAATTATAGAAAAATATTACCAAGAATAATAGATTTATTAGATTATGAATTTATAAATTGTCAAAATGAATTAAAATATTATAATCGATTAACAATTCCCAAATTTTTGAAAAGCCCAATAAAAATTTTAACGATATTAACAAAAGGCTTTAAATTCATAAAAGATGAAATTAGAAGATGTAATGTGGATTATAAAATATTAAATAATTTGGGGATTTTAGTTAAAAGTGATTCGTCTTTAGAAAATATGTATCTTTTGAAAAAATTAAGTGAAAATGGTAAAAAAATGGTTAATTTCACTTTGTTAATTGATCTAGAGAATAATCAAAAAAATTTGAATAATAATATAAGTAAACTTAATAAAACTTCTAAAATTGAAGGTTTATTTTTCAAAAACGATCAATTAGAAAACTTGAGTGATTATTTATTACTTTTAAGTATTTATGTTAGTGAAGATGAAGAATACCGTCATCGAATAGTTGATTATCAATTTCAATCAGGCCCAAAAAATTTGTTAGCCCAATTAACTTTTGAATTGATTGATAATTACCGATTTTTATTGATTCAAATCCAAATTGTTTATAATATACTTTATAATAAAAATGGGTCCTTGAAAATTAAAAATGAAAATGATTTAAATTGGTTTGGGAAAAATTTAGGAATCATCTTTACTATAATAAATCATGAATTTTATTATAGTATATTTCATTTAATAAGATCATTATCCAGATCCGTGTCAACGTTAAGAACTTTTTTCGTTGAATGTAATTCATTTGCAAGTATATTGGATTTATCTAATTTTTCGAATAGTGAACTGGTTGTTAATGATAATGGGATTGGAGAGCCTTTAGTTACAACCACAAATCTTACTTTAAATGAAAATCATAAATATGTTAGAGAAGGGTATCCCACAAGTGGAAGTTTTATTAGTAGCATATTACATATATTAAAAATTAATGAAGAAAGTGAAAAAGTGATGAAATTTTTCATCAAAGATGAATTACAAGATTTGAATAATAACTTCAAAATTAATAATTCAACTAATAAGTTATTAATTTTAGGATCAATTGCAAATTTTGTTTTAGAATTTGGATCTTTCAGATATGACGTTGTCAATGATGAAAATTTTTTGAAAAATTTAAATCTGATTTATGAAAATTCACTTCAACCAAGTAAAAATTATGCTGATTATTATTATAATCAATATATTCAATTAACTATATTTCAAATATTGAAAAATTATTCGTATAATGAAAATGAAGAGAATAAAATGGAATTGCTTTCATCGATTTCAATAAATGCAATATTTGAAAAATCGTTATACGGACTTCATAATGAAATCAATGAATTCGAGGAGGAAAATCAAGAGGAAGTGGTTAGCATAAAGATTAAAACCAAGATATTATCATTTGATATTTTCCGAAATTTAACTGCTGGTTCGTTACATTTCAGCGAACAATTGAATAAGTTCTATCAAGAATATTATATGACAAACAAACCAGAATACGAGTTCAATAACCCGATTCCATCTACTTGGGAAAACTATTTAATCCAGAATATTTTAAATTTCGAACTTTTCACTGAGTATAATGAAAGCAATGAAGGTAAACTTGACAAATTTTTGAATGATGACGAATTGTTGGTAAAATTGCTATTAAACGAAGAATACGTCAAGTTCATCACCTCAATCAATTACATTGAAGACCATTGCTATACAAATATATCCAACTTCAATGAAGAAACCTTCCCGCTGAAAGAACTCATGAAGATTTGGAAGAGATTTATAACTTTGAGAATCGATAAATCAATCGAAAGAAGATTAATTAAAAATGATTTAAACTTAAAGATTGAATTAAATAATAACTTGAATGAAATTAGATTATCGATTAGCTGGATAATCATTAATTTAACTTATCAAAATGAAGAATTTGGTATCAATTACCCTGACAGTAACAATTATAAGTTATACGATATGATTAAAACCGGTTCACAATCGGAACGGTTATCTAGTGGGAAATACGGAATAGTAATTGAAGACAGCGATGAAGATGATACTCCCAAACCTGAATCTAACCAAGACTTGTTGAATGCAGAAACAAGAGCTAAAATCTTATACGAAGAAGGTTTTGTTCAAGCATTGAACAATTTATACTTTGAATTATCAAGTACCAAATCAGAAGAAATCAAACGATTTGATAGTATTAATAGTAATTCACTATTAGAAAAAATCAAATCAGCAATTCTACAAATCATATCTTTAGTAGATGTTGATTTGAATCAATTACAAGATAGTATTCCTCAAGGAGAAGACCGACAGAAAAAACGCAGAAGAAGTAGTAACATCATCACTTCAAGAGGAAGAAGAGTCAGTCATAATCCAGAATCGGCCTTGCCCATCATCTACTCGGGCACATTATCTAGAACAAGATACGAGTTAAACCGAGGTGGCGAAGGGTTTGGATACGGGTCGGACGAAGAGTACTTGGACGCGCAAGACCAACCCCAGGATCAACCAACAGCCAGTTCCAGTGCCAGTGAGAGCACCAGCCCCAGTGCTAGCCCTAGCGAGAGCGACGCTAGCTCCAGTGAAATCGAAGACGACTACTGGGTCAGATGAGCTAATCGATCACCCTTCGACAATAGTCTGATGACTAAGTCACTTGATCTCAGAAATAGTTAAATCGATCATCTACCTGAGATGTTCGGTTAAAAGTGCATACAAAATATTTCATCACCGGAATAATTCAACAATAAAACAACACCTGCCAAAAGAAAAGCGTTCCTTAGTGAACCAATCGGATTCTCACCGCATCTTGACGACCCTCCTCTATGCATCTTGATAAACGATGGCTTATTTCTAACCGACTCTACACCAAATAATCCAAACAATATTTCTTTCCTTATTATCGACCGTTTTTTTGGGTTACGTCACCCCTACATTCCTGTCTCCTCGCTCCATTGCACTTCTCTTCCTCCATAGCATATAGTAATACCACTCGTACCCTTCCTCTCCCTGTCCGTACTGCTCTGGTCCCTATTTCTCCTTGAGCCCATGCTCCAAAGCTCTGCTTTTGGCGAAGTCTTTCACCGGTTTTTTGCAAAGAGCAAAAAGAAACAATTGCCAATCCGATGTCCTGCACACAAAAAAGGCTCAATCAAACAAAAAAAAAAAAAAAAATGAGTGAGTTTTGTACATTTTTTCTTTTTCCTTTGGAAAATGAAAAAGATTTGGAATTGAATAACAAGTTTTCTTTATATTGGCCATAGTTTCTGTTGATACGCTGAGTAGAACAGAGGATTGGGTATTGAGAACAGCTGCTGGATCCAGGATAGTCAGGTTAGCCAAGTTGAGCTAGGTATACGGGGTTATCAGTTGGTAAATTAATAAGTTAATAAGTTGATAAATTAATAAATTTAATAAGTTGATAAGTAGATAAGTTGATAAGTTAATACATCAATAGGATAAACAATCGGTAATATGACGTCGCTTGAACCCAATGAAAATAGCATAAAGTCATTGAATGACATATCGCTAGAAGAAATGGCCCAGAGACAGCAACAACAAAACATTTATGTTTCGCCACCAGTGTTGGAGACCCAGAAGGAACAAGAACAGGAGCAGCAGCAGCTGCTGCAGCTGCTGCATCAGGTGCAACAGAATGAAAGTTCTATTTCTTCAAGATCATCTTCTAAGCATTTACATCGTGATACTACTACTAAAGGAAAATATTCACTTAATGATTTTCAAATCTTAAGAACTTTGGGGACTGGTTCATTTGGTAGAGTTCATTTGGCTAGATCGATTCATAACGGACGTTTTTACGCTATGAAGACTTTAAAGAAAGAACGAGTTGTTAATATGAAACAAGTTGAACATACAAATGATGAAAGAAGAATGTTGAAATTAGCTCAACATCCTTTCATCATTAGAATGTGGGGGACATTCCAAGATTGTCGTAATCTTTTCATGATTATGGATTATATAGAAGGAGGTGAATTATTTTCATTATTAAGAAAATCTCAAAGATTTCCAACTCCAGTTGCTAAATTTTATGCTGCAGAAGTTTTTTTAGCAATTGAATATTTACATCGTTTAGATATCATTTATCGTGATTTAAAACCAGAAAATATCCTTTTGGATAAAAATGGTCATATTAAACTTACTGATTTTGGTTTTGCTAAAGAAGTTAGTGATGTAACTTATACTTTATGTGGTACTCCTGATTATATCGCTCCTGAAGTAGTGGCTACTAAGCCTTATAATAAATCAGTTGATTGGTGGTCTTTCGGTATCTTGATTTTTGAAATGTTAACTGGTTATACTCCGTTTTATGATCCAACTCCAATGAAAACTTATGAAAATATCTTGAATGGTACCATTACTTATCCTGATTATTTACCTCCAGATATTTTAGATTTATTACAAAAATTAATCGTTAAAGATTTAACTAAACGTTTAGGTAATTTACAGAATGGATCAGATGATGTTAAAAATCATCCTTGGTTCAAAGAAGTCATTTGGGAAAGATTGCTCTCAAGAGATATAGAAACTCCTTACGAACCTCCAATCACCTCAGGGGTTGGTGATACCTCCCAATTCGATCGTTATCCTGAAGATAAAGAATTGGACTATGGTATTAGTGGAGTCGGTGATCCTTATGGAAGTCTATTCAATGATTTTTAAATTGGAGGAATAAAAAGCAAAAAAAAAACAAAAAAAAGATACAAAAAAGTAAAAAAAAAAGTACATCAGTTCAACCTTCATTTAATGACTTTTAATTACGCCTTTTCATTTCAGTTTCATTCTTTCCTTTATGCATTCATTCTTGCTCGTATAGATTGACCTTTTTTGCGTTTTGGTTCTCTAAGAAGATTTTTTTGCATCTATTTATATCTTGTATTATAAAAACTACAAACTTTTCATTATACTTTGTAAAATCTATTAATGTTACATACAAGTATCGATTGACCTCATCCAATCTCCTTTTACGAATTGTTCGGATGTTAATCTTGTTTCAGGATTTAAATCCAATAATTTATAAATGAATAATTTTCTTAATTCACATAATTCTTTTTCATCTTCATTTTTTAAATTATCGTCGACATCGAATAAAGTTTCAATTGGTTTGAATTTTCCCGCCTTTTTAATTAACCATTCTTTTGTTCTATAATCATAATCTGATAAGCAAGAGTTAGCAACGTATTCTGCAAATACTTTATCACGATATTTCCGTTCATTGTTTTTGGTGAAATGATGTTGTTTAACATCGGTATTTGTCCATAGATAAGAAGTTGAATATTCATTAAAAATATCACTTAAATTTTCATAATTTTTTGAATCATCATTAAAATAATTTTTTTTGATATTGAATAAAACAAGAATTAAAATACCTAATGCCCAAGAATCCTTTTTAATTGGAGAAAATCCTTTTGAATAATCTTTATTATTATAATTGAATTGATAAGGACAATATTCTTCTGGAGAAACAAAAGGTTCTGAACCTAATGGACCTTCATTAAATGGAGTGAAATGTTCTTTTGAGTCCCATTTTGTTCTGAAAACATTTGATTTACCAAAATCACTTAATTTTAAATTAATTTTTGAATGATTTTGATGGAAAGAATTGAAATCAAATTGAATTAAAATATTCTCTAATTTCAAATCATAATGAGCCACTCCGTGTTGATGCATATACCATAAACCTTTTGAAATTTGATTTATAAAACAATCAATTTCATTGAATGAAATATTTTTGTTGTCAAAAATCAAATTTTTAAGATAATCAAATAAATTACCTCCTGAAGTACATTTCATTACTTGATTAATCTTTAAATTTTCTTCATAAAATTTTGATGATTGAATATAATTTGAATCAATTGAATTTAATGGTGGTAATGTAATCATAAAATCGACTGACTTAACCAAATACTTGGAATTCAAAGTTGAAGATATTATAAATTCCGATAAAACTCGATCAATAAACTTCTTTCTTGATTCCTTTTCACCAATTTTTTTTTGTAATTCTTTAACTGCATAAAGAATATTACCATTTTTGAAATAGTCTAATTCTAATTTAGTTAAATTTGATTCTTCATCATCTTCTAATGCATTTGGATCAATGATTTTGATTAGTCCATAAGCTCCTTTCCCAATAACATGACGAACAATCCCATATCTTTGATATAGTGTTTTATTTTGTTGAACTAATTTATATTGTTTGGTTATATCATCATGTAAATCTAATAACTGATTTAATTTTTCAGTCAAGTTTTGAATTAGACTTAACTGATTTTCACTGATTACCGATTCTTCATTTTTCCCACTTGGTAATTGATGGATCTTAAAATTCGAGTCAATTAATGAAAATGTTCTCTTCAGTTCATCATTTGCTAATTTTTTCAATGAAACTATTGAATTTTCTTCACTTGTTAATCCACAATATCCCATCAAGTTATATATATGAGAACCGATGTTATTTGGATTATAATTCTTTGTTTTTAGTATAATTTCATGAGAATGATCTAATTCTTCATCTTCACTCAGTCCGTCCAGTTCATCCAGTCCGTCACTCAGACCACTCAGATCATAATCATCACTTGAATTCTCAAAGGAATTCTCATTGGCCTTCGCTATATCGTCCTCTATAATAGTACTTACTCTTTTTTTCAATCGGTTACTTTTGATTTGGGTGACTTCTTGTTCATTCACTGCATCATTTACTTTAATCGAATTACCAGCATCGTGGCTGTTTAGCCTAAATATCAGCTTCAACTTCTTATTTGAGCCAGAATCTTGTTTGGGAGAAGGACTAGACGCTAACTTCTTATCCTTTTTACTCTTAAATAACGGCATATCCACCAAGCTGCTTCTGCAATGGAATATCGGACTTGTCTAGCTTTTTTTCTGTTTCTCTTTTCATGCTTTGTTCTGACTCTCCACTCTATTCTCATTTGCATCCAACAACCGCTCCTTCTACTAACGGAAGTTGTCCTTGAACTATACTACTTCTTCTCTACATGTCCGGAGTCCTGACTACTGTTCATCTTAACTGCTTTGCTAGTTGCAAATCTTGACTAAACCTCCGTACATTTACACTTCATTTATTAACTTCAACACTCTTCACTCATACTTTTCGCTTACTAATTCTTATTCAACATTCTTACTATTCACTTCTTCTTTTAACCTGACTTACTTCTCACTTCACGTACCTTTCACTTGACTTACCTTTCACTTGACTTACCTCTCACTTGACTTACCTTTCGCTTGACTTTTTCACTTCTCTCTTCACTCGATGTAGCAACGATATGCGGTTCACGGCCGGCTGACCGGTGCTGAACTGACCGACTCAACCTCGTAAGTCCTGCCCTTTCCTTTTCCGGATTCCCCCGGTTCTGAAATCGGTCAATCGGCGCGCCGACCTGAAACACCCGTGCATTTTTGAGAGATTTTTCTCGAACCAAAGACCCGTACAGTTTGTGGTGGTCAGGTGATGTGGTGTACCGGTCTTACCCCTGAGGTTAATTTAGCCCGATTTGGATTGCAATCGAACTTACACAAAAACACGGGTCCCATATCTTTACATTTTCGCACCCCTCAAAACTTCTAAAAAAAAAAAAAAAAATCAAAAAAAATCAAAAACATCAACACATTTTAACCGCCCTCCGGATTTGAATACAAGCACCACATTTACTTGATTGGAAAAAGGCACATGTTTCATGGTGTTGACCGCCTATTCTTTTTAACTACACAATACGCGTACGCTGATAGCTCCGAAGAGTTTGAATGTTCTTCTCCCCTTGTGAACAAGGACTAACATCAATTAAACATCTCGATTAGTTCAGAATCTTTTCGAAATTATCTGTCATTTGCTTCTTTCTTTCTTTACTTATACTCTTTCTTTTCAATTGTGTTCGGTTCCCAATTGTTTATTACTTGCCGCTCGTCTTTCCAAGCTGCTGATTATTGCTCAAATCACCATCTCAACCTAAACTACTTTTTGGTTACGAATAGCTTAAAAGTTTGTTTGTTTTACTTTATCTATACGCTATACTTGCAAGATTGAGCTAAAACTAATCCCATTGGTAAGATCTAGTCAACTATTCATAGTCGCTCAGTCATCAGTTGCTCAGGTGCTCAGGTGCTCAGTTCCCCAACCACACATTTATCCAGGTATTCAGATATTCAGACATCTGAATCATCAGGCTGAATCAAGTCATTGAGGTTACCTTGACATTTTCTTTGTACGATTATCACGAATCGTCTTTTTTCAATTGAGCGAGAAAAAAAAAAAAAAGTACAGGTGAAAGAAGAACTCCATAAGGAAAAAAAAAATTATAGTAGAAAAGTTAGGAATCAACCATCAGCAACCTCCCAACTCAATACTATCCTCTCTATCACGTCTTTCCCATTCGTTAAACTTAGACTTTACCCACAAATCTTACTTCTGTTGTGGTAATCTTTCTCTCGCTGCTGCATTTCTTAAAATTGTTGTTTTTCTTGTTGTTCACTCGTTGCTGATTTGATATTTTGAATCTTTGATTTGATTTTGGTTCTTGTGTTCTTTATTTGTTTCCTTTTCAAGTTGCCAACAACAGCTACAGCCCTAATAAAATCACGAACACTCATTCGTTACTTGCCAACATACTATTGATAGTAATCTTTGCTGATCAATATTTTGAAATATCTTTTTTAAAAATATGACTAGCATTTACACTTCCGACATTAAACATCATAGGAAGGCCCCTCCTCCTCCAGGTTCTAATACCTCCTCTTCTTCATCGACATCCCTTGCTTATCATAATATGACCTCTTCAATCCCTCCTCCCCTTTCATCCTCGTCAACTTCAAATTCAAATACTTCGGGTGCTACAATGGCTTCAACCCTTGATGAAGGTAATACTTCAACTACATCTTCCAATTCTTCAAAATCAATCCAGTTAAATATTAATTCAAATAAACGTCAATCTGGTTGGGTTCATGTTAAAGATGATGGTATTTTCACTTCATTTCGTTGGAATAAAAGATTTATGATTATTAATGATAAAACTCTTAATTTTTATAAAAATGAACCAATTGCTCATGCTACCCTCGATTCAAATTCAATGAATACAAATGCTCCTGATTTATCTTTCCCTTTAAACTTAATTAGTAGCATTAATTTAAAACCAAATTCAGGTTATTCAAAAACAAGTCAAACTTTAGAAATTATTCCTAAAAATAATGGTAAATCAATGTTAATATCAATAAAATCAAATAATGATTATTTGGATTGGTTAGATGCTTTTACTAATAAATGTCCTCTAATTAATATTGGTAACCAAAATAATACTAATGTTTTAAATGGTGGTACAGGAGTTTCAAATCCAATTAATTTCACTCATAAAGTTCATGTTGGTTTTGACCCAGCTAGTGGTAATTTTACTGGGTTACCTGATAGTTGGAAAAACTTATTACAACATTCTAAAATCACTAATGAAGATTGGAAAAAGGATCCAGTGGCTGTTATTGAAGTTTTGGAATTTTATTCAGATATAAATGGTGGTAATTCTGCTGCTTCGACTCCAATGAGTTCTCCAGCTATTGGTAACAATTCAGTTAATAAAAATCTACAAGATTTAACTAAACCTCCTCAAAATAGAAACCAAAATCAAGCAAATAATAATCCTCAATTTAAACCAATTAGAGCGGCTCCAAAACCTCCAGCACCTTATCATTTAACTCATCAACAAAATAAATCTTTTAGTGGCTCATTACCAAGTGATTCTAATAATCAAGATAATCAAAATAATGAATATACCAATAACATTTCCCCTCTTAATAATTTGTTAAATAATTCTAATAAAGCGACTGACTCAAAGTCTGCTCCTAATAATGATTTAATTCCTGTTAGAAGGGCTCCTCCTCCTCCTTCATCTAATAATAATAACAATAATAATAAACAAAATTTACCTACTGGTTTAGGTATATCAAATTCAGGACAAAATCAATCTCCAAGTTCAATTCCAAAACAAAGTCCGCCAACTTTACCTAAAAATAAACTTCATCCAGATTTGAAAATTCAAACTGGTCTTAATCAAACTCCTAATAAATATCCAACTCCACCTGCTAGTGCACCAGTGACTGGACCTACCTATATAAAACCATTTGGTTTAAATAAAACTCCAGCTCAAGGACAATACCAAGATCAAAATCAATCACAAAATCAAAATCATTATCAAAATCCTCCATTATCTGCATCTTCTAATCAACAACATTTTCAAACTGGTAAAACCGGAATTAATATTAAACCAATTGCAACTGGAGCTGGTGGATTACCATCATCAATTTCACAACAGGATGCCCCAATTAAACCACTTCAACCTCAACCACGTCAACCGGCACATCATCAACATCAACAATCTCAAGCTTCTAATAAATTGAATCAACCAAATGGTAATCCACCAATGGGACCAGCTCAAAATAAAACTGCCAAACAAATAAAGAAGGAAAGAGAAAAATTGAATGATATGCAAATTATTGCAAAATTGAAAACTGTGGTTAATAATAATGACCCAACACCATTATTTAAAATTATTGAAAAAGCTGGACAAGGTGCTTCAGGGGCAGTTTATTTAGCAGAATCATTAAATAAAGGAGATGAAAATAATAAAGTTGCTATTAAACAAATGGATCTAAATGTTCAACCAAGAAAAGAATTAATTATTAATGAAATTTTAGTTATGAAGGATAGTCAACATAAAAATATTGTTAATTTCTTAGATTCATATTTGAGAGGAAATTCTGATTTATGGGTTATAATGGAATATATGGAAGGAGGATCATTAACCGAAGTTATTGAAAACAATGAATGTAAATTAAGTGAAAAACAAATTGCCACAATATGTTTGGAAACATTAAAAGGTTTACAACATTTACATAAAAAGCATATTATTCACAGAGATATTAAATCAGATAATGTTTTATTAGATGCGAAAGGAAATGTTAAAATCACCGATTTTGGATTCTGTGCAAAATTAACCGATCAAAGAAATAAAAGAGCTACAATGGTTGGTACTCCATACTGGATGGCTCCAGAAGTTGTTAAACAAAAAGAATATGATGAGAAAGTTGATGTTTGGTCATTAGGTATTATGACAATTGAAATGATTGAAGGTGAACCACCATATTTGAATGAAGAACCCTTAAAAGCATTATATTTAATTGCAACTAATGGTACACCAAAATTAAAGAAACCTGATTTATTATCAAATTCAATTAAAAAATTCTTATCAATTTGTTTATGTGTCAATGTTATGTACAGAGCTCTGACCGATGAATTATTAGAGCATTCTTTCATTCAACATAAATCTGGTAAAGTTGAAGAATTGGCTCCGTTATTAGAATGGAGAAAAAATCCTCAAAATCATAACTATAGTGATGAAGAAGATGATGACTAAGTCCATAGCTTGTCATTTTTTAATCTATGTTCTTTCCTTCTTTTCATATATACATATTTTTTTATTAATTTCTTGTTATTATTGTTAGTTTAGTATTTTAGTTTAGTATTTTAGTTTAGTATATTAGTTATTATTATTATTATTCTTATTATTCTTATTATCCTTATTATTCTTATTATTAATATTTTCTTTAATTTTTTTATATACGTTTTGTCTTCGTGTTCTATTTTGCAGTGATAAGTCCACTCTTGTGTGTCATTTGAATTGTTTGATTATACCTATCAATGCACAGGCTACGTCGGTTAAATAAGGTTAATTTTAATTAACTTCAATAATCAAGACAAACAAACAAATAACAAAATTGAAAAGGTCCCAATTTAAAAAAAAAAAAATACTCATTACCTCTAACAAAAATCAAATTAAAATACGACAGAACAACCTAGAACAGATAAAAGGATTGCTACACCAACTTTTAAGTTAAACCTTAATGGCTTGTGTTATGTCATCAAATCAGGGTTTAAGTAAATATAGTAATGAAAATTTTTTCATGTAGAACTTCACCTGAATAGCTAAACTTTACCGACTTTGAATCACTGGCAGAATCAACCATTGAGAAGAGTTTGTCAAGACGAACCAACAACAAAAACAAACACTTATTGTGGTTTCACATAATGGTTTACAATTATGATTGACATGAGCATATTGTTCTCTCGACGGTGCATACATTGACAATTATTTAGACTTAGCATGAATTAGACGAATAGTTTGAAGCATGGCGAAAAGCGTCAGAAAAGACAAGTGAAGAGTCTTTTTTGTTCGTTTTTTCTGTTTTTTTTTTATCTCTGTTTTTCCATGTCAAAAGGCGGCGTATTGCAGGCTAAGTTTAATGCATAGAAAAGAGCTTGAAGCAGAGCCCATCCCAGAACCATGGCAATATGGCGGCATCTTACAGCGGAATCGCCGTAGTCTATTCTTCAGTTGCTGATTCAGATTCAAAAACTGGCAGCGAGATTAGGCAAGTTCCGAGGGCCACAAGAAAAAACACTAAAAAAAAAGCTGATCCATTCGGGGACTTCTGCAGTGGACCGAGGAGTCACGTGATAGTGCACAAACGGAATGCACGAAAAAGATACAAAAAGCCGGCCAACAAGCAAACAAAGAAAACAAAAACAAATAATACATGAAAAATAATTATTAGAAAAAAAAAAAAAAAATTTTTAAAAAAAAAAAGACATTGTATGAAAAAAAATAAGATGTAAAATAAGATAAAATTAGATAAGTTGATATTGCATGTAGTTTTACTGCATGCATTGGCGGCTAAACCGCTTTAGAAAATTCGAGGTGCGCAAAGGGAATACAAACGTTTGAATGGCCTGATCGAATTGCAGAAATCCACAATAGAGTTGAAAAAAAAAATTGAAAAAAAGGCTGCTCTCTACTGTATATTAAAAGAGGTACACAGAGTTAAACACCAAAGGTTTGCTCCAAGTTGTATATATTAAGAAGAGAAAATTAATTTGTGCTGGTGAAATTTGAAGTGTAGGAGCTATTATTTGAATCTTCGTTGGTTAAAGTTGTAGAAGTAGGAAGTTGAGTATTGAACGCTAAGTTTGAGTGATCTTCTTGGGCAGGCCCAGAAGTAACCACCGAATAGTTTGTAGAATTTGTATTAACAAGGTCACCACCAGTGGTTGAACCAGGAGCAGTTGTAAACCAACCGCCATTATTATTACTAATACTTCTCATTAGTTTTTTATTAGTATTATTATTTGGAGGAGCAGAGCTAAAGCTATTTGAATTTGTTCCGTGCATCATATTTGAACCGATTGAGCTTATTGACCCACCATTGGAATTACCACTAATTGAAAATTGATCACTTGATCCTGTCAGTATTGATCCAAAATGATTTGGTGGTTGCTGGGGTAAAAATTGTTGGAAATGTTGTGGTGGGAATGGAGCAAATTGTTGTGGTGGGAGAGCGGTATTTTTAGATGATGGTCCTGGTGGGATTATGTGAGCTGGTACTTGTGATTGTGCTTGTACTTGTGGTGATTGCTGCTGTTGTGGTGGTGGTGGTGGTTGTTGCTGGGGGACTATTGGTTGTTGAATTGGAGATTGATTATTTGATTGAGGAAAAGATGAAGAATCATTAATTGGAGGATTGGAAATATAGTTTGGTTGAAATTGTTGAGGGGGTAACACATAAGGATTATTAAATAAATTTGGTTGTTGTTGTGCTTGATGTTGCGGTTGTTGGAATTGAGATTGCTGATTAAATGGATTCACAAAGGATAATTCTGAATTTATTTCATCTTCTTTCCTTATGTACGTAGGAGGTGGTGCAGTTGTGTAACGGGGGGAAGGTCCATTTGACTGTATTGAGGCGGTTGGAGGAGCCAGGGCGGGAGCTGGAGCTGGAGCCGGGATATATTCTGAAGGATGATAGTGATTATTTTGTAGAGGCAAAGGTAACATATGAATATTTTGGTTTATTTGAGGATGAGGTGGCGGGAGACCATGGGCATGAGGAGGTGGAGGACCATGAGGATGAGTAGGGGGAGGACCATGAGGATGAGGATGGGGAGGACCATGGGTATGAGGAGGTGGTAAAGAAGGATGTTGTAGTAAAGACATATTTTGTAATTGATAATTAGTATCTAAGAAATAATAAGCTTCATCTTCTATTGAAATTTTACCACCCAAAGAAGAATCTTTTAAAGCTTCCCATAAAGTATTTGAAATTTGTAAATTTTTTAAATCAGTTTCACTTGGTCTTTGTAATTTACCATTTAAAACATCATCAGCATTATAATAACTTATTAAATGAATTGTTTGATTTTCTAATTTTTTCTCTATATGGACATTTTTGCTAGAAGTACTTAAACTTAAAGTTTTCTTTATTAAACCTTGATCTTTGAATACGTATGAAGTTACTAAGGACCCTACCAAATTTTTATCATCATTTAAATGTTGTTGATGATCATTAATTAAATGATGAGCAGAGGGAATCATATTTGAATCATCATTATTATTTATCTTTCTTTTTTTCTTCTTTTTATCATCTTTTTCATTTAAACTATGTTTATCCAATTCTCTATAAACCAAAAATCTCCCCAAAATTCTTGAAGGACTCCAAGCAATTCCATCAGTCCAACGTTTAATTCCTGAATGTTCTTCAATAAATACAAACACATTACCTGACTTAATTAAAGCAGGACGTTCTCTTTCATGAGGTCTTCTTGATATTAATTCTAATTGCTTATCAACGATTGCTTGAATAATCAATAAAGCATCTTTAGTTGATCCAACGTATCCATAATATGACGGCGATAATTTAGCAGAAGACATGATTATGGATAATTAGAATTAACAAACTTAAAGAGAAAAGAAAAAGGTTAATTATTTCAAATAAAATTTAGGAATGTTGTTCTTTAAAAACAAAAAAGACAAATAAAAATGAATGCAAATTGATAAGATTTAGGGTTAGCTAACAAAACAAAAAAAAAAAAAGAAAAAGAAAAAGAAAATAGAAAGAATTAGACGGTTGAAAAGTATAAAACGAAAAAATAGATTTCAGTTCTAATTTAAATAGACCACAACTTGTTGCTGATTGGAAAAAAGAATTAGCATGTCAATTTTTGAAGTAGTTTAGGTTTTTGGGTTTGGTTAAGTTTTGGTTTCAGTTTTGGTATTAGTTAAAGCACTAAAAAAACTAAAAAAAAAAAATTAACTGTACTAAAAANCCTTTATATTATTTTAAATTAAGTCTTTTTTAGGTTTTCTCTGGTTGTTCTAGCATTTTTTTTTTTAATTATTTTTTTATTATTTTATTATTTTTTTTTTTTTTTTTTTTTTTTTTTTTTTTTTTTTTTTTTTTTTTTTTTTTTTTTTGTTTATTTCATTTATTTTAAATTCTTTTTATTCATATTTTTCAATAAGAAATGTATTGTTGTTGTATTTAAAATTATCTCTGTTTTTTATCATACGTGCAGATAACAATACGAGACGTGTGGTCGCTGCACGCTGCAGAGCACTGCAATGTTGGCAACCGCTGCCCAAACCAACCGGGGGTGTGTCCGGGGGTAACGATCCAGTTTTAGCTACTAGTGAGTGTGGGACGGAAGTTTGCCCCAGGCTGTTTTTTTTTTTTTTTTTTGGTTTTCTTTTCGTTTTTCATACCCACCGTACGTTCCTGAGCTTCGATGGTGTATTTTTCATGCTGCTAGCATGTTGAAATTACAGTTTGATAGTCAATTAAAAAGAGTTTCGTCTAATAAACGTTGATACTTTGGATTTGGTGCTGTGAAGCCACCTGCCCCACTTTCCTTACAAGTTTCCATGAATATCCTAGTACAAGTAAGGTCACAAACAACCGAATAAACAACCAAATTGTTTTACATTTTGGGCTCCCTGGGTTTCTTTTTTGCCTTATTTTTTTTTTTTTTTTCTCTTTGCCTTTTGCTTTCTTGTTGATGTCGGTATTGGTTTCACTTTTTGGCATCACCCTTGATATCGCCTCTAAGCTTTCCTTTGGGTTCGGTTTCACTTGGGATACGTTATCGTTTCGCCATTGTCACATACGTTTGATACATTTACCAATAATTTCGTTTGGGACAATTAGTGATAAGACCCTGCTTACATTTCAGCTTAAACAGTCTCGATTAAATTAAGATTCAAATTTAAAATTTTAAAAAAATCAAAACTAACTAGAACGAAAATCTCATCAATGAAACTTTGTCAAATAATTTTCCCTTGTAAATGTAGGTCAACTATTTCAAAAGCTTATTTGTACATACAACTGCAGATCAGCCATTACTCCCCTAACAATACAATAGAAGCTCTGCTGTGCGCCGAACCTGTGCGCCACTGCACTGCTCAAATGCACTGCGCACTATGTACACTCTATACTGACTGCGGTTTTCCGCGCGCACTACTCAGTTTTTTTTGCTTTGTTTTGTTGCGCGAGTCGTTTTTTTTGTCTTGCTTTGTTTGGCTTTGTCTCTACAGACACGGGTCCTTTACTTTACAAATCGAGTGACTAGCGTTTCTTTCTGGCATCAAGATTCCGTTTCGGAACAAGTTCCTCTTTTTGAGTCCAGATTTTCCCTCTGTCTGCTTTAACCAGGTACGCTTAAACGAGAAGTGGTCGCCTTTTTTTGTTTGTTTGTTTTAGCTGTTTTCTGTTTCAACTACCTACTTGAGCTTTGGGTTTGATTTGGGGGTTGAGTGACTCGGGGAACTGATTCAAGGGAATTGACTTGGTTCGGGGAATTAATTTAAGAAAATGCACCTAATTCGGGGAATTGATTCAAAGGAAATTTGGCCTAGTTCGGGGAATTCGTTCATGGGAATTCGTTCATGGGAATTCGTTCAAGGAAACTGGTTCAAGGGAATTTGGTCAAGGAACTTTGGCCTGATTCGGGGAATTTTGTCGAAAGGAATTGCTTTGACTTGAAGAAATTAGCTTAATTCGTGATCCTGTTGAATTCGTAACCCGTTAATTAGCGATATTATTTTTGCTTTAGACGATATTATCAACGTATTAGGTATTAAATTTTATTTGGGGTTCTTCAGATCTATAACCTGCAAAATGGTGGGAAGCCGGGTTTTACAGTTTGCACTCAGCGGATTTCCCTTTTGGGTAAAGTGCAGGTTGTGCTCTTATCTACTCTACTTTTTTTTTGCAGATTGGCTATTCTGGGGTTCTCTGCTTAATAATTTTCAAGCTTTAATCAGAACTACATCAAAGTCATTGAGAGTTGATAGCATCTGAGATGTAGTGTTATGGTCTTTGAACCTTGTAGGTAAATAAGTGATAATCAAGTAGGCAAAATGGTTATTTCTCAATTTGGTCACACTACCCCTATTCCACTGCCAAAAATAGAGTTGCTCTAGTAAATTTCAAATATCATAGCCAATTACAAGAAGCTGGTGATGTAGAATATCAACTATCGGGTGATATACAATTCTTATTTTGAACTAGAGTGTATCATTAAATTATAAAGGGTCTTCCACAAATTTAAATTAATCCTTTTTTTTTTAAAGTTTTATAAGGCGGAATTTTTGGGGCCTGCTCATTCTCGATCCCCGATTCTTTATCCCTATTTAGTTAGCGATTTTATTTAATTCCCGATTCTTTAACTCAAATTATTCTTTATTCTTTGATTAATGACTGGTGAAATTGATTTCCGTAGTCATTTACCTCCATATAGATCGTTATTAACACCAAATGCCAAATATGATTATAAGACCCATTCATTAATACCAATAAATCAAAATGAATTAACTAAATTAATAAATTCAAATAAGAATAAAAATGATAAGAATAAAAATGATAATAATAAGAAGATTAAAATGAAATATAAATCATTGCTTTCTGATGTTAGTAGAAGAACATTATCAATAAGAATTAATAACGTTAATAATATCCAAAATCAATTGAAAAATTTAACAAATTATTATCAAAATCGAAAGATTCAATTTAGATTTTTACCAATTGAAATATTGGAATTAATATTTTATTATATTAATGATTTTGAATCTTATAAAATGTGCTTGTTTGTTAATAAACAATTTTATCAATTATCCAAAAGTTTCTTCTATTCAGAAATTTCTTTTAGTTCAACTTATAGATTTAGTCAATTCATAAGTTATCTTCGATTGAATAAAGATATTGGATTAATGGTTAAAAAAATTGACTTATCAGGTATAAAGCCGTGCAATTATTTGTTAAATGAAGATGATGATGAAATATCAACGTTGGAAGAATCGGAATCAAATGGTAAAATATTAGCCGGGTGGAGAGATTGGAAATTTTTGAAAAATCCCTTATATACAATTAATTCCTTGAGTAAAATTCAATCAAATGGTGAAATATCATCATCATCCAAAACTTATAAATCTTTACATTCCTATTCATCCAATAAAATTAATCATCGATTAACAAATTTTTTAAAATCAAAGAGAAGGAAGAAGAACAATTCAATTAATTCGAATTTAAAAGTTAAACCATCAAATTATTTAATTGATTTATCAAATAGTTCAAATTTATCCAGTTACAGACCTTCAATTCACCCTAAAATTAATAAATTTTTATATAATTATCAAACTTCCAAAGATTTACCAATTGGTTATATTTTACATTTAATTAATCTATGTCCAAATATAACTAAATTAAATTTAGGTAATCTATCATTATCAATTGATTATGAAATTAATAAATCAATGATTTTCAAATATCAAAATTTTGATATTATTAATAATTATCCAAAAAATTTATTAAATCAAATTAATAATATAATGTATGATAATAATGAATTATTAACAAGAAAAGAGGTTGATTCTTCTTGTAATTCATCAATTTTTTCAATTAATTCATTTTCTAAACCAATTAGAAAATATAATAGTTTATTACCTCCAATCAACTCAAATGAGTTATCTTCTTACTTGAAAAAAGGTGATGGTAAAATTTATTTAAGTGATTTAAATTTGAAATCAATTAATAATAATTACTTATCAATCATAAATGAAGATGAATTATTGAATCATATTATAAAGAATTATTCAAATAATTTAACTTACTTAAACTTATCTTCAATTCTTTGGTTAAATAAAAAACTTATTAAAAATTTTGTTCAAAATTTTTTACTGGATCATTTAAATTCTTTAATTGAAGAATTTAAAGATGACGATGATGATGATGATGATGATTTAAATTCGGATCCAATTGATTTAATCATGGATTTTACTGATTCTGGAATGTATAAGAATCTTAGGTGGGCTAAATTAATTGATTTAAATGTAAAATCAGATCGAAGATTAATTTATAAAATTATAAACGATCAATTATTAGAATCTTTTGAAGAAACTATCCAAAATGATCGTTTGAGAAGAGGTAGAATCGGTCAAAATTATCTTTCTTGAAGTCTTTTTTTCTAAATCTATGGAGTTAGCTTGTTTTATTCTACAGTGTATATTAATATATATAAATGTACCAGACATCAGGTCATCACCACTTCATGGATCAGCCTGACCTACTTTGTAGCGGCGACCTAGTAGCGATGGTTTTAAAGCTGGGATTAAAGTAATCTGGAACTCCACATATACCATCCACATCTATAGCCCATGATTGTTAACGCTACTTTAACGACGTGAAGGATATCTGAAGTTCGTTAGAGAAGAAGAAAAGAAGTAATTAAACCAAATTTGAAAAAATTTCTCTTTAAATAAACGATGTATGTGCGGGTAACCACTACTAGACATCCGTACATCTCGACCTATATCTCTTGATGTATCTTCATATTTCTACTATCTTTCTATTAAATCTCTGTCATATATCTCTAAATCCGTTGTGTCTATTATATCGATATATTGCTATTATAATTCTACCCATACAATACATTTTCTCATACAATACATTTTCTCATACCTATCCTTATCTACAAGCATTCCATGTACTCATAACGCTAATTAGTATCTGGCAGAAACTCAATAGCTTAACTTTATACTTAATCCATGTGCAAGGTTACAACAATCAGCTATGCTTCTCGTTAAGCCTTGCCTGTCGGCTTCCAGGGTCTTTGTCCAGATTCACTTGATTGGTGTAAGGGTGTGTTTCTGTTGTACGGGTGTAAGCTTTTGTACGGGCTTGATATTTTTGATCAGCAGAGCTTTAAATCTTTCAACTACTTCTTCTTCAGCTAACCATGTCGGATTTGTCAGCTCAATTATCAGCATTCAAAAATAAAATCAGAAGCGGGCCTTCTGTGGTGACTAAAAGATCAGTGACTGCTCCTGCGAAAGTAACTAAACCGGTTTCTCCAAGTAAAGAAGATAGTAAAAAAAGATTCAATAATGATTCTGTAAGTGAAGTTTTCAAAAGACAAAAATCAAATGCGTCTAGTGATATGTCAGGATCACACTTATCTACTCAACTTCATTTAGCAGTTGAATATATTAAACAGCATGATTTCCCAATATCGGTAAATAAATTACAAAATTATTTATCGTTTAATATTGAAGAAACTCTATTGCCTTTACTAAAAGAAATTGACCGGATAAAATATGATGCTAATGAAAATACTTTGGAATACGTTAGTTTACATAATATTAGAAATGCTGATGATTTACTTAATTTCTTAAGGTCTCAACCAACTTTTAAAGGTACTTCGGTTAAAGAATTAAGAGATGGTTGGGCTGGTTGCTTACAAGCAATTAATGATTTAGAACTGGAAAATAAAATCTTAGTTTTAAGAAATAAAAAGGAAAATGCTCCTAGATTAGTTTGGGCTAATTTAGGTGGTGAATTGGGTCTTATAGATGATGAATTCGTGGATATGTGGTCGAACGTTAAATTACCTGATCCTGATAATTTATACCAATCGTTATTAGATCAAGGTTTAAAACCAACCGGGGCTGATCCTCAATTAATTAAAAAGAAACCTCAACAACAAGAAAAGAAACAGAAAAAGGCTAGAAGAGGTAAAGTTACAAATACCCATATGAAAGGTATATTAAAAGACTATTCTCAATTAGTTTAATATATAGACTCTCGTTATACCCTTTGTATTCGTCCCGTGGCGTGCTCAGAATTACACTCTTCTTAGTGTGGGTGCATGGGTGTTTGGTGGCGGCTCTACTATGGCACGCTGCGTAAATATGATACCGTTCTCTCGAGGCAAAATCAAAAAAAAAAAAAAAAAAAAAAATTCAAAAAAAAAAAAAAAAAAAAAAAAAAAATCATAAAAAAAAAAATCAAATCGAAAACTTCATCTAAACTTCATCTTAACATCATCATAACTTCAACCATGTCTGGTATGTGTTAAATCACTCATCTTCATTGTATGCGCTGTGTACTAACCGTTTAGTCGACTTCAATACCGTTGCTACCGAATTCTGTAACTTCTACTATCAACAATTCGATTCTGATAGATCTCAATTGGGTAACTTGTACAGAGATCAATCCATGTTGACTTTTGAAACTTCTCAATTACAAGGGGCTAAAGATATCGTTGAAAAATTGGTCTCTTTACCTTTTGCTAAAGTTGCCCACAGAATCTCTACTTTGGATGGACAACCTGCTTCTCCAAACGGTGACATTTTAGTAATGGTTACTGGTGAATTATTAATTGATGATGAACAAAATGCCCAACGTTATTCTCAAGTCTTCCATTTAATCCCTGATGGAAACTCTTACTATGTCTTTAATGATATCTTTAGATTAAACTACTCTTAGTTTTTTTTTCTCTATTTCTTCTTTGCACTTGTCTTATTCTTTTCTAGTCATAAATATATATCATTGTATTATTCATTAGAATTGTATTTATTGCCATTATACTTATGATAACGGTATTTATTATTGTATTTATCGTACTATTCTGGCTTACATATTTCCCTTATCTTATAAAGCTTCAAATTTGCAGTATGTAAATGCGATTTTACTAGAAAAAACAAACAAAATCATTATCGTTTAACCACTCGATTCTTTCTTTCTTCTAGCTAATTGCTTTCTTGATCTCTTAAGTATAATGCTGCTGCCTCCATCCGTTCCAACTGTCCCGAAAAGACCTAAAAAACTGACTGACTCAACCCCTACAAATCTAAAAACTGAGTCTTCAGATAACTTAAATGCCAGCTCATCCAATCCAGATGAGCCAGTGATTCCTAAGAGACCTTCTAAAACAAAAAAGTCAGAGTCTTTCTCCGCTCAGCCAATAGCATCTTCTCCCGTTGCAGAGCCTTCTGCCGAAGAGCCAATTGCTGATTCTTCGTCCTCCCAATTGGACTCTAAAAAGGATTCGGATCAATCAGATCAAGGCTCAACTCCTCCAATTCCTAATCGTCCTGCTAAAGATAAAAATAATAATTCAAATGATGAACCTGAATCGGTATTGAACTCTCAACAAGAAGATTCTAATAGCGATTCTGAATTAGAAGGTGATATAACCCCTGGTAATTCAAATACAAAAATCACCTTCAAAGACGAAGTTGATGAAGACGATTATAATGCTAACAATACCGATACTTCAAGTTTCAATGATGACGTTGAAACAGTTCTGCAAGATAGGGATACCGAGGGTGGGTCTTACATTGAATCTCAACCCGATGTTCATGATGGTGTTGCACCTACTGTAGACTCTAATAATTCAAATGAATCCACCAATATTGAACCAAAAGCCATTGATCAACTGGAAAAAAGTGTTGACCACGGATCACAAAGTATTGATGAAGCTAGTAAAGACGTCAATAGTGAAGGACCAGATATCGAGCAATCCAATAAAGAAATCCCGGATATTGAGCAATCCATCGAAAAGGTTACTCATGAACAAACTACTGATGAAAAACTTACATTAAACGATAATGATGATATTTCTGACAAAATCGAATCATCTAAGCCATCTGAAACAAAAGATTTGACTAAGCCAGATACACCAGTAATTCCTTCAAGACCCAAAAAATCTTCAACCGAAGAATCAATCGAAACTCCTCAAATGCCATCTTCAAGACCTTCTAAATCCAAGGTCAATTCTCAAGAGCCTGAACCTGAAAATACAACCACACCTGCCATTTCTAGTCGCCCAAGGCCTAAAGCAAAGTCTTCTTCTGAACTGACCCCTGTTGAATCAAAAAGTGTTGATAAAAGTGAATCACCAGTAGTCCCAGGGAGACCAGAAAAACCATCTGAAGATTCTTTAAGTAGAGCAAGTCCTCAACTTAGTGATGCTAAACCAAAGGCTCCACCTCCAAAACCAAAAAAATTATCATCCAAAATTGCAGCATTTCAACAAATGTTCAATCAAGAGAAGAAGGAAGACTTGGACTCTGAAAAGGAAGATTCTAATGTTAGCAAACCATCTCCCGTTACTAGAGGGAAACTTTCATCAGATAAAATGAAATTTGCAGAAAGCTTAAAAGGTATGATGGGTAAAGGTGTTGCGTTACCTGGTATGACTAACCCGAATATCCCTACGAAGTCCGAAGAAAGTTTAGTAGAAGATTTCAAAAAAGATGAGGAAGTTTCTACCTCGACTGACTCAGAGATCAAGCCCATCAGTAATAGACCAAGTAGGGCCAAAGGTCCAAGAGGAAAACGCTTACCTAATTCATTGAAGAAGCCACTCAACGTTGAGGTTGAACCTAGATTCAAGTTGATTGTGGAAGATCTTTGGGACCTCAAATTTGAACCAAAGGTGGATACAGTTGAATCTACAGAAGATCTAGCGAAGTCTTCTGAAGAAGAAACTACTTTTAAAGATACAGACTCTACTAGAGAAGATTTGGTTTCCCAAGATCCAGTTCTGATCTCCAAAGAACCAATTTCTGATTCTAAAGAAAGTTTAACTTCGATTCCAGGTTTAAAAAGTAATAGTGAGTCCGTTTCCCATGAAGATAACGAAGAAGGTGAAGACTCCACCGTAAAACCAGATACGCCTACAGATTTGGGAATAGATGAGAAAGTAGAAAAGGCAGGCAATGAAGAATCAGTAAAACCTGATGAAGATGAATTGGAATCACTGGATGATGCCAAAATTGATGAAGTGCCAGAAAACAACGAAGACAGAACTACAGAAGCCGCTTCTAAAGAAACCGCTGACCCTATTCAAGGAGAAAAGGGGGTCGACCTGCTCAAAACCGTTGTCGATGAATACTTAGCAGATGAAGGCTTGACCCAAACACCGGGAAGCGAAGACGAAATGTCAGATAAGATTACTCAGGGTGCTTCCAATTGATCTCAAAAAATCTAATCAAGACCTCGTTTATTTTAGGGCTTATACATCTATATAAATAAGTAAATTGTTCAATCATCATGCGTATAACTTGCTAAAAGGGATTCTCGTAGCTCCTTAACTTTTGTTTCAATTATGTCCTCATCCTCGCTCTCATCTTCAAGCGAGTCTCTAAGCTCCATACATTTAATATCTATCTCCCTCTTACGGTTGTGTTCCTCGATTTCTGCTCGGGCTACACTCTTATTGGACTCTCTGGCTTTCAGTTCCTGCTTTCTTTGCTCATGTTCCCTTTCCAATTCTCTTCTTCGATGATGACCCATACCGGTCACTGCCTCTCCATCCTTACTCCCTGCAAGATTCTTCTGAACATGACCCGAGGTTCCGCTCCCTCTAGCTGTCTGTAGACCTATTCCGTTGTACGACATTCTTATCTGGTCTCAACTGGTAAATGTATTAAAGGGCCTCGTTTTTTGCGATTATGATTTTAAGCTTCGTTTTTATACGATCTTCTCCGTTCTGGTATTTTTGTAATGTTTTTTTTTTTTTCTTTGTTTTTGTTAGTTTTTCACTGAAATTCTTTGTCTATTTTCAGAAGCTTTTTGGCCGTTGCCTCACCACAATCCAATAAATAACTGAAAGGCCGTTAGATCAAGAGTTGTTAGTTCTTATTAGAAAGAAAAAGAGACTTTTTCTTGAACTGGTTATTTATAAAGTAAAGTTTTTCAGGGGTATCAAGATGTTTCATGTACGGAGGCTTTCGAAAAGTTATTCGAGGCTAGTCCTTTCGATACTATTGATTGGGACTATATTATACTCTGTTAGTCGTATATCCAAGCATCAAAGCTACTTGAGCCTGTCTATGTCCAAATTCACAAGTCCTCAAGATAATGAATGGGAACAACAACTGAAGATTCCACCTCAGGTTGGAAATTCAGGTGTCGGTGATGCCCATCTTCGTCCGGTTAATCTGTTTTGGAGTAACGTTTTCAAGATATTTGAAGATAATGTTGTTAGTTTGACAAAATCCGATTTATCTTCAGCTTTTCAATATATTGAAAAGTCAAAGCAAAAGGGTGGTAGTAATACAAAAGAAAATCTTCTTTCAAAAGCTTATATCTCAGATGAACTTTTGAACGAAATTAAAAGCAAACATAAAAAGGTTTTCGATATGCTTCCCGAAGGACTAAGTTCAGCCACTTATAAAGAAGGTACTACAGGGGTTGTTTTAATTGGTGGATCCAAATTCTCTTGGTTATCATATCTTTCATTATTGGCTCTTAGAAGATCCGGTTCAAAGCTTCCAGTAGAAATTATCATGCCTACTTTTAAAGATTACCAAAAAGAATTGGATTTCTGTACTAAAACATTACCAGCTTTGGATGCTTCTTGTGTAGTTGTTCCTGATATTTTGGGTCCTTCTGTTATGTTAAATTGGCAATCTAAGTTTGCCAATTACCAATTTAAATCTTTGGCTCTTGTCACTTGTTCTTTCCAAAATGTTCTTATGTTGGATTCCGATAATATTTTGATTGATAATCCGGATGAAATTTTTCAAAGTAAACTTTATCAAGATTATGGTATGATCACTTGGCCTGATTATTGGGAACGTACCATTTCTCCTTCTTTTTATGACATTGCTGGAGTTAAAGTTAATGAAAAGAAACGAGTCAGATATAATCGTTTCCCTCTTAATGTCCCTTTAACCGAAGATCCTAACTTAAATGATGAGGAAGTTGAATCAGTTCCTTATCATGATTTAGATGGTGCAGTCCCTAACTTATCAACTGAATCAGGTCAATTGGTGGTTAACAAAGCAACTCATGGTAAAACTTTGTTATTGTCTTTATACTACAATATTTACGGTCCTAATCTTTTCTATAAGTTTTTCTCCTTGGGTGAAATGGGTGAAGGTGATAAAGATACCTTCCCAGCAGCTGCTATTGTAGCAAAACAAAAATATTACCATGTTAAATCTTATATTCAAACCTTTGGTTATATTAACTCTGGTGGTAATTTCCAAGGTGTATCAATGGGTCAAAAGAATCCTTTGAAAGATTTTGAACTTTTCGAAGAAAAAGTTGTAACCCCTGGCTATAATAACGATAAAAAACCTTTGAATGATCAAATTGAGGATTTAAAGAAACTCCTGTCAGAAACATTTCATAATAGAAATGAAGTTCCTCTTTTTGCAATTCATTGTAATTATCCTAAACTTGATCCAAAAGAATTCATGAATCGTGAAGATCTTTATGATCCGGAAAATGATAGATTAAAGTATAAACTTTTCAATGGCTTGACATACCAAAAGGCTCCTACTGCTATAGATGGCCAAGGTGAAGTCAATTTCGAGTTGGAACAATGGAGTGCTATCCATAAAACTGTCTGTGATGACAAGATTGAGTTTGTTCATTTTAAAGATGTCGACCATTCCAAAATGTGTGAATTTATCAAAAATCAAGTTAAATGGTTATCTCTGAAGGATAATTAAACTTAATTTCTATTATACCCTATTTATTTCTAGTTTGTTTTATTGTCCTTTTAAGTCTTTTCTTTCAAACTGTGAAAGTTCTGTCATCTCTGGTTATATTATAGTCTTTTATTCAAGAAGTTGTCTAAAAACAAATAAGTATTAATTATATAATAAGTAAATTATACAATACTCTCTGTAGCTTCGTTTTTCGAGCTTTTTACCGGATACTGCAACTTTCATCATGTGCTTCAAGTCAATTGTTTTGTAGTTTCGTTCGCTTGCCCTGAGCTAATCAAGTCCATCGGTGTATCTATTGATTTCGTTTTAATTAACGATTCCGCTACACTAATCGATCTATGAAGCTTCCTTTTGGTCTCTCCCTATCACTTCTCCCAATATTGTAGTCACAGGTACATTGCCATTATTATCATTTTTGAAGGTTTTCTCAAAATTTTCAGATTCTTGTAGAAAAATTTGCAAAACTTGAGCACATTAACAGAATAAGGAGAACCAAACAAATTACCTATTAAGAATAAACTTGCCGAATTACTTCAAGTCTTTTTCTAAACTACCTTGATGAATAGAGTTTCTGAATCCTCATTCAGAATAGTGAAGTATTTTGCGGCTTTTTGGATCCACCATTTTACTTCACCAACTGAGTATTTTGCAGCCATCATTCTCAAGCATTTCTTTGCAAGCCTTTTTTTTTGACCCTTGACCGATAGATATAGATTTTCGTTTAGAGTGCTATCTGATTACATGTTCATTATTGTGAACATAGAAAGAATCATATTAAAAAAGGCCGTTGAGCCAATGGAAAAATTATGCTGGTCAATAGTGTTAAAGCCCTTGAATTTAAGTTCATATTTTAGTAAAATACCCACCAAACCATAAGTAGCTACTGATAAGACTGAAGTCAAATTTGATCAACGGGATAATATCATCATGTATGATTTGGAGTACGCTCAATATCCACCACCAAGAGCTCATTTGGCTTTATTTGAAACGGGATTAAATGGATTAAATGAAACCAAATCTGTAAATATTTTCAAAGGTAAAAATAACCAAGATCGATTCAAGGTAAAGAATTATTAAAAATCGCTACCAGTATTCTAATTTGGCACTGGTATACTAGAAACCATTTTAATGATTGAGTTTATGAATAAACTGGGTAAACAACCTTGACTGGGTTTAACTAGAACAATTACCTTTATGGTGACTAGAAACGTTTAACTTGAAGCATTAGAAACTTTCATTAGATAATTTCTTACTTGTCTTGGAAATTCTGATCTTTCTGAAATTCACAAGCTGAAAACACCTTTGAATGGATTTCAATATATGAAAAAAGTATTGATTGAAAAAGATCTGCAAGTGGAGACGGATCTACTCATGCAGATATTGCTCTAATCGCTTGTTCCATCGAAGTTGATACTTTTGGTCCAGGAATAACTATAACTGATCATAATTATGGTTTTATATTAACATTAGCTATAAGTGGTATAGGTGTATTTGGTGCATTATTAGCTGGTTGATCAGCAAATAGTAAATATTCATTATTAGGATCTATACGTCCTACTGCTCAATTAATTAGTTATGAATTAGTATTAACAACAATAGTATTATTATATATATTATTAGCTGGATCTATGAATTTATCAAGATATGTTGAATTACAAGAATCAATATGTATACCTTTATTACCATTATCAATAATATGATTTATAGGATGTGTTGCTAAATGTGCTAGACCTCCTTTTGATAATGTTGAAGCTGAATCTGAATTAGTATCAGGACATATGACTGAATATTCATCTTCTATATTTGTATTATTCTTCTTATCTGAATAACAAATGCCGAAATTTCAAATTTTTTTTGCAGATGGCATAATAAACTTTGTTAACGCCCAAGCCGTAAAGACTCAGTATCATAACATCCATAAACAATTACCATGAGGATTTTATATTAATGATTATTCTCTTTTCTCTGATCACTCAGTTAAAGAAAATCATTTCAGAGGCAGCTTTTTTCTTCAAGCTTGCTTTGGCTGCCATCACTCCACTTTGATTTAACTTTAATTTGCTTTCTGCTAAGTAGTTCAACAGCCAATTTATACTTAGCTGTCTGTATTTACTACAAAATTATTTGTACCTTTTCCTTACATTACAATCATTACTATATATATTTGAGTATATTTTTGAAATTTAATTGTTGTCTAAATGTATGTAAACTTATTCTGAATAATTCTTCTAATTATTGAAAAATAAGTTGTTCAGGATTCGTCGAGGACATGATAACATAACCTACTGTCCTACTATCTTTAATTGATTCTATAAGCAATTGACACTTACGGGTACAAGACTCGTACTCTATTAATTAAGTTGAGTCAAGGCAATTAAAAGAAATATTGAAAATAGCAACCCATCTTTAATCGTTTTCAGAAGAGCAATAGAATAGAACATCGTAAACCCGAAATCTTCATAAATGTAAAAAAACCAATACCAAAAAAAGGGGTACAAATGTGCTTAAAATGATTTCTTGATAGTGTGCTGCAACACAGAACTAATTCTGGAATAATCAGATTTAATCATATTAAATTCTCCATAAACTCAGACGAAATAAAAATGAAATCGATGCAATACCTCCAAAGAAGCCTAGAAAAAAAGCTTTTTTAGTATTTATCCCACACTCTGTATATGTCTTGTATAAAATTAATTACTCCTTTCCGCTTTCTAAATTGTTTGGTAATGATTAGGATATGTACACTAAATATTATATACCTGGGTTTCTTACTTGCCCAAGTTTATAAAAACCTAAATCTATTCTTCTCATAATTTAAATCAACCGATAGAATATGTACTCTCATTAGTAGAACAAAAAGATTGAAAGTTTATGCCAAATATTTATTTCGAATATTGGGCGCCTGATTTGTCATCGAAGCATATAAAATAAATATTGTGATTGTTAAAAATTGTAGCTGAATTCTAACACATCTTCCATTAGCACTCTATAAAAAATTGAAATATGTCCCCGTAAATAAAAAGAAAAAATTGACAATTACATTTATAAAATTCCTTAAGACAATCTCAAATTAAAAGAGCTGTATGGAAATCAGTATAGTACCTCAACGAGTCAATGTAATGAAAGAGCCTCTCGTCTCTTCATTGCAATTCGTGTAGGCCTGGTTGATATAAGGGAATCTCTAAGATTGTTCACTTAATATGCGAGAAAGTCCCAATTCTTCATGAGTTCCTTAGATATATAGAAATGAATTCAAAATAGCAAAAATCTTCCGCAGCATCTGAAGCTTCCGAAGTCTCGCTACACTAAGTAGAATCCAAAATAATCTTTGCATATTTATGAAATAGACGAGAGAATTACGTAAATAGAAACTGAACCACATAAGCTTTAGTAGCTTTGAAAAATCCCTGAAGTTTCAATCTCTCGAGACCAAAATATAGAAATGAAGCTAAAACAATCAAAAGAAATAATAAACAAATTGAATATATTCTATTGAATATATTCTTGTGATGAACTTACTTCGGCTTACTTCCAATCATAAGTAGGTCATAAACTTCTCTTTCTAACAGAATAAGTAAGGAAGGAAACTACACTACGTCTTTCTTCGAAAGAAACAGAACGTAACCCCGAAAACTCAAAAGAGCAAATCAAGAGTTGTCATACATGGGTGGCAGATACAAATCTAGGTGAGCTTATATCATCTTGTTCTGAGTACTGCTACTCGTCTCTTACAGCGGAAACATATGGCATATATTCAGAACGATGAATATGCTTGCATCTGAAGAAAATGAATATAACAGTATGTACAAATTCCTTATAGTATTAATACTGGAAAATTCTTTTCGAGAACCTTAACAAGAATCAGCAATAGTCGATACAGCGGTCACTATATGGTAACTATATGGTGCGATCTTTGAAAATGTTGGTCTTTCAGTCAATGAACCTCATTCTTATCATCATAATTAAGAAAAGGTTTATTTAAAAGTAATATGCGAAATAAGCTAGCCAATTCTTTCTTTTTCATAATACACATTTGGTTAATCTTACATTGAAAATAACTTGGTGCACAATCAGTCATGGTTTTTCCCAACTTTACTCCGATTCTTTCGAATGTTATACGAGTTTACACTGAAGGTTCTTGGCTTACCCCACAGACAAAGGAATCAACCGAAAACTGTGGCTGCATAAAGCTTACTACTGCAAAACTAATGTGCTACTCAACTTGATCCTGCTCTTAGACGTGTTTGGGTGGTTTACAGTCTTCGAAGTTTGATTCAAGAATAAATAATTTTTGAAATTAATGAGAAAGTAAGTACTGGAAATAAAGCTCTTTGTAAATATGGGACTTGGCAATACGATAAAAGGATTCAGGTGAAAATAACTGCCCAAAGGAATAGTGTAGCAAGCTGTTGTAGCCTAGCTAATTACAAACTTACTTTACTACTGGCGAGATTCAATGTGGCTTGATTGTAATTGCTACGGTTGAAGAAGTGGTAACACCTTATTCCCTGTGCTGGAAGGATCTCCTCGTATGAATCGTGTTGTAAACTATTATTTGGAATATCATGGCAACAGGGAAGCAATATTTGCATATTCTGTACAATTCTGAAGGTATGGTTGGAAGTCCAAGAGGATCATCAGGATAAGGTAATCCAGTAGTATACAAAAATCGCCAGGTCTAATATGGAGCCTTTCAAGGTTTTTTGTAGTGAAATCTTTTGCAGTAGCGCTAAAGGCTTGATTTGTTCGATGATTAGTCGATTCACCTGTGACGTAGAAGTATTCTCTTTGAGTTGGTTCTTCTCAATTGTTGTGGCGATAAGAGATTACATCTTTTAATTGATAGTACTGTTTCTGTAAAAGCCGACTCTAATTGTCAGTATAATGTAAAATTCTTTTTAAAATTCAGGCCCTCCATCGAACTTCCATAAAGCTTCATTGAACTTCTACATTTTCAGGCGGTTAACACTTTATTAATTATTTAGGCAGTTTTTCAATGCTTTGCTCAATATAAACAATGAAAGTTACAAGTTTAATATTTGTTCATCTAGTATTCAGAGCTTCTCTCCGATCAACCTACTTATTTAATTGTATTGGATGACTAATTGACTAATTAATGTTGTTTCAAGCGAAAATCACTCATCACTGCACTTTGAGTTGTATGCCCTGGGAGTTTGGAACATTTAGCTACAAGCGTATTTAATTAATTTTAGAGCTTACAGGATGCGCCCCTGTGTGCAATATGATTCCTGGCATGTGAGCTTGTTTTCGACGAAGGTTACAATAATTTGATCTCATGGTCGAATATTTCGTCGCACACCTTTGATTCCGATTTTGATATTGATAAGGTTTGCTTCATGCTGCTAAATTTTTGTCATGGCAAGCTAGCTTTTTTCATATTGGAAGTCTATTCTGATTTATTATTTTCTTGATGCTCGACTCATATTTTTTTTTTGCCGGATGTTTGGATAGTTTTCATGTGTTTGTAGCTTGCGTATACCTTTCCGTAATATACTTATTACATGTCAAGAGAAAAAGCATCATTTGATAACCGAGTGGCGATCAATTAAAAATTTTTTAGGTGACTGAAGACTATACCGGAAAGTTAAGAAATTTAAAAGCTTTGAGTTAGTAACATATTAAGCAGCCTAATGAGGTTTTTTGTTTATGTCTCAAGCTCATTCTTGGTGAAACAATTAAAATAATGGGAACAATTGTTCACGCTCTTATATCGGTTTCGGGTACTAGCAACTTGCTCGACTTTTTGTTTACCCATAATGAGGGCTTAATGTTCTTAAATCTCACTTTCATAGAGAAATTACATTTAGGTTGAAAGACAAATTAAGTGGAAGTTTATCAATTCAGGCTTTGAGCATCTGAGATAAGATAGGTAATAAAATACTTACAATTTACTTACTCACTTACTATATTCGATGAATGGAGACTAGCTCAAACATTCTTACATATAAGCTACTTAAACTTTTGAGTTTTCAATAAAACTTTATTTCAGTCCTTTATTGATTCTTTTTGTTTCTAGCTCTAAATTTGATTAGTGTGGATTCGAAATATAAAGTACGAGTAGCATTTCAGTGGGTTTCTGCTAATCAGAAGAGTCTACTACTCCTCTCGATTTTGGTGCCATGAACGAACAGTTGGAGTTTTTAAGGCTATTCTAATCAATTTTCTAAAAGAATCTGTGCTTATTTGTAATTAAGTTTATTTATTGTGTATGTATTTCAGGGTATTTAAATCCTACTCGGAAAATTTTATATTCTCGACATTTAGGTTTACCCTTGGTGTTTTTTTTTTTTGCAGCCATTGACATGATGTCAGCCTAATACAAAAAGACACTTACTAGTTTAACAAGTATTCGTGGTTGAGTTTTAGAATACCAGTTGTAGATAATGATTCTTTTTGTTAATTACAAGTGCTTTCTTTTGACTTGCAGTAGTTTAATTTATTTCTTAAATTTTTGGTAGATATTGGAAAAATTTGACTTTAATCGATATTTATAAGAAAGAACCTAGCTTATTTTTTCCTAAAGTTTACCATTCTTGCTTGTTGGAAAATGAATAAGCCATTGAAATCCACAATAGTATTGAAGTAGAATTTGTTTAAGGACCCTTCTGCTTGACAAACTGTTCATTAAGGAATACTGCAATTGTACGTACTAGTTCGCATTCAAAACCAACCTGAGCTTGGGCGCGTCGCATAAGTCATACTACAGAGTATTTGCTAAGGGGTATGTTACATAAACCTAAGGGTTCTTAAATAAATGTTATTATATCTATTGTATAAGTATTTTAAGTGAAAAAAAAAAAGACAAGGTAAAAATAACAGTATTCATAAAAAACAGGGTTTGAAAGCGCAAAAAATAAAGAAAAAATACAATTTGGATGAACATTGACTTCATGAGACACTTACTCTTCATCATCACTATTATCATCTCTATAACCGTGCTTTCTGATTTCAGCCAATCTTTTTCTGGCAGAGTTCAATGAGTTTTCTAATTTTAAAATTTGGACTTGTTGTTCCATTTCAACGGTTTTACCTTCATATGGAGTGAGCTTACTCAAATCTATATCGTTACCACTTTCCTCAGTTGAAAGTAGTTCTTGTACTTTGTTTACCAAGCCTTTACAAGCAGAAGAAACTTTGCTCGAAGCAGTTTCTAAGTTATCTTGGGTTTTAGAAACAAAATTTGCCTTCACTCTTGAAGCAGCAACTAATTGAGCAGTAGAGGCAGCAACTTCATTGGATGCAACAATCAATTGTTCATGGGAGTTGCTCTCCTTTAAAACACCATCAGCAGTTTGGATTAAGATATTTGTTGCTCCAGCAACTGCTTTTGAAGCACTAATCAAACCTTCAGTCCATCTATTGTTTTTTTTGTAAAATTCTGTACGAGTTTGATCACCTCTACCTTTACTCACAATTTCTCTTTGAGATTCTGTAGCAGCTACAATCAACAAAGCAACAGCATCTGTGACAGCAACAGCAGCAGCAACCAAAGCCTCATGAACTTCAAGTTTACCACCACTGATGTTTGCATTCAACAAAAGATCATGTAAGAATTTAGAAGCAGAATTAACTGCTTTAGCGGTTTGATCCATTTCATTTTGAACAATATCTTCCAAATTTCCCAGAGAGAAATTAATACCATGGGTAGAACGCAAAGTATCAATATGTTTACCTAACTCTTGTAAATCGTGCTGAAGTTGTAAATTGCTATCAATGACTTTATCCAATTTATCCTCATCATCTTCAAGGAGGTTCAAGGATTGAGAATTGAGTCCTTGGAAAAATGATTCGGTACTAGCTAAAACTTTTGATACGAGCAACAAAACAATCTCTTCATCATCTCTAGGAATATTTCTTCCGATGCCTTTAGCGTTCAACATAAGATCATTGACTGATGTGGTTAATTCTGAACTAGTCAAAATAATTTCAGAGTATCCAGAATCTTCAGCTTCGTAGGAAGCTTTACCATCGGCAATGAAATTATTAAATGTTGTAGAGAAATCAGTGGCAGTATCTGAGCAAAGTTCGACAATGGATAACAAATATTCAGGAGAGGCATTCAAGTTACCAGCTTGCATTGGGGATTCCAATTCATATTTGGTATCTTGAATTCTTTTGATATTGTTAGCTAAAATGACATCAATCAATTTTCTCAATTTATCAATATTTTGAAGTAAGATATGATCAATTTCAGCATTAACTATTTCATCTTGATCATTTTTAGAGTTTGCCAATTCTCTGAGGGCACTATCAAGGGATTCTTGTGCAATTTCTAAATCAATTTCTTTTTCTTTTAATTTTTCTTGTAAATCGTTACCCCCAAGATTGGTTAATTTCAAATCTCTTTCTGCCAATTGAGTATTTAAATTGTCAATTTCATTTTGATGTTTAGAGATAATGGATGACAAGTTCATCGATTGTAATTTACCTGATTCATTCACTTGATTATTCAACTCTCTCAATTCAGTTTGAAGTTTTTCAATTTCTTGATCTTTTGAAGCTTTGACTCTATCCAAGTCCAATCTTGCTCTATCACGTTCACGAATCAAGTCAGCCAATTCAATATTTTTAGCTTTCAAGTCTTTTTCGAATTTTTCTTTCTTCATTATTGATTCTTGGGCACTATTAATTTTTTGTTGGATCTTTTTAAATTTAGATAATAAATTCAAATGTTCTTGACGAAGTTGAGAGTATAATTTGGCAAGAGACTCGTACTTCTTAGCCCAATTGCTAATTTGTTCTTCCAAGTTTCTAATTTGTTCATCTTTGGAAGCAATTTGTTGAGAAGCGGTATTGTTAAAGCTGGATAATTCAGTTTCCAAGCTTTTAACACGGGAATCATATTGTTGGAGTAGCGATTGGTCATTATCATATTGATTTTTGAACATGAGCAAATCGTGCTCTAACTCTGAAACACGTGATTGTTGAGCTTGAGTTTGTTGTTGCAGCAAAAGTTGTTGTTCTTGTAAAAATCTTTGTTCTTGTTGACGTTGCTGTTCTTCGAATAATCTCTGTTTTTGAGCTTGTTCTTGAAGTTGTTGTTGACGTTGTAACTCCAATTCTTGTTGAATTCTTTGTTGTTCCTGTTGCTGTTGATCAAAAATACCAGTTTGTTGAAGAAATACCAGATCTACTGGAGGAGCTTCAGGAGGAGCTTCGAAAGCTGCGGTTGGTTGAGAGGACAACTGAGGAGTACTATCAGTAGTGGCAGATCTTGGTCTGGAAGCAGGAGCACTACTACCATCTTCATTTACTTGTAAATTAGGAGGATTATTAGGTAAACGAGGAATGGTAATTAAACTAGTTAAGAATTTAATTGCATGACAATCAGTATAGAAGTCCCTAAGCATGAAATGTTGGGAATCAAATCTTTCAAATAAAACCGATAAAGCATCATCAGCACCCAATTGTTGATACATAGCTCTCAACATTGAAGTACAAAATTTATAAATACCATACGATTCAGCAATAAGAGGAACCAATGCACTAACTTTACATAAATTATTTGGAGTTTGATGGATGGTAGCAAAAATCAATTTTTGCAAATCATCAATCAGGTCTTGTAAATCCATCAATTGTAAAATTGATTCGTAACCTTCATTTGGATCATTAACCGCTCTTAAGGAAATATATTCTTCATATTCAAACATACCATTGAAACTAGGATTATTTCTATGAAAGTCTAATTTCTGTAAAAGAAATTTATCATATTGATTTATCAATCTACCATAAGCGGAACCATGGGTTGGGAAAACACTTGCTAAAGAAGATAAAAAGTCACGATTACGATAAGCATCTTTCAAAGTATTTGGATGTCCTTCCTGGAGAACTTTATGGATCATAATCAATGATTTGAACAATTGAACTTCATCACTTTGCAAAGGCTGAATCTTAACAGCATTCCAAAAGGCCCTGGAGTTCTTATGATCCCAAGTATACACGATACAAGCTCTAACATGCTTTCTTTTAGGAGGCACTTCGTCGACACTGCAAGCCTTTTTCACACTCACTTGGAGATCCACTTCAGCACGACTCATCTTGGATCTATCACCGAACTTTAATTGATTTGAAACTCTAGCTAATTGAAAGAAGTTGAACCAATTCCAATTGGCCTTTTCAAAGCGACTGTGTCTTTTTTTTTTTTTTTTTTTTTTGTTTTTTTAGGGGCTAACTTTGCTCAATTATTTCTCGAGCACCCACCGGCGAGTCACCGGAAGTATACCGGTACTAGTCTACATGCTCACGTGAAAACAACTACCGGTTGGGGTTTTAAAAGCTCATAGCCTTGTTAATGACAATTACTGGTGATACGGTATGGTGACGGTACCGGTAGATGTGAATGGAGTGTATTAATGAAATGAATTCGATTGAGTCAGAATATCTAGTGTAGAATTTGAGTCGGAAATTGATAAATGATTGAGAGACTAACTGATTGACAAAGATCAAACAAAGATCAATGAAAACAATTGACCATGGTCGATTATTTATAGAGAAGACTAGAGACTGGGGGTTCGAAGAAAATAAGTATACATATATTCACAAGAGATGGAGGAGTCGTTGCAAAAAGTTAAGTTCTGGACTTGTATTTGGCCTTACCGAAATCAAATGGTAAATATCTGTACTTAATCATATGTTGGATTTGTCTTCTCATGGTTAAGGTGAATAAGATGATGAAGTACATTAATAAGATTGGCCAAAAAACTGGAATATCAAAGATTGGGAATAATGATAAGAAAAGAGAAATCATGGTAGCTCTGGTAGCATTATGCCAGAATTTAAACTCAGGTAATCTTCTAATGAAAGGTCTGAATTCATCGGAGTCGTCAGCCTCCTTAGGTGGTTCGTCATCTTGGACCCCTTCTTCAAGAGATTCGCTTTTTGATTCTTGTTCTAATGAAGGATCAAATTTAGGAGTTAAGAATGCTAAAAACAAATTCAACAAGTAAATACCTAAAGCATAACATATAATATACCATCCTTGGGTAAAGACAATACGGAGAAAGAATATTATAAGTAATGCACCAAATCCAGCCCACCTATGGGTAGTATGCGGAACTGATTGATCCAAGTATTTTTGGTAGGTGACTTGAAGCTTGAGGATATTTTGGTAAACTGGAGATTCCCTAATGGTCTCGTTGATTTCCACAGCCATTGTTTCTTGATTTAACTAAAGAAATGGGCGTAATTGAAGTTGGAGAATTTACCCTGTTGTTGTTATTTAATTGATTTTTCAAGAGGAAAAAAACAAAAATTGAGCGAGCGTCGTTCAATTTCTGCTTTCAATTTTTTTTCTTTGTTTGGTCGTTGACAGCCTTACAATATTGTAGAGGTATATAGGTAAAAGCGTATTTATTAGTGAAGTATATACAGGGTGTGGTGTGGTAGCATCCATGGTTATGCAAGGAAGGCTTCCTTTGGTTTACCAACGAGATCAACGGTTTTCGTTTCTTCGTTGAAGATTTTACGGATAATTACACCTTTTGGAGCCTTTTTTGCATCCTTGATTTCAACAGTGGCTCCAGGAATGGAGTCTGGTAAGACTTTAGGTAAGTATGTGTCGAACAAGTCATGTTGTTCAGATTTGGTGAAGACACCAGGAGTTTTAATGAGTTCTGTGATTTTAGCTTTGTCTTCTTTAGTGATGAGTTTATTAAAGTAGTTTTTAAGTTGGGATTGAATTTCTTGCTGTTGTTTGATTTTATCTTCTGGTGAAATGTATTTACAAGCGTTTAAGTCAGCATCAAGAGTGATTTTCTTATCAAATGAAGATACAAAGTCAAGGTATTTTTGTCTTGAAGTATCATGTTCTTCAGGAGTTATGTCACTTCTTTGCAAAGACAATTTCAAATCATACAAGTGATTGTATGATGCTTGAATACCGGCTTCTTCAACAGACTGGCCAACACGTACTAATTGAGCAATACTCAATAAACGTTCTTGGGCTAACTTAGATTCATCTTCACTTAATCCGAGATTGAACTCATTCAATGCAGATCCGTATTTGGCAAGTGATTCTGCAATTTTTTCCTTCCTTCTTCTTTTCGTTTCTTTTAATTCTGGTTGTTGTAGGTATTCTACTCTTGACATATGCTCTTCTTCTCTTTTGGCTTCCGCCGGATCCAAAATTTCTTCGTAGCCAAATCTTCTTATTCTTGGTTCAAAATGAGGAGTTGGAAGACTAAGTTCCTTCTTTAATGCAACCCCAACAAACTTTCTCAAAGGATGGAATGGATCATAGTAAAATCTAACAAACCCGGGTTCTTTAGCGAAAATAGTATGATCTTTACCAATATCAACGTTTTCTCCAGGATGTATCTTAGTACCTCTCTGTCTCATAATGATCTGACCAGTTTTAACAAAATGTCCTTCGTATGCTTTAGGTCCTAATCTACGACCTGCTGAATCATTTTTATTGGTTTTAGAACCAGCAGCTCTTTTAGTAGCAAAACGAACCTGGTTGATGTTATTGTTCAAACTCACTTGGAGCTGGCTTCTACCAAGACTAAGCCCACTCAACTGTTTGGCTAACGACATGTTGGATATGTAATGCTAAAACAATTACAAGCTGCAATCAAGCATTAAGTGCTTGACTTTTTTTTTTCACTTTTTTCGTTCGCTTTTTCTGTGTACTGAAAATTACACTATAGCCTTAGCTGCACCCGTGTATTCTTCAGTACGCCACCCGTACATCAGCTGTTCGCGCCAACTTTGTCTTTCGAACGCTAAAAATTTTAACAGTCATTTTTATGGGCAGAGCTTAAAGAACATAACAGTAGACGAAATCAATAGGATATGTAACGGCACTTGTTGATAGAGTGCAAAAAAAAAGAAATGCGCAAACCCGGAATCGAACCGGGGGCCCAACGATGGCAACGTTGGATTTTACCACTAAACCATTTGCGCAGTGAATAGTAAGAAAATGCTCCGCGACGGGGAATTGAACCCCGGTCTACCATGCGACAAACGGTAATTCTAGCCACTAAACTATCACGGATGATTTTGTTCAAAAATATGAAGGTAGCTTTTTTGTTTTGTTGAATGTGATTTGAGAAGCTGATTTATGATAATTTTTCAATTTTTTATTTTCCTTCTATCTTGGATAATTTAGGAGAATTTTTAAACTAAAATAGTTAATTTTAAGAAATTAGCTGCCATCCAATGTTGGTCCATGTGTTTTAATCGAAAATTATTCATAAAATATATTTTTCAGATTTTATACATTTTCAACCTTCTTCAACAATGTATAAACCTTCGATTTAAAAGTAGGTAGTACTTATATTAGTGAAAAAATGATTAATCTTGTTCTAAATGCTGCCAGATATTAGATATATTGGCACAAATCTTAAACAGTTCGAATATAGCCCAAATTATTGGGAAAGGCCAATTTAACGATTCAAAATTTCTACGAGCTCTTCTTCTAAAGTAACCCGACTTATATCATAGCTGAATGCTTTTTATGGACATTTATTTACAAGTATATAATGATATATATGTATCACTTAAAGAAGAAACCAACGGGTATATATCTTTCACTAAGTCTGCACGGTTATATTTATAATTCGGAAGAAGAAACAACTTACTGGCCATGCGTAGCAGCCAATCGCTATGGGCTTAGTATTTTACTCAGGGACCATCGTCAATCATTCGAATACCCTATTTCAAGTGTCTTTTTGATTGTAAGCAGCTACTTTTTGCAACAAGGACTTAATAACTTTATTTTGTACATCAAATTAGCAAACAAAATCTACGAAATAGGAACATTCTTCAACTTACCAAGAATATATATATGCTTTAATTTACAAAATAAAACTACATTGTTTAACTTACAAAGAATTCAATGTTTTTTCTGAATATGTTCCTTCAACAGCTATAAAATGAGGAATTTTGCAATTTCTGTGCAAATTTATGAAAATATTACTTAATTGAGCTATACCATTGAGAAGGGAACAACGTCTCCTTGAGACTAACTATGAAATGGGATTCGAATAAGGCTTAAGAATATAATTCTCTTTTCAATGTTCATAGGTGAATAAGTTTGTATGCTTAACCTTTAGCAGCTCTTTGGTGCGGTGAGACCGAAGACTGAAAAAAAACAAAAAAAATCTATAATGATCTATCTAGAATTCTTAGCAGAAGAACCAGGTGTTAAAAATGGCAAAGAAGAAAACCAAAGCTGAAGAGCCTCCCGCTGAAGTGAAAGGAAAATCGAAAAAGAAAGGTAATCAAAAAGAAACCGAAGCAGCAGAGAAGGATGATCCGAAAAAACCTCTGAGAGGTTTGGCAATTGGTGAAAATTTTGGCTGGACTGGTAAATTGCCAGCTACTCTATTACATGAACATTGCCAAAAGCAAAAATGGAATAAGGTTATCTTTGATATGAAAAAAACACCAAAAGGTTTTATTGGAATTGTTAATTTAAGTTGGGAAAATCCAAAGACGAAAGAGATAATTCATGTCAAGATGATACCTGACTCTGATTTATATCAGCCAAAAGAAACTACAAATGAAGCAAGACACTTTGTTGCTACTTATGCATTACATAGACTTAACTACATGAAAAACATGAAGATGTTATTTCCAATCATATTCAGAAATTATTGGTCTGATCTCGAATCTAAACGAGTACAAATCTTGAAAGAAAATAAAGACCATCACAATAATATATATAATCCTGATCCTTTCACCGTTGTTTTACAACAAAGAGAGAAAAAAGACCAAATGGAAAAAGCCAGAGCCATAAAGGAACAAAATGATGCAAAGACCAAAAAGCCAATGATAAATATTCTGGCAAACAAACCTTCTGCATCCAATGCTAGTCAAAAGGAAGGCTCAATTGAGAAACAGAAATCTCTGAGTTCGAAAACCCAAATCGATAGAACCACACCTACTTTCCCACGGAAGGTCTGGGACAATGCTCCTTTCATTGACTTCAATTCTGAAATCAGAACCTCCATCGAAGAATCAATTAGATCTCATATAAAGTGGTTTACAGAAAATGAAAACCCGTCGACAGAACAAAAAGAATACTTCACCCAATTGTTTAAACTTGGTTTTAGGGAAAGCCATATTCAAGAATCATTCAAATATACATCTACGTTTGTGGATGCTCTCGAATGGCTCATTTTCCATATCCCTGAGGACGATTTACCCCAATTCTTCTCTAAAAGGGATGAAGACTCGGGTGTTGCCTTGAAAATATCCAAAAATATCCAACATGAATACTTATTAAAAAGACTTGCGCAATCAGGTTTTGATGAGGATGAAGTTGTCACCACTCTAATGGAATGCAATGGAGATGAGATTGAGACTGCAGTAAAACTCACCCATAAATTATGCACCTATGATATGTCATTTGATGACGTTGAAGATGGAGATGAACTTTGGGATCAGGAAATTCAAGGAATAGATGCAATAGAATCACATAAGGTGAACACCGAATCTAATTGTGGTAGAGTTATGCTGGTTCAATTAAAACCACAAAATATAGCCCCCGATTTATTGAACTTAAGATTATACAGGCCTAAGAACTATCCTAATGAGTTACCGGGTATTCAAATAATTGTAACCAATACATCCTTTAAATTAGCCAATTACATCAAGCTATCAATTTTGAAACAGTTATTAGACTACCTCATTAATAACAATTTCTTAGGAACTTGCATTATCTACCCCGTTATAGAATGGTTAGAGGAGAATATATCTAGAATTATCGAAAAACCTGGCCCGTTGGTAAATGATAAACTGGTATCTTCCCCCAACACTTCGCAAGCTAACATATCTTCTAACCAGAGGTCAAAGACAAACTCAAAATCAAAAACTTATAGACTTCTGGAAGATGACATTGAAAGATTAAGAATCTCCTATCAAGAGAAGTCTGCCCTGGGTAAAATGACAGAATTGAAGGAAAAAAGAGCAGGTTTACCAGCATGGAAAAAGAAAGACCAATTAGTTTCTGTCATCAATGCAAACAAGGTAACAGTAGTAACAGGTGAAACTGGTTCCGGTAAATCAACTCAGATTGTTCAATTTATTCTCGATGATTTGAATTCAAAGGGGAATTTCGAGAGTTCGATTATATGTACACAGCCAAGACGTATATCTACCATTGGGTTAGCGGAGAGAATTAGTGATGAAAGGTTAGAAAAAATTGGAAATGAAGTTGGGTATGTTATCAGGGGAGAAAACAAAACTAATCTCTTTACCAGAATATCTTTTGTAACTACTGGGGTATTATTAAGGATGCTACAATCATTTTTATCATCAAACACTAATGAAGCCTCAATTTTTGATAAGTTAGAATATATCTTCATTGATGAAGTTCATGAAAGATCGGTTGATAGTGATTTCCTTCTTATAATTTTAAAGAAGATTATGAAAAGGTTTAAAAACTTGAAGATTATATTAATGTCAGCTACGATTAATACTGATATTTTCAAGAATTTTTTCGGTACAAATGTTAATCACATTCATATTGAAGGTAGAACTTTCCCAATTAAAGACTTTTATTTGGATTCGATTCTTGAGTCTTTGGATTATACAATCACTAACAATGATGGAGAAAGCATAAGACCAAAAGCTGACTCCCATTTCTTCAAATCTGGTAATCTCAACTACGAGTTGATTGCAGAATTATGTTTAAATATCGATGAAGATTTGACAAGTACTTCTAATAATGGTTCAATTTTAATCTTCCTTCCGGGAATAATGGAGATCAACCAATGTATCAGAACAATTGAAAAAATCTTTAAAGAAGAAAACAAGAGGGTATGGACTTTACCATTACATTCGGCTTTATCTTCCAATGACCAGAAGAGAGTATTTAGAGACCCACCAAAACTGACAAGAAAGATAGTTGTATCTACGAACGTCGCTGAAACCTCTATTACCATTCCAGATTGTGTTGCTGTAGTTGATAGTGGGAGGGTAAAATCCACATTTTATGATGCAAGTCTCAATGCTACGAAATTGATTGAAAGTTGGTGCTCACAGGCAGAGATAATGCAAAGAAGGGGTAGAGCAGGTAGAATAACAAATGGTAATTGTTATCACCTTTACACGGAAGAAACCGTTCAAACTATGTTGAAGCAACCAGTACCGGAAATTAAAAGATCTAGATTGGAAAGTTTGTACCTTGTTGTCAAAGCGATGGGGATAAATAAGGTGGAAGATTTTTTGAATGGCGGTCTTGATCCCCCAGATTCTTCATCTTTAGCCAAGTCAAAGTATTTCTTGAATGAAATTGGTGCATTGACTGCAACTGATAAATTATCTAATTTGGGTAAATACCTTTCATATTTGCCTACTGATCTTCAAAGCGGTAAGCTATTAATTTATGGATGCATATTTGGATGCCTTGAAACATGTTTGATCCTAGCATCTATCAGTTCTTCAGGAAGTCCTTTCATCAATAGTTACGAAGACAGAGATAAAATTAAGGCAAAGAAACAAAAGTATTCCAAGAAGTACGGTGACTTAATAGGGTCAGTTATAGTATACCAAGAATACGAAAAATTACGCAACGAAGGAGGGAAACTGAAGGAATTTATCAAAGAGAACTTCTTGTCGTACCTTACTTTGAAGGATATTGCATCAACAAGAGTCCAATATATTTCCATTTTAAAAGACCAAGGATTTGTTCCTTTCAGCTATCAACTGAAAAATGAAAGCGACTGTTTCCAAAATTTGAATAGAAACAAGGAAAACTTTTCTTTAATTTCAGCTATCATTACTGGTTCTTTCTATCCTAATATTGCAAGGGTTCAATTACCCGATCCTAAATACTTTCAGTCCTCAGCCGGTGCAGTAGAATTAGATGCAGATGTAAGACAGACTAAATTTTGGATCAGAAATGATGATTTCATGAACAAGTTACATGACGGCCAGGACTTGACCGGCACCTTACCTGCCACAAGAGTATTTATTCATCCATCTTCTCTACTTTTTTCGAACAATGATACCAAGGCTGATAATCTGGTTTTAGAACAGTTTACCAACGAGGACGGTTCCATTGATATGGAAAAGGCTAGAAGTTCATACAAAGCAGATTTAACTCCACTGGTTCCTGGGGCAAACTCCAATTTCCTTAGAACTTCCTTTGTTGTTTACGGCTCATCTCACCACACCAGCAAGCTATTTATTAGAGATATCACCCCAACAACAACCTTATCGACTCTTTTGTTCGGTGGTAACATCTCCTATGACATGAGTTCACATGTGAATACCGGAAAAACTTCACCTGGTCTTATTTTAGATGGCTGGATGCCAATTCGTACCTGGTGTAAAAACGGAGTATTGATCAAAAGATTAAGAATGTTAGTGGACCAGACTATCGAACAGAAGCTCGCAAATCCAAGACACTCAGTAAAGCCACTCGATGCCACTGACTCCAGTGACGATATTCTAGCTGTTGTGAACAAAGTTTTGCAACTATCAAACAAATGAAATCGCTAATTTCGCGGTTTTATTAGCAATTTCTTTGTTCAAAACTTTGATTACAAATATTTGAAGACCAAAAGAATCAGCTTTGAAGATAACTTACTACTTAATAGACTTTATAGACTTATAGCACAAGATATTCAATGTCCATATCATACATTTCAACTTAATTCGTATATATATAAAGATTTTCTAACTTATAAACGTAACTTGATTGTTAATGTCCGAAATAGAACCACGAAGAGATAATAGAGATGATCTTTTAGAGCAGGATTCAAGGGGAGAGAATGACCAACTTTTACCCAATGGTCAAATCAGGAATAGGTCGACTTACAAGGCTACAGGTCAAGGTGATATTTTGGATGGTGACGAAGGCGATGGTTATGAAGATGTATTGGAATTACCTCAACCGATAAGGGAAACTGTTCCGCTAGAAGATGATCCAAGCATACCAGTGCTTACATTCAGATACCTTCTTCTATCTACAATATTTGTTATCCCGGGAGCATTTATTGATACGATAAATTCTTTCCGAACGACATCAGTTCCATATTCCATATTTTTCGTGCAAATTGCTGGCCATTGGGCAGGTAAATGGCTAGCTAAGGCCTTACCTAATAAAAGGGCAAAAGTGATGGGGGTTGAATTCAATCTAAACCCAGGTCCGTGGTCGATAAAGGAAACTGCATTGCTAACCATCACTGCTAAAAGTGGAGCAACTGGAAACTTGGCTACTAATGCCTTATCAATGACTGAATTACATTTTAATGAGAGGCTTTCTTCCTTTGCTAGTTTGGGTATAATGTTTGCAGCAGTCTTCATTGGCTATTCGTATTCAATAATTCCCAAAAACTTGGTATTGTACGATCCCCAGTATCTTTGGCCTCAATCTTTAATGCAGACAGCCCTATTGCAATCTCAAGCAAAGTCGGGTCAACCAAATGGAAAATCTTCCAATACAATGAAGGTGTTTTTCTTTGCAGTTATGGGTATGACTATATGGCAGTTATTTCCTGAACTAATATTTCCGTTAATGTCTTCAGTTGCTTTACTTTGTTATTTAGCACCAACCAATAAAACACTTAATTTTATCGGCTCTGGTATAGGAGGAATGGGGTTGTTGAACTTTTCATTTGATTGGGCAAATATATCCTCATCTATTATGTTATATCCTTATTACATTCAAGTTATTGAGTTTATCGCATTCGTTGTGGGAGCATGGGTTTTAATCCCACTAGTGAAGTTTAGTAATATATCCCAGTTTAAAGATCAATTGATGTCCAATAAAATATTCACGGGGAATGGAACTCTTTATCCGACGGATAAGCTTATCACCCCTGATTACCAACTTAACCTCACTGCCTATGAGATTTATGGTCCAGTGTATTTGGGTCCTCAAAAAGCCTGGAATATGTTCTTTGAATATGCTGCATACGTATCGGGAATTGTGTGGATATTATCTTTTGGATATGACAATTTGAAACAATCCTTTTTTAGATATACCAAAAATAATAAAAAGGGTCCTTCCGGTAATTTCACTGACCGACTTAATAAGCTTAATTCTCAATATCAGGATATACCTTTGTCGTGGTACTTAACTCTTTTACTGTTATCATTAGCAATTTTATTGATCCTAAATATCAACGGAAAGCTTTTCATGCCCTGGTGGTGTTGTATTATAGCTTTGATCTCTGGTGGATTAATTGTAACACCTTTAATATGGTTATATGCAATGTCTAATTTCCAGCTCCCAATAGGAACTTTCAATGAATTATTTTACGGTTACCTTGTGGAATCAGTTAAGAAGAAACATGCTGCTGGGGCTTCTTTCTACAGTGTTATTCTGGGAAATGCGTGGTATAGATGCCAGCATCACTTAGAAAGTAGAAGGTTGGGCTTCTACAACCATATTCCTTCTAGAGCTGTGTTTTTTGCTCAGATATATGGCGAGATAATCGGGGTTCCATTCAATTATTTGGCCATGCGTTACGTCCTTGATACAAAAAGGGATTTCATAGATGGTACTAAGATCGACCCCATTCATCAATGGTCCGGTCAGGACATTACCTCAATGTACACAAATTCAATTCAATACGTAATCCTTGGTCCTTCAAGATTATTCAAAAACTATCCTTTCTTGCCGTATGGGTTTTTGGTTGGGCTCTTAGCTCCATTACTTATTTTCCAATTACATTGTAAATACTCAAACTCCCCTTTGCAATTTAACCTTTGGAATACAACAGTTTTTTTCTCAAGAATGGGTAGATTCTACGGTAACATTTCAACTGGATATCTTTCAAAGTTCTTAGGGGGAACAGTGACCATGTTATATGCCTACAGATACAAACATGACTTATGGAAACGCTATAACTACATTTTGGCAGCCTCTTTTGATACTGGCTTGAACTTAAGCATTCTAATCATTTATTTTTTCGGATTCCAAATGCCCAACTGGTGGGGGAATGACCCCAGAAGCGTAGAAAGATGCTTTGCATATTGATTCATATAGATATTAAGTATTATCCATAGGAACTCAAATAGAACTCCTCTTTATAAGAAAGTTGCAAAATGTATAACAACTTCCGAGGGCAAGTAACGTGATTTTCCCGAAATTGCGAAATTTTTGAATTTTTTTTTAAAAAAAAAAAATCCAAACGAACATCGAAAAAGACTTGCTTTGATTTATCAACATTCAAACGTCCTTTGGAATCAATCGATTAGCCAATCCTCACGGACCATGAACAACGATATGTCTAACAACGGTGGAATGAATAATTCCGGAAATAATGGTGGTAATGTTTCTGGTAATATGAACTTTAATCCAAACATGAATAATCAAGGTGCAAGTTCTAATCCTCAACAGAATAGACCTATGAATATTCAGCCAGCTCAGGCCAATAGACTCATTCAAGAGCTTAGAAATGAATGGGCTCTTGCAAAAGCAGCCGGTGATAACCAAGCTGAAGCACAACAGCATTACAGAAGAGCAGAACAAATAAAACAAGTTTTGATTAAATATCATGCACAAAGAAATGCCAGACAACAACAGGCTCAACAACAACAACAACCACAATTTCAAGGTAGCGGAACCCCCTCTTCTCAATCTTCTCAACAAGGACTCAATCAATCTCAACAACAATTTCAAAACACAAGCGTCTCTCCCGGACCACAACAACTGCCACAACAAAACCCCTCCAACCCTCCTTTATCTCAACAACCAACTCAGCAATTGAATAATAATCCTACTAATACTATGCAGCAAATGGGAGCTGGATCCCCTGCCCCACAATCGTCAGGAACTCCTCAACCTCGTCAAGGCTCACCAGGTGCTCCAAATAATCAAATTTCAATTGAAAATTTCAATCAAGTCAAGTCCAGAATGATAAGTCTTGATGGAAAAATCAAACAACTTAATGCGGCTAAGAATACTCCCAACTTGACTCCGGAACAACTTGCTGCTATTGATAATCAATTGAATGATTTCAATCTGAAATTAGGTAAATGTCAACAAGTTGCTTTAATAATAAGAGAACAATTAACAAGAAGAAATGCTGCTCTTTCTTACTCAAATAATAACTTCAATGCTGGTACTCCTGGTGCTCTGTCTTCATCACAAATGTCCCAGAATCAACAGAGTCAACAATTGCCCCAAAGTCAACAACAGTCTCCAATTAACCAAACAGCTCCAAGCCCAGCTGCAAATCAAATCAACCCACAATCACAAGCTAAGATCCCCCCACAACCGAAGCCAAAAACTCCTTTACCGAAACAACAACCAAAGCCCACTGCAACAGCACCTCAAGATACCCAAGGAGCACAGGGTGCTCAACCAAATCAAGGCAGAAAATTATCATCAGCTCAGCTCAAAGGAACTCCTGGTGCTTCTGAGACCCCAATTCCTAGGGCAAGTGCAACCACAACTCCAAATACTGCAGCTGCAAATGCAGTGGCTAATAATGCTCAAATAAATAAATCGAGTAAAACGTCATCCCCAGCTCCTTCAAGTAAAGGTAGTGCCTCTCAGCCTCCCGGACCACCAGCAGTAAATTTAGCAGGGATAACCAAACCAAGTGTACCACCAGTTCCAATCTCTAATAGTATTAATGTCAAACCACCTAATCCTGTGACTTTGAAGCCTGGTGGAAACAATACTCGTGCCACATTAACTGGTGGATCTGCTAATGGTTTTGGTCAAGTTGTTGGTACTCCGGCTGTTGTTAAAATGCCTACATTTGATTTAGCTACTACTGGTGCAGGAGGTCCTATTCCAGATAACAATGGCCGCGTGTTAACAAAGAGAAAGCTCACGGAGTTGGTTAATACAATTGGAGCAGATGAAGGTGATGGAAAAACAAACATTGATGGTGATGTTGAAGAACTTTTACTTGATTTGGCTGATGAGTTTATCACTTCTGTTACAGGATTTGCCTGTAGATTAGCAAAACACAGAAAAGTGGATTCAGTTGATGTGAGAGACGTTCAATTACATTTAGAAAGAAACTGGAATATCAGAATCCCGGGTTATGCAATGGATGAAATAAGAGCCACCAGAAAATGGCAACCAAGCTCAAGCTACAACCAAAAAGTTTCTGGTGTTGAAATTTCTAAATCTGTTAATGGGAATATAAATTAAAATATATGATTTATCTAAGGTAGAATAAGTAAATATTTTATAAATTTTAATCTAGCTTTACTTTAAGGAATAGCAATTATTTTGTAAAATCAACTTGCCTTCATCTACCATATAGTTTAGATATTCCTCTAACTGATCAACTGTCAAATCTCCTCCTAATTTCTCTTTTGATATACTCGCACCAAGTAGAAAGTGGATTCTTGTAGCAGGTAAAGGACTAATATTACTCAATATACCATTAACATATCGCCATAACAAGTTTTTGAATGATAAGTCAATTTTTTTAGACTTCGAGCCTGTTTCCGTCTTATTGTTTAATAATTCACTTGGGTTTGGTTGGACACCAGATGCCTCTGAATATGTATTCAAAGTTTCATTAGTTTTGAAAGTATTTTCTGAAGTTTGAATTAAAATTTTTGAATTGACCCAATACTCGATGGCTTTGGAAGCCACGTACAGGGGCATTTTAGTTATTGTTAATATTTGATCAAGGCTTAATTCTTCAGCTTCATCATCGAAAAGAGAAATAACAACGGCTTTATCAGGTGTTACTTCGAATGCTAATTTTTGATTATTAAAATCCAATTCTAGCTTTACCAAACCAATACTTGATAAAGGTTTCAAGTATCTTCCAGGATTTAAAGCGGTAAATCCTTCATTGAATTTACAGAAATGATTATTGATAACATCAGGTAATTTAAAAAAATCGTTTTCTTCTGATAAATTTTCACAAAGATGAGGCCAATAAAGATGCGATAATACTGTTGAATGGAAATTTGTTGAATATTGATGTGATTTAGCTATATTGTTAATGTTTTTGTTGATGTTTTTACTTTCATGGATATCTCTTACCATAACATCAAGAGTAGTAAATTCGTTTTTACCAAACCTTGATTTTAATAAATCTAGATGATAGTTGATATCTTTCAAGTCATAATCATGTATATTGATTAATCTATCACCAAACAACTTCGTGAATTCGTTAATGAAAACATCTTTCAGATCAAAAATAGAAATTAATGATTCAATTACATCAGTAACTTTCCCTTTTTTAAAATCTGGTAATGCATCTATAGGGTCCGGCACCCAATTGAGGTCTAATAAGTCATCAACAAGAACATCATTATTACGAGGATCTGAAACGTTCTTTTTATCATTTGTCGAGTTACCCAAATGTCCTGAGATACTCATATCAGTTTCATTATTATGATTCTTAGGTTTTCTTAATTCATGTGCCAATTCTGCTAATTCATTTGATTCATCATCATCATTTAATAAACCATGAACCAACTTTACAATGATATCTTCCCTAGTTTTCAAGTATCGACGAATTGGACGTACTACTTTATCAAGCAAAACACCCTTAGGGTCAATGATAAGGAATGCTTTAATGGTAGAAGTATAAGTTGTTATGACGTCAACTGTATTTGCACCAGAATGTAGCAAATTCTCATGGCAAGCCTGAATGAAGGTATCGACTAATTTAGCTCTTTGGTAAGCTTGGGAGCTTAGATCATTCTCCATTAGACTTGAAAATTGTGTGGATGTCATTGATAACCCAGAATGGTTTGTAAAATCAGGGTTTGAGAAATCGGATTGCTTTTTTTGGTTATTATCATTGTGATTATTATTATTACTTTTGAACAGTATGCATTGGTGTAATTCTGATAATGCAATGGAAGAGGAGGGATAATTAACAATCATTTGATAGAGTTCATTTATACGTAAAGAAACCAATTCATCATGACTAATTTTCATTAACTTGAACAAGTAAGACTGATTGAATTCAGTAGATGAAAGTCTCATTATAATATTAAAGCTAGGGTACAAATCAATTTTGATCAGATCGTTAATTTTTTCTAGTAGAGGTACATCCCAAACACCTCTACAAGTATTAATCACGAGATGCTTAATTTTCTTAATTGATAGTTTGATAACAATTGAATTTAACAAATCTATGAATCCAATTGAGATAAGGGTCTTAATATAATCTTGTAAAGTAGAAATAGCGTAATTTGAAGATTTTGAAGTATTATTGAATAAAGATTCAATAAGATAATTAGTAAGTAGGGACTGGAAAGGCGAATTTTTGTTTTTTATGACGTGAATGTGGAATAACGAATTCAAGTTTCTATTGAATAAATCATTAGATAACTTTCTTAGATTCAAAAAAGTTATATATTGACTATAATAAACCTTGATTAATTTGATACGATTCATAATATCCATAAGGTCTTGAACCAGATGGTCATTCTTACTATTAATAAACGGCTTGAAGTCGTCATTGAAGCATTTCCTGATTGAATTAATATACAATTTAACAAATTCCATTTGACTCACATCATCTTTAAGACAGCTTCGTATAGCAGCCCTCACTCTTGGAGATGGTTCAGTGACCACGGTCTGACTTGGATCTTGAGGGTAATAAGGATCCAACCAGTCTAACAAGCAATGAAGGTCGTTTTCAATCTCGTTGAATGGTTGATCGGTGGAACTGGAGTTGGTGTCTAATTCGTCAAAAGTGGCACTTGTAATGATCAGTTTGATATCATTCTTGGATATGGGTAGCGTTGTATTCATACCTGCGTAATGCCTTGAACAAGAAGAAGCCGGTAAGAAGCCAATTGGGTGGAGAGAGGGCAAGAAGAAGGAGTTGTTTTGATTGTGAAAGAAATCAAAGCTTGATTAGCACACAAATGAGATGAAAAAAAAAAAAAAAAATCAAAGAATCAAAGAATCAAAGAATCAAAAATTCGAAGAAATCAACTTGATATTCATATTTTGATAAAATCATAATAAGAGCTAGGAAATGGTATGTACAGTGAATGGGACGATGGAAGAAATGAAACTAACAAAGGAACAGGCCAGACCACTGAAGGCGAATCTCAAACAGCAGTTTATATCGATAACTGAGACCAATAGCACCACTGCTACGGCCTGGTTAGAGAAGTATAAGTGGAAATTAGAGGATGCAATGAATGCTTACCTAAGTAACGGCGGGGTAGCTGGAGAGATTGACGAGACCAACAAGGGGGTTACATTGAATGATATTGACGAAGATTTGGTGAAAATATATGAAAAATATCAAGATGGACAAAATAAGGAGATAATTGATATTGACGGGACATTTCAATATTTAGAGGATTTAGGAATTGATCCAGAGGATATGATCAGTTTAACGTTATCATATTTTTTGGAATCACCAAGTACAGGTATATTCAATAAGAGTTCATTTTTAACAAGATGGAATAATGAACAAATCAATAATTTAAAAGATATGAAGGTTTATTTAGAGGAATACCAAAAAAGAATTAATGAAGATATGAAGGAGTTTGAAAAAATTTATATGTTTACATTTGATTTCATTAAAAGTAATAGAATAGATAAAACTGTTAATTATGAATTATCGATATCATATTGGAAATTATTATTTAACCAAAGGCCCGAATTTCAAAATGACACCTGGGAAAGATTGGAGCAGTGGTTTAAATTTGTTGAAGATGAATATAAACGAGATTTTAGTAAAGATAGTTGGAAGATGTTTTATTATTTTGTCAAGGACATTATTTCCCAGGATCCAAAAGAATTTAAGGATTATGATGAAATGAGTGCATGGCCAAGTGTAATTGATGAATACGTTGAATATTTAAGAGAAAATCAATTATTAATAGAATAAATATTCATTAGCATACACATATATAAGTTAATAATAAAATAAATACAAAGAGAAGAAGAGAAAGAACAAATTTAATTTAATAAATTATCGATACTTGATTTTCTTAGAGCCAATAAGGTTTTGGAAGCATCTTTTTCAGATAATTTACGTTTAGTAGAACCGTCATCAACATCGAGAGAATCATCAATATAAGTAAGACCGTCATCTTTGATCGAGTCATTATTTGGCAGTTGTATGATAGTATTATTGGCGGGGATTTTTGATTTGAAAAATTTTTTACGGGGGTAGTTGGAATCATATTGAGAAGGAGAAGTGATTGCAGGGTCCGGCAATTGAAATTGAGTATTTGATTTACTGAAAGATGATCTTAAAGGTTTGGTAAAGGGAGAAACTCCGGTTGACTGGCTTAGTCTAGTATCGTTTGGTAAATTTGTTGTATTTGTAAATGAAAAAGAGGAATTAGTTGAATTTGAATATTTATTCAACATTGAAAGTATTGGTGCCATGTCGGGGGTTATTTCTGGGCTGGGTAATTGATTTTTATTAAAACTTGGTGGCAGGTGTTTTATTGATGGTAATGAAGAAGTTGATCTTATTTTTTTAACTTGGCGACGTTCTAAAGGGGGTAAGTTATGGTGACTTTTCTCATCGTTTTCATCAACGTGTTCTTCTATGGAATCCTTAATGACGTTTGTTTTATTGGATACATTTGAGTTTGCCGGTGAGATATTTGGTGAAGAAGAATTTGAAGAAGAGTTCGAAGAATGGGCCAAATCTTTATTTTCAATTAAATCTTTAAAACTGAATTCTTTATCTATATTTCTATATTGATTAACGTTTAAAGGAATATCACAAAAATTGATATCAAACGAATAGTCTGGATTGTTTGATAATAAAGCATGTTGTTTTTCAATTATATGATGAAGGTAAAGAATGTATTCAACTGATGATTTTAATATAGTTAATTTATACATCCCATCGATTTTATTATTGTTATTGGAATTGGAATTCTTCTTAGTATTTGAAATACTACCTTCATTTGAAGAACGGCAAGCAGGAATCAAATACTTTAATGCTTCAAATTCCCTATTAATTTTTATTCTTCTTCTTTTTTCAATAATCGAATGTAATTGCTTGGTTTCATGCTTCCGTTTAGCCAACTCTTCCGAATCAATATTTGCCGATGATCTTCTACGTTTTTTCTTTGCTTGTGGTTGTTCTAAAATCCCAATGTTGCTATTGGTATTACTTTCGCTTGAATTCCCATTATTCATCCATTCATTAGTTAAAATCTCATAATTATTATCATCGTTATCCAAGTCTTTATTAAGCTGAATAATTGTAGTCTTCAACATTGGAGGACTAGGTAACGAAGAACTCATCTTTAACTCCCTTTAAATGCTGTCAAATTTATAGAAACCAAATAAAAATTTTTAATGGAAGTACAAATGGAAAGCAGATCTAATTTAATTTATAGCTTAAAACCACGAGTTCAGTTACTAGAAATGAAACTTGTTGCAACAAATAAGACAAAACCCACGTTCAAATTAAATCCCACACGTTTTTAACTCAATTACTTTGACCGTTTTCCCTTTATCTTCAACCTGCTGCTTACGCTCACACGAGTTTTGCCATGGTCCTTTCAATCTTGTGCTGTAAAGACTCGCTTCCCACGTGTAGATGCAAAGAATTTAAAAAAAGAATAATGAATAAAGGTAGTGTGCCGCGCCCAGTTTGCAGCCACGCCCCTCCCCACGTTGACGGCTGGTGGTGCACGGGTTTGACCCTGTTTATTGTTCGTGTGACGACTTTCCCCAATTGGATTTGCAACCCATATCACCAGGATCCGTATGTCTAATTGCAGAGCAGGGTCTAATTGCAGATGTAATTGCAGGTCAGTGTGTCTTTCTAGTGCAGTGTCTAATTGCAGATGTAATTGCAGGTCAGTGTATCTTTCTAGTGCAGTAGTCATTTTTGGCTAGCTGTTTGCAACAGCGATACCCCCATTGGCCGTCGTGGTAGTAGCTCCCCCACACACTGGTGTGGTCCAAGGGGTAGACGTCTTCGGAAAAGCAGGATCTCTTTAGACCGTTGGGGTCCTTGGCGTCCCCGGCAACCCTGGTTTTGATTTCGGCCGCTTGGGGGGCGTTACGGAGAAACTCATCGCCTCCGTATTTGGTGAGGAGCTGCTTCTTGCGTTGGCTGTTTAGCTGGCGCTTCGACTCTTGTGCCCTTTTGTTCTGAAGCATCATTAGAGTTGGACTGGCCTCGAGACTGATATCGAGATTAGCAGGAATGTCGTTTGAGTCCAGAACGTTGTGCCGGAGTTTTTCCTTTTGTTTTTCAGCTTCGTATTCTCTATTCTGTTCCCAGGCAAATTTTTGCACTTGTTCCAAGTCACTGGCCTCTCCACTCAAATATCTTACAAATTGGTTTCGGTCGTTCAAGTAGCCTCTTTGCGGGTCCACCGCGATCCGGGACTTGGGGTCGTAGCTGATCTTATTACTGGAATTGATACTCATGATATACGCCGGGACATCTTGCCTATCTCTGATTGTTTTTTCCAAAGGATCTTCTTTCAAATTCTTGACAATATCCTGTTTACTCAACCCCAACTCCATGAGCTCGAGCTCATACTCGCTTTCGTCATCACTCTCCTGGTGCTCTGGTGTGGCGGTTTTCCTTCTTTTCACTTTATCCCAATTTTTAACTAGTCTGTCCCATTCTTCGCTATTATATCCATACCAGCGGTCTCGTTTGGAATCCCAATCCTGATAGCTCTTCACTTGACTCTCTGCGCCCTCAACGAACTTGTCTTCTATTCCTTCTCCCGCACGCGCTATACTGTGATCGATTGGTTCTGCTTCTGGCTCGAGTCGTTGATGTGATAGGTAATCTTGAGCTTGTTCTTGCTCGTTCTGGTCGCGCCGCTGGTACCACGGAACGTTGGCGATGTATTTGGGTATGTAAGGATTGATCTCCCTCCCCAGCTTGTCCAGCTGCTGTTTGGGCGGAGTGGCCATCACGATAAAGAAGGTGCTGATGAAGTGCTGTAGAAGCGATGTGTAGTTTTTTGAGTTGATTTTTTTTTTTTTAGTGAGTTTTTCGCAAAACTGCAAATTCTACAATTACATTTCCCTAGAACTATATTACAATTTTATACATTAGAAACCCTTCCATTCTTCTTCTTCTTCGTCGTCTTCTTCGTTTTCATTGTCGGTGTCGGTTTCGAAAACCCCCCAGTCTTTCAATCTTTGATCTTCCAATACTTCTTTACATTTTATTCTTAAGGTCTTTAATAATGCACTCTTGTTTAATTTTGCAAATGGAGAAAGTAATTTTTCAACTGGGGTCTTTTCGACGATATCGAGTTTCTGACGGAAAACTTCTTTGAATTGCTCTTCGTTCTCTTCCAAGTCTGCTTCTTCTAAATCAGCAAATAATACTGTTTCTATTTCATCAATATAAATATCACATAAATGATATGGTAATGCAACTGGTACTGATTTATCTCCACTTAAAACGTGTTTTTCTAACACTTGTAAGAAGTCATTGATTTCTTCTTCTTCCCATCCATTTTTCTGTAAGCGAATGAAGTTTTGTCTTAATATTCTTCTAATTGTTAAATAATATTTATCAATTCTCCATTGATCGATACTCGGCCATTCCTTGATGAGAATTACCCAGAATGCTTCATGGAAGGTCGAGTAGCTTGCGGCTGGTATCACGTCACTGAACAAGTTGGCCAATTCCTGTGCCAACTTCTCTTGGGGACCGGCTTTATCGCAAAACCACATGGCAAAGTAAAGTCCTTTCCATAATTTTTCCATTTCTAATAATGACAATTTCGAGCTTGATCTGGATTTCAAGTAGTTTCCCAACGCTTCAAAAGCCGCCTCTCTGGTCTTGCGGTCATTGGATGCTAGTTTCTTCACAAATGTCGACGTCTGCTTCTCGGACATGGCGTATTTCTTGCTGTCTTGTACTCTGTAGTCGGTAGTCTTCTCTGCAATGCTCTGCTCTTCGCTCTTTATCCTACAATTAATTTACTGAAATAAGAGTATATTAGTACAAAGTAGTAAACTATTAAATCGATATCATAGGAGATCGTATAAATATAAGAATTAAAGGAGCATTAATATTTCAATGATCGTACTGAAAATATCCAACAGATCAACAATAATTGGTCAAACAAGTTAAAAAGTCAAGAACTCAACAAGTCAACAAGTTAAACAAGTAAGTATCTGATTGGAATGTGGATCAATTTGACAACGTATCCAACAACACCCATCATGACAAAACCAACACCAACGGCTCTAATAATTTTAAGATATTCTAATTCAGTTAGTATTCATGATCAATTGATCAAAGTTCCGTTCAAAACATACCTTTCTTGTCTGGTTTTTGACACTTTTTGATGAAAGCACTTCCATCTTTGAAGAATTCAACAGGAACTTCAGTGATTTTTTCTAAACCTTCGCTAGCCATGGTTAATTATTGATGAAGAGAAGATACTGGGTTATCTTTTCCAATTATGAGGTGTTCGCTTTTTTTTTTTTCGAGTTGGCGTTCTTTTGGTTTCGGTGGGTTTGGCCACGCGCACACGACTTAGTATTAGCTGCTAATTCTACACTATAAGGTTGTTGCAATCGTTTAATGGGATAAATCGTTATCTATGTAGGTCGTAAGGTTAAGACATGATACCCAAGAGTTCGTCATCATCGTCTTCTTTTTCGGATCTTTGTTGAGCCATTATTTCCAATCTTTTTGTATTCAAATGGTCTTGATAAATTGGGAATTGGGATGAAATCCATTTATTCAAGTTGAGCAGCATTTCGTCGTTTAAACTCCAATTATCAATGATGAGTTGGATCTGACCGGTGTAGCCGGCAAATCCTTTCAAGTCAATTAGTTTTTGAATGACACGTTCATATAAGCCGTAGATAGTTTTATCGGTATCATTAACATTTAAATGAACTTTATTGAAAGAACGAGCAGAAACATTATATTGATGATAATGCTTCATGAGGATGGTAAGCAAGTTGAAATATTCATCAGTGACATCATCCAAAGAATTCAAATGTTCAAAGTAAATCTTATAAGGTTCCGGAGAGAAAAATCTTTGAGTTTCCGTATAAAGATTCCATAATTGGGATAAGGTATTATTTCTTTTAGATTGTAAATCATTGATATAGTTGAGATAGCCCTCGTAGTTGAAATCAACCGATTGTTGTGCTTCTTTTAAAGTGATGAAATTTTTCTTAGAAGAAGCTAAGATTGAATTTGAATTTTGTTTAATGAAATGGGTCAATGCTCTTTCTTTGTCAAATCTAGTATTTAACTCTGACCATTTAAAGATATTTTCCCACAAATTTTTAGCTTTTAATCCACTTAGATCTAATTTATAAATTTCCTGAAACTTGTTTACATAAACCATTGATTTGAAAAATTCATTATTATAAGACAATGAAGTAACTATGGCTTTTAAAATATTGATATTTGGATAGATTGAATCGTTTGAATTAGGTAATTTGAAATTAGGTATTAAGTTACCATTTGAATCAATCCCCCAGACATTCTCAATATACTTTGTTAAATAATCAATGTTACCCGAATGTCCAATTGAGTAAATCAAAGTTTCATTAAATTCATTATTTAAGATCCCGTTACCATTACCGAATAATTTTTGACTTTTCAAAAAATCATTGAAAACTAAAATCCAATTTTTTTCAGAGAAAAAAGTCGACTGTCTTGAATTCTTCTTATTGAAACTAATTTCATTATCGGGTATTTTCCACAAGAATGAACTTCCTCCACAGTATACTTTTAGTTTTAAATTCCATAAGGTTAACGTCATATGCTTCAAATATTCTCCCCTGGGATATTGTTCTTCAAACCTCAATATCCATTTAGACGCCAAGTCCAATTTGGCGTTATATAATTCAAGCATTATTAAATTTTCATAATCAAAAACACTTGGTTTGAATAATGATTCATTTAAAAATTGTAATTGGAAATTTTTTGTTCGATTATTTTTTGAATAAAGATGTTCATTGGATTCTGGATATAACAAATTAGCATATAATTGTCTTATACCATCTCTCAATACTTTGGACTCTTTCAATTTAGACTCAACTAAATATCCTTTTCTTTCAGCTAATCTATATTCGGCCACTTGACGAATCAGCTTAATCTGTTTTTCAATTATACAACGAACGTAATATGCAAAATCTCGAGAACTTAGTATCTTCTGCCATGAGCCAACATCCTCCTTATGCTTAGAAGTTAATTTTAAAAGGATATTTAGTAAAGATTCATACTGTTGAGTATTCAATAATTTTCTAATCTCGTTCTTGACCTGTTCTTGGGATCCAAGTTCTGGACTCGGTATATAGGCAAACGTGATATGATCCGACGAAATCGAATCAAGAAACTGCTTGGATGCTGTATTATTAAGAACATTATTTACCTTATTTGGTCTAACTTGACTAGGTATTTCATTGGATGCAATATCTTCTTCAGCTACGCTAGTCTCATTTATACTGAACGAAGAAGACGCCAAAAACCGCTTCCCAGTGGCTCCACCGGTGCTCCGTACCACCTGGCACAACCTCTGTATACTCGCCATTGCCTAGCTATGCATTCGTTTAGTCAAGTTATAAGATCTAATGAAAAAAAATTTAAAAACGAAAAAATTTCGGCTTTGATTCGGACACTCAAAGAATCGCTTACCCGGATTACTCCACAAAAAGGTACGGATCTATTCGGAGGACTACTTATACTACTTATACTACTACTAGAGTTTGGGCCCAAAGTCGTTGTCAATGTTGAAGGCATTGACAATGGCAACTTCTTTCAACCCGTCTTGAACGAGTCCACCGTCATATATCTGTTGAAGGGAGTTTTTCGTACCTTGGATGGTCCAGGCTTTATTGGTATTAATACTTTGACCTAATTCAATACAGTAGTCGATACCTGATTTAAGATCAGGAACAACTTTACTGACAAACCCCAAATCCCAAGCATCTTGAGCAGACCAATTTTCCCCGGTCAAAGCGTACTGGTTTAATCTGGATTGGTTATTGACAATAGAAGGGAGTCTTTGTAAAACACCGATATCAGCAATTATACCAACTTTGATTTCACGAATGGAAAACTTTGCATCTTGAGTAGCAACACGAATGGTGGTAGCAGAAGAAATATCAAGAGCCAAACCGATATTAAGACCATTCAACAAACAAATGGTGGGGGTTTTAATTCGAGCAGGAGCACCAATAGCATGCTGAAAGTCAGTGATATACTTATTCAAACCATCGTAACGTTCTTTGAAATCCCGACTATCATCTTTACCACCACCTTGGAAAAGTACCAATGCATCCTTTAAATCAAGCCCACTACTGAAAGATTTGGCAACAGTGGAAGAAATTAAAATCACCTTAGTACTCGAGTCAGCATCTAATTTGTATAAGATTTCCCCATAGTCTTGCCAATTCTTGGTTGAAAAAGCATTCAAATTCTTAGGCCTGTTAAATTGAACATGGGCAAAACCTTCTTCTATTTCGGATACAACAAATCCGTCGTACTTGTAATCTTCTTTATTGAAAACCATCTTATCGTCACTGGAATAAAGGAAAAGGTAGCGAAATCTAGCAGTTTATAAATAAAGTCCGTTATCATTGATTTTTTTTTGCAAAAATCCTTTGTCAAATGCTGAAAAATTGTTCCTCGGTTGGGTAATTTCATCTTACTACATCCAGGGTTTACTTTGTTGCTCTGCGAGTAGGGCAGTACATAGCTTACTAGATCGCTAGATCAATAGACCAACCGGCAGATTTCATGGGATAAGTATATTAATCAATAACTATTCGTACATCGGTTATATACATCTATAAAGCTTAGGGAGAAGTCCCCTCAGGCTCGACCGAGGTAGGTCGACTGGGTCCAATTTACACGGTGTATTTACCGGTGGGTGCGATGTTTTGGTCCCTGGCAACTGCTTCTAGTCCTTCAATCATACTTTGGCGAATCATATTATTTGCATCACGAACAGACTTTTCGGTTAATCCTTCCACCAAAAGATAAAGTTTGGGTGGATCGGATTTAATTGGGATTTTCGTATTTGGAGCGTAGTACTGTCCTTTGTTTGTTATTGATGTTGAAGTTAATTCGATGATTTTATTTAAATTATCGCTTTTACTAACCAACCATCTTGTCTTTTGAGGCAAATCGTTAATTTGAATCCGGGAATGATATTTGCATCTTTCAGGACCCGCAGTTTCATTAGCTCTACCTTGAATGATTTGGAAGTCAGGTAATTGGAAACTTTTTGTAGTTGATGGCTCATTCGAATCATCTTCGTTGAAAACTTTCCTTTCAAGGTCCCGATTACTTTCTCTAATTTCTTGTAAGTTATCAAGTCCTCTTCCTCCAAATCCGAAATAGTATTTTTCTTTACCTGATTTAACTTTTTTCAAAAATGCGTTGCTTATTTCTATTAATCTTGGTTCAATTTGATCTTGTTGCAGGAATTTCATGGCTTTGACTAAATCAGTAATTGATCTTTCTTGTTTGGAGGTGACAAAGGTAATTGCGGTTCCCTTTTTACCTGCTCTACCAGTTCTACCAACTCGGTGAACGTAATCTTCCATATGATTAGGAGCATCGTAGTTGATAACCAAATCTAATCCTTTAACATCTAACCCTCTTGCAGCAATTGAGGTTGCAATTAAAATATTAACCCCACTATTCATTGAAGAAAATTCTTTAATGGCATATTTACGATCAATTTGCTCCTTACCTCCATGGATAGCCAAACACGCATAATTATATCCAAGTAATTTAACAAGTAATTCATCAGCCGAATTTTGTTTTTCAACAAATATAAGTATTTTGGTTTGATGGTAATCTTTGACAATTTGAATTAATTTATTAAACTTGGATATCTCAAGTAATTCATCCAGATTATTTTCATGTTTATTAACTTCAAATAACTCTATTTGTTGACTGATTTCGGACGCAACAACACTTATACCCCCAACACTTATTTCAATGGGGTTGTTCAATATTTTCTTAGCCAATAATTCCATTTGTCTGGGAAAAGTTGCCGAAAATAATAGTGTTTGTTTGTCAGGTCTTATTTGACTGAAAATTTTCGATACTTGAGGTTCAAATCCCATATCAAACATTCGATCGGCTTCATCTAACACAGTATAAGTAACTCTTTTCAAATTTGTAACTCTACCGCCATTAGCCGCCAATAAATCAATGATTCGACCGGGGGTCCCCACAATGATTTCAGCACCTTTCTTCAATTCAGATATTTGATTTTCAATGTTTGCTCCCCCATAACAACAGCACGAAGTGAGTCCTAGACTCTTGGTGAAATGATTTAGTTCTTTATTGATTTGAATAGCAAGTTCTCTTGTTGGACTCATAATCAATCCAATTGGACCTTCGCCCCTTTTCAACGCCTTTTGATCTTTAATATGTCTTAACATTGGTAATACAAATGTAATGGTTTTTCCAGATCCTGTTTTCGCTATACCGATTACGTCTCTACCAGACATTATTGCTGGTAATGCTTGTGCTTGAATAGCGGACGGCTTGGGGTATTTCAATTTATCTTCAATCACCTCCATTATAGGTTGCGGGAGTCCCAAGTGAGCCCATTTTAAAATCGGCCTAGGACAGTCGACCCCTCTGACTTTAATATCCTGTAAATCTGATCTTGAATCTGCAATATCTTCCCTCAGGAGTTTTTCAATTTCAATGGGTGGTTTATAGAAATTTTTTCTGAATGAATCATATTGAATCGATGAATGATCAATAACTTCTAATTCTTTTTCTTTATTTGAGATTTTTTCAGTTAATTGGAAAAGTTTCTTCTGTTCTTCATCTTGATCTTCATCTTCGGCTTCTTCTTCCTCTTCGTGTACGTCTTCAACCTGTTGAAGCCCCTTTCCTTGATCATCCAAAGAATGGTCCAAGTTTTGCAAAAACAAATCTAATTCATCCTCTCCTTCATCTGATTGCGAATTAGTTCGATCGTTTCCAAGGGTAGGTTTCTTGAATACCGGTTTTGAATTCTGTTCGTCATCTTCTTCGTTTTCAAAGGCACTTCTTTTCTTTAGTAAACCATTTGATTTTGGTTTCACAATCTTCGGTGCTTTGATCGATATTTTGCTTTGATTCAACTTGGCCACAGCTTCTGTTTTATTCTGTAGTCTTTTCCTTTTCCATTCCTCTATCTTTTGTTGTCGAGATAACTGTTTATCATCGGCTGATGGTGCAGCAGGACTAGGAGAAGAAGAGCCAACTTCTTCCCGCTGTTTTCTCTGTTTCCACGCCTCTAATTGAGCCTGGCGTTTTTTCAAATTATCTTCCCTGCTTATCTGATCATTTGAACCTTCACCATTCTTTGATTTCCAAGCTGCTAATCTCTCTTGACGTTTCTTCAATTTTTCTTCCTTTGTGAGTTGATTACTTGACGAATCCCCCCCATTATTCAAACTGCTCATATTTGGTTAGTGCTGACGTTTTTAAAATAGTGATTTCGAAATACTAAACCTTTTCTATCAATTGTTGTTGCCGCTTGTGTTGTAGTTAATTCAAAAAGAAGTCATCTCAATCTAAAAAATCACATTCTCATCTCAAAAATTGTACGAAAAATTTCGAAATATCATCAAACTTTCCTCTACAACCTACAAATGCCATTAAGCATACGACAGAGAAGGGCAGAAGTCGCTAGCGGAGGGTACGAGGACCCATCAAGGATAGGAGAAATAGGGACCATTTAAAAATAAAAACAAAAATGGTGCTACTTCTTTGATACAGCCTTGATCACAATGTTGGCCCTGCCAAAAGAAGTTTATCTATGGATAATCCATACGAGACGAATTGAACCATGCAGTTGTGTTATCTTATCAGCTGGCCATAACCGACGCTCGGAGTAGACTTCCACAGAATCCCTTCCAGCTAATTGTTGAACGATTACCCAAAACCCAATAATAACACCAGATGAAAGCTTAATGACGTGCAACCAGGGGACAATTATCTTACCACTTATACGAAAAGATCTGGACCAAGTAGTCATCTGACGTCTTAAGCGCATAGAAAGGTCCATCATTTGTTCTAAAAATGACAATTACAAACAGAATGTTTGCAACAATTTCACATTTCACCTATCTAACAGCCAAGTTAGGTCAACTCTAGCCAACGTAGCCACTTTTAGTTAACGTAGCCACTTTTAGTTAACGTAGCCACTTTTAGCCAACGTATTTCAGCCAACGGAAATATGGTGTGGTTTTCTATGGTTTACTCCATCTGATTTAGTACCGTTGTATAAATAATCTACAAATGCTATACTCCAACTTCTATAAGCTTGATACACTCGACTTGACATACTCGACTTGACATACTCGACTTGACATACTCGACTTGACATACTCGATACACCAATACCTCACCTACTGACCAAACAGGAATACTATACCTGGTGATACTTTAATCTTACTTCATCACCTGAGATTTGTGTGCGAAAAGTCATTTAAAACTCACCGAAAAATTTTCGATCCAAAGGCAACTACTACTTCTCCAGTGCTAAGAAGACGCTAGTATTAACTGCAACATGTTCAGAATCATATCTTCCAACGCCCAGCTGACTTTCAGGCCGGTGTTGTTGCTGAAAGTCAGAAGTAATAAGGGGACCTTGAGCTTGCCCTCGACATCCAATGCTCTTCAAGCCAATAATAATGTTGGTGGCATGCCAGGCTACCCTGCCGCTGCTCCGATGTTCACCAGGTCCAACTCTGCTTCGACCACGGCAAACAATGCTGGTGGTATGGGGTATACTAATGTTTACACTCCAAGACTCGATGAACATTTAATGTATGACTCTCCAAGTTCCAATGCCGATGCTGGTTATAAGTTGAAAAAATTTCAAGATAATCTTCGTCGTGCTAATGAGTTTAGAAACAGGAAGGACAACAACCCACTGGCCAAGTTCATTCCAATCATGACCCAACTTATTGATTCCTTAGAAGATTCCACTTTGAGAAAATCCTTCTCATCAATGGATTTATTTCGTTATTCACAAATTTTAAGTTTTTCAATCTTTCATAATAGAACCAGTAGATTATCCGGAACGAAAAATAGAGATAGTGATCAATATAATAGTGAAAATTTGAACGATGAAGTTTTATTAAAAGCCGGGGTTTTAAAATTTGCTGACTATATTTTAAATGGAGAATTTAATTCGATTTTACAAGCACGTACTTTACAATTTGCCTTTTATGCTTTATCTCAGTTACGTGTTTATCCAGAAATGACCAACTTATGGGAACAAGGTGCTTTAGATAAAAATGTTGGTAACTTATACTTGGAACCAAGAATTTTGGCAATCATTTTACCAGTTGCTTATGACTCGGGTCGTTTCACTTATGAAGAAGTTTTAGAAATATACTCTCAATGTGCTAATTCAAGACGTTACGTTGGTCATGAATTATTATCGTCAATTGGTAAAATCGCCATCACCGCCGGAGATTACTCAAAAGGTTTAGATGCTTTAGAAGCTTTATTGAAGCTATATGAACAGAAAAATAATGACACTGTTAAGATTTTGGGTGCCTTAAGTGATTTACACTTATGCTTCATTGGTTCTTGTAAAGATATTAAAATTGCAAAACATTTCTTTGATAAAGTTGTTTCTCATGATTTACCTTATAGAGTTCGTTTGAAAGTTCCTCACGTTGAATCTTTATTGAAGAATTGTTATGATTTAAGTGAACCAATTGATAATATCTTGTATTTTTGGAGTTCTACTATTGCTCATTATAATACTGAAAAGAACAGTCATGTTTTAAATTCTCGTTATTCAATTTTGAACAATACTTTATTCACGATTTTTTTCAAGACTTATCCAACTTTAAACGCAGAATCTTTTGAAAAATTGAAATACATTATTTCCATTTATGCTGATATTAAACCAGTTGATGAATTTTTCTTAAATACAATCATTAGTAATTATTCTTGGGGTGAAAAAATTGTTTTGGAACAATTAATTCAAAATTATTCAATTTATAACGTTGAACGTACTCCAGTCTCTTACCGGATTTCTTTGAAAAAAACTGGTGAAATTAATGATTATACCGAAGAAGAGATTTTACATAAGTGGAATCAAAGTTTGGCCCATTTAGACCAATCTGGTTTCACTTATATTCCAATTGCTGATTGGGCTGCTTTGCGTGATGCTACCATCTTGAGTCAATACTCAAATGACCGTAAGGATTTCTATCTTAACGTTCTTAATGCTTATAAAGATTACATTCAAGATTCAAGAACATTAACCAGATTTTTAACTCATTGGTCTAAGAAAATTGAACATTTCGACAGCATCAAGAGATTGAGCATTGAAGAAAATCCTCATTTCAATTCAAACGTTCAAATAACTGTTCCTCAATTTGTTAATTTAAGAAGAAACATTGATTTCAAAAAAGACTCTCGTCCTTTCATGGATATTTGATCTACAAAAATTTAATGAAGTGATACGTTCTTATGGTTTTATCTTGTAAATATTTAAATTGCTTAATGATCTTATATAATTACCTCTTAATAGTTTATAATTAATGCTTAAATAATGTCAATCGTGCCAGTAGTTTGTGGATCTCGTGATCTCTTTATATTACCTTTTTTTTGATCTTTTTTTTTTGGTGCAATAGACGAAAAAACGACGTAACACCCTTGAAAGGAGGTTGATAACAGATTGGGAATTCGCTATACAATGGGAGCTTGTTTCTCGAAATCAAAGGATACGGAGATTCCTTCAAGCAAAAGAACAAGCGGTAAGTCGAGGCTTGCCACCAGTGAAAACAGACTTGGAACCAAGCAAGACCCTAACTTGAATGAAAAACAAAATTACAAACCTACACCACCTACGAACAACCCCAGTCGAAAACTTGGCGATAACGAGACAAACAATCCCAGAGCAGTGTCCGAAGGCTCAGCGAGGGAATCTGCCAGTACCAGAGAAGCAGCAGCAAAAGCAGCCGAGCTTCGTTTCAACAAACAACAAACCCAACGTAAAGAGAGTGAAGCCAAATTGAAATCAATGGCTAAGATGTCCAAGGCTGAAAAGGGACTATCGTGAAGGCTATATAGATCTATAACATATCAATTGCATTCCTTGTAACTCTTGATGTAGAAAAGTTAGACGGATGACTTTTTGAGCACATAAATTCAAACGAGTTTTTCAAACAAAACCAACTACTTACTTTCTTATACAATCATGGTGTTTGGATTATCTAAAAACTCTTATTATCAAGAAGAACAGAAGAGAATACGTGACTCTATCAAGGGTCCGTTATTGGAGTTGGTGCTTTGGCATTTACCGCATTTACAGCCTTCAGAATCGGCTCAACAAGATTCGTGGGAGATGATAGCTATAAAATTGAATAATCGTAATTTTGATCTTTCGGTTGGCACCGACCACCAGGACGAGATGCCGACCTTGAATGGAGGGTTCATTAAAGGTATCTATGATGAATTGATGAAGAAGTTTGTTGGAAATATACGGTATGTTAATAGTAGTGCCGGGGTATACTCGACTCCCAGAGTTTGCAATAATCGGGATCCTTTATATGAAACCCTGTATTTCCCAATAAGAGGCACTTATAAGGATAAATGTGATCAAATCTTATGTGAATTGTTTTATTTAGATAGTGCTGGAATTGAAATTATGGCTCAACTCAGTAAAGAGAGATTAGAGAAAGAATACCGCCATTTACAACATTCCATCAATGAACCCACTCCACTGGACGAAAAGACCAAAACTAGAAGCTACTCTGACTCCAAAAATCAATTAGATCAACTCAAAGAGAAACTGGAACTCGAAAAATTGAAAAGATACCAGGAAGAACTAGAAAAGAAGGCTAAGAGAGTAGAGTTTTTGGATAACGAAAATAAAAGACTATTAGAACTCAATCATGAGCTAGTCCTACAACTTCAAGGATCTGATCATTAGTATTCCATGTTTGTCTACGATTTACGACTCAGATTTACGACTCAGTATTTATATAGCCATATGTAGCCATACCATGCCATATATAGCATATATAGTCATACCATTCCATTTGTGTAGCATATATGGCCATACCATTCCAGTTATATAGCAACACCATTACATCACTGTAGGAACAGTCATGTCAGTTCCATATACCTGTACATCTAATGAACTGTTAGTACGTTACTCAGTTTGAAGTTCGAAAATGAAAAACTTCAACTCGAAAAAAAAAAACAAAATAAATTCTCCATACTCAATACCAAAGCTCTTTCAACCATCCATCAAAGACTACAGAAGACTGAACACTGTTCAAGATGGACTCCTGGTCAAAAGTGCCTCTTTCCCATACGTTATGGTCTCCCCACGATACCGTCAAGGACGCTGCCGAGTCTTTAGGGATAAATGTTCCAGAAGATGCTGCCAAAAATCTTGCAATGGATGTCGAATATCGTATTCATGAAATATTGGAAACGGCAATCAAGTTCATGAGACATTCCAAACGGAAGTTGTTAATGACAGATGATATAAACCACGCGTTAAGTGTTCTTAACATCGAACCGTTATATGGATACGACAATTCTCAACCATTGGCTTTTAAAGAGGCCTTAGTTGGTGCTGGTGGCCAAACATTGTACTATGTTGACGACCACGAGGTTGAATTTGAAAAACTTATCAACCAAGAATTGCCAAAGGTTCCAAGACAAACCACTTTCACTGCTCATTGGTTAGCTATCGAAGGAGTTCAACCAATGATTCCTCAAAATCCTCTTCCTTCGGAAATTAAAAACTTACCACCTATAATAAGAGGTGCCACCTCATCTATTCTTGGAAATGATATATTGAGCAATACTGGTGCTTCCAGCGCATCAGATGCGAAAGATACTTCAGTTAGTTTGAAGGGTAAGAAATCTGCCACTAACGATAAAGAAACTGACATTAAACCTTTGGTTAAACATGTATTGTCAAAAGAATTGAAATTATATTTCGATAAAGTTGTTGAAGTATTAGTTTCAACTGAACCTGAAAAGGAGACTTTAAAACATGCCGCTATCACCTCCTTAACCAACGATCCGGGTCTTCATCAATTAGTTCCTTATTTTATTCAATTTGTTTCTGAACAGATCACTAATCAATTATCGAATATTCATATTTTGACAACTATGCTTGAGGTCATCTCTGCTTTGGCAGATAATAAAACAATTTTCCTCGATCCTTATGTTCATGCTTTGATGCCTTGTATACTTACGTTATTACTTGCCAAAAGAATTGGTCCTCCAATCAAAGATCTTTCAGACTCTCAATCCCAACAAGCCTTTGAGGCTCAGATAACACTTCGAGGATTTGCTGCAATCTTGCTAGAGCATGTTATTAAAGTTTACGGTAACTCATACTCAACCCTTAGGCCAAGAGTAACTAGAACTTTATTAAGAGCTTTGTTAGACCCTTCTAAACCAACAGGTACTCATTATGGGGCTTTACTAGGCTTGAAAAATATGGGTTCCGAAGTCATAAACTTGGTCCTCGTTGGAAATTTGAAGATGTGGTGCAAACTGGTAATACTTGAAGGAAATAAATCCGATTACGAAAAGGATATCTTATTAAATACCACATTGGATACTTTAAGAAAAACAAAAGTTGAAGAAAAATTATCGAAAGATGACATGGAGGTAGATTCTGCTTCAGCATTGTCGGATGAAGTTAAAGAAAAATTAAATGATAAGGTTGGTTCAACAATTGCAGATCTAATTTTAGCTCAAGAAGATGCAAAAGACATCACAAGAGGTATCTTTTTCGGTGAATTAAGTATTTGATATACTAGCTTTACTGCCTTTGTATTCTTAATAAATTGTATATTAATTATCATGTATAACGATAAATGCAAAAAAGAAAATATAAAAAAGAAAGAATAATCGGAAAGTTTCTATGCTATAATACATTTAAATCATTAAATCGTAAAGGAATTCGTTAAGGATGAGTCAGTATAGATGGCCTCGATTTACTGTATGTCTTAATAGATTTCAGTTCTGATGCTTTTGTTAACCTTTCAAAGTCAGAATCAGAATCATCATCTAACTTTTGCGAGTTGGCCTGTTGTTCCTCCACATCATTATCATGACCATTGTGGAGATGAAGCTGTAAATTTGGAATTTTTTCATTGGCGTTTTTAGTGACTTCTTCGTCATCGTCAGTTTCCTGACCGTTACCTATTTCGTTCTGGAGTTTCATAGATGCTATTTTGGTATCGGATTTCATTCTTTTGCGTACGTTACCTCTTCTGAACACAGAATTACTTCTTGCGGCATTCAAATCGTTATATAAGCTTTTCCCTTTGGAAGAAAACGGTGAACCATTCAATGTCGAATTGAAAAACGGAGATTCAGTTATACTAACTGGTTCACCAGGTCTTTTGCGTTTCAGTCTTTCGCTCGAATCGATTACTGGGGAAGAAGTGATACCATATTTTACAGGAGAATTATCAGGAATTGTAAATTCATGGCGTTTTTCAGCAACTGGGGATGAAGTGACCTCACTTCCTTCATGAACAGGTGAAGAGGTAATTGCTTGATTGTAGGAAGGTGGTTTCAAATTTATCTCCATCAATCTTTCTGATACAGATGGTTGCTTTGCAGTGGAAACAGGTATTATAGTTGTCGAGGAACGATCAATGGTTGGCGTTTGACTAATAGTGAGTGTCAGTTGGCTTTGCTTTAAAATTCTGTCTTTCGAAGGTGTTGCAGTAATAATGGTTTCATGAGATCTCACGGGATTACCATTCATCTTCTTTGCAGGGGTGGCCTCAATTTGAGTAGTCGATTCCACAGGCTTGAATGAGTTAGCTGTAGATTTAATTCTTCTAGCATCACCAAAAATAGAAGGCTTATTGAAGTCCAAATTCTTATTACGATTAAGCTTGTCATTTTCAGTCAATGACTTGCTTTTACTTATCTTAGAATCGTCTTTCAAGTTCACCGATATGTCAACTTGTCGCCGCTCAAGATTCTTAGTAGAAAGAGAAGACTTGGATCTTTTCAAAGCAAAAGCTGGGAGCAAATCGTCACTGAGAGATGATTCTCTATTTGATCGACTGGAAGATGAAGATTTGTGAAGAAAAGGCACTCTCTGAGACCCCAAAGGTTTTTTAGGGAATCTTGATGAGCGATCTTTGGGTTTGGATGAAGAATCTGCTTTTTCAATAGGGACACCAGGTTTAGATACTTTTTTGTCTTCTGAACCATTGCTGCTTTTAGAACGCCTATCCTTTTTAGGTACAAGTTTGGGATTCAGGGATTTGAATTTATTGATTATAAATTTGATGACCCATGGAAGTTTCCTATTGAAATAAGGTATTAGAACATAAGCAACAAATCCAAATGCGCTATCATCCTTTTTAGAAGTTGTTACTCCAGCTAGAGTATCCCAAATACCCATTCTATCAACAAGGGTAGTCATCGAGGAAAATAAGGAGTATTCGTCTATTTTTATTGTTGTGGGCTCATTTATTAAAACTTTCAGCTCATCAACATTGATACCCATACCCAAGAAAGTAGGCATGATCTTTTTCGAAGACTTATTCTTTCTCTTCCTCACGAGAGATGGTTTAACAGCTTTCTTTGATTTCTCAAACTCGGATTCTTGACGTTTCAAATTTTGATCTAGAAAGACATTTTCTTGAATCTCCAAAAGAGAAATGAGTTCCAAAGAGATCAAAATTTGAAGCTGAGCTTCTCTAACTTTAAGATCTAGTGTTAATGCACTTAACTTTTCCTCTAATGTCATAGGAGCATTTACAGAATTCACCTCAGCAGTATCTGATGAAGCCTCTTTGCTGAACTGGCTTTCACTGTTCTTGGAAAGTAAAGGCAGTATATGATTCTTTTTCACAAACTCTTGTTGGCTTTCTATTTCATATCTCTCTTTGGTATTACAAGAAGATACTTCGGTTCGATCAACTGATTTTAACAAGCCTAATCTGCCTTCATGTCTGATATCGAATTCGTTAATTGTAAGATAAAGTTTTTGTAAATTTGCTTTAATTTTATGCCCATCGTTATCACATAAATTTTTAAATCTTACCAAGGAAGTTTTCGGAAAGTAACTTAGTGGAGTATTCAAAGAATAAAGTATACTGAAGTATCTTGCATAAAGAAACTTCATTGGATCATTTTCCGACTGTGGAGAGGTTAAAGTTATCGGAGAGTCAGGTTGATGCATTAGCTTGGGCTGATCAAGAATTGTAGGCGGTTTCATTGAAAAGTTGGTTATTTGCTCACCCTTCTTAGGTGTTGGATCTGTTTTCCAATAAGCAAGATATTCTTCGCTACTGTCAAATGACGGCATGGGACATGATAACTGTAATCCAATATCTTTAGACTTGGTACCTTTTGGAAGGGTGATTAGGCCAAAATATCGATCAATTATCTTATACATAAGTCCTACTTCCCAGTCTTTATCAGATAGCTGTTTTTGGATTTTCACGTAGAAATAGTTCAGCTTCATCTCCTCTATATCCTTTTCAAGTTTGAAAGTTGCCCTTTGCTTGTGAAAGTCATCAGGAAGGCTAGTAATGTCTATATTTTCTAGGACTTGAAGTAAAGTGATTGAAAGTGGATACGATTGACGCGTGCTATTGGCATTTGTGAGACGAGCTTCAAACAGAAACGGTAGAACCAAGTCTCCTTTACGAACTTGATCCCCCAGCAGCATAATCTTATAACCAGCAGGACTATCAAATGAGTCTTCAAGATTCTAATGAAGTTTGTATAAAAAAAAAAAATCTCATTACTTCAAAACCTCGAAAAAACCTTAAAAACTAAGACGCGCTTCTACTACAAAGTTTTGATATACAAAATGAACCATACAAAATTTACTATACATTGAAAATTTGATATATACAAAAAAAAAAAAATATGCAAAGTTTGAATATGAATAAAGCAGAAGACAAAGGTTAGATGTCCAACCATTCATCTTCAACAATGTCTGTGATCGTAGGTCTCTGATCGACTTCTTTATTGAGAATTCTTTTGATAAGGTTCAAAGACTTATCGCTAATAACGCCAGGAACTCTTAAATCACCTTCCATAATTTCATCCACATTATAGAAAGGATTTTCTTTGTAAAGTAAGGTGTATAACAAGATACCCAAAGCCCAAATGTCTTGTGGTTTCCCTTCATACTTTTCACCTCGTAATACTTCAGGAGATGCATAATCTATAGTTCCAACGAAAACATCAAAAGGACCCAGTTTAGTGTAACCAGCACTTCCAAAGTCTATCAATTTGATTATTCCGTTTTCGTCGACTATAATGTTTTCATCTTTAATATCACGATGAACTATACCATTTTTGTGTAGATGATAAATGGCCAGAACAATTTGTTTGAAAATAAACTGGCATTCTAGCTCAGTCATATCCTTTTTGATTTCGATGAAATCAAATAAATCGATTGCTGGTGGATCTCCGAAGATGGGAGTCTCCAAATAATAATACTTTGGATCTTCAAAATAATCAATGATTCTCATAATATTTGGATGAGGTTCATTATTTAAAAAGGCCATGATTTGAATTTCAGAAGGTATGGTACCCAAGGATCTGTCTCGTACCCAGGTATCGACCAAGATTCTCTCTTTATCGATACACTTGATAATAATTTTATATACGGAATCTTCCTTGTGTTGAGCCAAAACAACTTTACCATAAGCACCTTCACCCATGTCTTTTAAAACATTAAATTCGGAGAATTTCTTTGATCTCTTTTTGGCACCAATTTTTTGGGGCCATTGGGTAGACTTCTCCATTTTTTCTGCTAATACAGTATTCTCTAGATTTAGAATTGCTTCTTCGGAATATTTCTTATAAGACATGATCTCCCCAAGTGCTGGGGACTTGGCCCCCTGGTCTTTTTCTTCCGTCTCTTTATTACCAGTATTTGAATCGATTCCCGAAGTACTACTAGCGGCGGTGTTTGTGGGACTAGAAGAGCGACTATCATCATCTTGACTCATAATAGAGTCATTGTTAGAAATAGTTCTATTTTTCGAACTAGGTTTTGAAACAATCCTTTCAGGGCTTACTGCGTCAGCCAATGCATCGTTAAGGTGTCTTATTGGGATGGCAAAAGTATTTGCTTTTGGTCTTCTTGTACTATTTTGACGACTAACCTCGGCACTGCTATAACTCAATTCTAGTATATCAGCTTCATTATCAGGAAGCAACTTCAATTGAGAAGGAAGGCCAACATCGTCAATGTCATCACTGCTATTCAATCTTGAACGTTTAAAACCTGGTGATTTCTCTGTCGACGTAGTGGATAAAGATAGAGACGAAGTAGTAGTACTCAATTTATCGAGTTCTTTAGAAACATCATGATTGTTTTTACTAGACTGTCTTGAATAAGTAACCCATAAAACGTAAGTATCATTTGCGGAAACTCTCAATTGAACATCTATAAAAAGTGGTTTCCCATCCCTATGAAGACCAACAATACCGTGAGAGCCTAAAAATAATTCCTCTTCACTTAATGGTTCATCATTATCATCGAGTTCTGCTTCATTTTCATAACGCAACACAGCATCATACCTTCTAAAAAAATGCTCAGGTAACACTAAACCAGGGACTATATTGAAAGCATCATCATTTATTTCTAACCCAGTTTGTAAAATTTCTGAAAATTTAGGTATTATATAATCTATTGATTGTTGTGTCAATTCATCAAATGAGCGACCAAATAAATTTTTAGCGATGGCATTATTACAAGATAAAATTTTCAAATCAGTAGCTCTTAAGACAAAAATACCAGCAATATATGGCAAAGTGTGAAACTTTAACTTAATTTCGTATTTATCAGGATTTATCTCGAGCGGATTCGAAGTAACTGCACAAGGTATATTACCATTTTCATCACCATCGATTTGAAGAGTATAATAACGGGTTCTATTAATTTTTTCACTGTCTGATATATCTTGCGGTAAATAATAATTTATGAAGCCACTATTATCCTCAGGGTCGTCATTATTTTGTTTCAAATCTTTATCAATAGCTTCACTTAAAGCTTCAACTCGATTAATATTATCACGGTTCCTTTTATTAATAAGTTTCCCAGCAATTTCATCTATTGATTGAATCTTGTAGCCTTCTTCGGTATATTTTTCTTTATCACACAGGATAACAACGTCGAAAGCATCACAAGGTATTTGATCAAACATAATGATAATAAGATCACCCCTCCTTTTAGCCCACATAGACGTCCAAGCATACTGTTTATCACCGGGTCTTGAAATCGCTATGATTTCACCAGCGAATATAATATTAAGGGATGCACTTCTTTCTTGATTTTTAGATTTAAATTTCAATCCAACACTATTACTTACACGAGTTAATCTTTCAGTAACAAAATTTCTAAATTGAGGAGCGATAAGATCCATTAAGGTCAAACTTCTTATTGTATTTTTTGAGACACCAAACATCAAGCAAGCCAAATCATTAGCAGCTTTCAAAGACCAGGGACTATCAAGTTCAACTGTGAAAACAGATTGGGGAGCAGCGTGTTTACCCAGGGAAATCGAATGAAAAGTACGATTGTTACCATTAGATCCGGGAATAGCTGATGCAGGTTGAGTAACCGATGGAGTTATATTCAAAGAATTTAAAGTAGCGGAAGAAAAATTTTGGTTAAAATAACTAGCGGAGCCCGATTGTTTGAAGTTTGACGATAGAGGAGTTATCGCAGCAGATGAAGCGGAGCTAGGAGCACCCAACAAAGCTGAAGTCATTACTGAAGTTTCAACAAAAGGAGTAGCTAAAGCATAGATTAATTTATTTTTTAAGAAATCTTGTTTTAAACGTTGATCTTCTTCTTTATTTGAGGAAAGGGATAAATCATGTAGAGTGGAAGCAATATCTGTATGATTAGCTAAAGCCAGTTCATCATCTTCAAGTAATTGCACGATATCTTTTAAATCTTTATTAACTCGTTTATTTGAATTTTGAATTTTTGATTCTTTTGTTGAAGAAGTTGATGCAGAACGAGATTTAGATTCTTTCATTTCAGGAGATTGAAGTTCAAGAGATGAAGCGGATGCAAATTTATGAGAATATAATTGATTGACAGGTAAACTATCAGATCTTTTCATTGGAGGTCTGAAAAAAGCTGCCAAAGCGGCAGATGATGCATTTGATTGTAGTTTCAATTTATTGTTATTATTAAGGTTATTAGTTTGATCTGGAATAGGTAAATACAAGTCACCACTATTATTTGCCAGAGGATTTCTATAAAAGGAAGATGGTCGATTACCAGATTTGAAAGAATTCAATAATTTATCATCGGTATCATTATAATTAATTAATTGGGATAACTTGACGTTATCACTATCATAAGAACTATTGCTACCGATACTGCTTACGCTATATCTAGCATTTGGATTTGGCTTTTTCATCATTGGATCGATTGAAGGGAAATCACCTTCGTTAGTTGTGGTGGTGGTTAAAGAATCATCATTATTTTCACGATTGACACTCATTGATTTATATAAACTGGGTCTATCCTTCAATATTTGTAAAGATCTCTTCAAAACATTGAGTCTTAGAGCTAAAGAATTTGGAGAAAGATGTGCATATGAATAAGCATGAGAAGATTCAATTGGGAATTGTAAAATATTATCGATATTAGAAAAAGGTTCCCTTTGAGAAGAAACAACCAGCTGAGAATCCAAAAATGAGCTCGAGTTGGTATTTCGAGAAGGATGAAGATTTGTGCTAATCGATAATTTTTGTCTACCCGGGGGTAATTTATCTTGTCTTTTAGGAACCTTCAATTCTGAAGACAGATTGTAATTGGAAATATTGATTGATGGCTTCTGAATATCATTACCAGCCTTATCTTCTTCCTCACCCAAGTAAAATGAAGGAGATTTTGGTGTCTTGGGAGACCGATCTACCTTTGGGGATGTACAATGATTGGAGGATGCCCCTTCAACGCTTACATTGGGCAAAGCATTATCCCTCCAGCTTTCACTATGACCCATTGCTGACGATTAGCAGGAAGAATGCCAATATTGTTTTCCGTTCTTTTAACCAAGACTTTTCTGAACTTTCCAGTTTTCAAACCCAGACTTTTCTCTTCTTCGGTTGGTATTTTACACGCTTCCAACCAACAATCGACAAAACAAGATATCTCTATTCGGCCACACAACACTTGAACCAGATTCCTATAACCCACTTAGTATACCTTCAAGAATTGACAATTGGAAAAAGTTTCAACGATTCGCAGGCTTGTGATGTAACTCTACTTTGAAATTCAAAAAAAAAAAAAAAAAAAAAGAGAAATTACTTCAGACACGATTGATTGCAAACACAACTTCAATTTGCCTAGATATATACTATCAAAGAAAGTAACGGCTTAAGAGGTATACCTTACCAACAGTATTTCATAAGTAGAAAAGAAGAAGAAGCAATTGATTATCAAACTCCTGTTGATAGCTCTAAGAAAAAAATGTACATTTTTTTTTTCCTTTCTTTCCTTTAGAATTGTGTGCAGTTCAGAGCAGAGACCATAGCAAAAGGCACGGGAGCTTCACCAGGTCTTCACCAGGTCTTCATACTTGGGAAAAGTCTTCCTGGTATTCGTAAGATTGCCTTTTGTACAGACGTCAGACGTGGGGTGGGGTGGTAGACCAGTGCAATGGGTGGAACAAGAGAAGATGCTGGCTGTAGAGTTATTTTGCAACGCGAGATGAATTGGATTTTGCAAAAACCATTATTACTTTAGTGTTTTGTAATTCGTTTCTTGTCAAGATTTAAGTTGAAGTACATAAGTGTTGCATCTTGATCAAAGGATGTTTGGTCTTGCTTTGTGAAAAAGATGGTAAATAATAGATCAGAGAAGGAAAAGAAGATGAATAATTAGCAAAAATATACATGAATAAAGACTCTGAAAAACAAAATGCACCCTGGTTTATGGTAGAAGCCAGTGATAGCAGGATTCATCTTCTTGTTTATAGCGGTTTAGACGACGTTTGTACAAACACAAAATATACTACACAAAAGAAGAAGGAAGTCGTTTGGTACAGAATATATTGAAAGAAGAGTGAAATGACAGTAAGAAGAAGTGAAAAAAATAGGATACAAGAAGGAAATTAGGACAAGAATTGAAATTTATAGAGTGAATTCTTGGATGCGTTCATCCAAATCAACCATTCCATCGATACTTCTTTGGTTCGAGCCATCAAACGTACCGTATACGGGAGTGTCACCTATTCCGTAGATTACTCCTGGGGTGCTACGATGAGCAGCCATTGGAGGAGGAGTTAAAAAGGACGAGCCCATGAGTGAGTTTGGAGTGCTGGTTCCACTGGTTTCTTGGTAAGTGGGAGGGCTGAGAGTTCTAACATCTTCGTATGTTGGAGGAACTTCATCGTCCCAGGCAATACCCAATCCTGATCTCTCGGTAAAGATAACCTTGAATTGCATTCGAAGAACTCTTGCAGCTCCAGTTGGAGTACCTACTGGATGACTCTGGTGTCTTGTGTTGGAGCTAGGAGAGTCTGCAACAGGGTTGGGGGTTGCATTTGTAGATGATGCTGATGTAACGGGGGTAAGTCTAGTATTGGTATTGTTAGCACTAATCAATTCTTCCGCAACAACAACTTCTATAATTAAGGTATGATTAATATAAATCCCCGAGCTTGGATCATCGATATCACAAGCGATGTTCGCTCCATTTCTCAAGCCTTCATGATGATCATCAGTTTTGGGATCGTCAGAGGATTTCTTAGTAACATGACGAGTTAATCCGGTGGACGAATTTATTGCACTGATATCTGCAACCAATTCAATTCTCCCTCGTCCACTAAAGTCTGATTTCCAGCCTGATTTAATTTCTCCGTGGTTGATGGTTCGCAATTCATCAAGATATAGCTCTTCTTTAGCAGGATCAATTGAATCAAAAGGATCACTTGAAGCCTCAGTAGTTTCCCCATTATTTATATTATTATTTGAAATACTAGAATTATTTGAGTTAACGGGAGCAATGAAATCTTCAACAAAATTACGAAGTTCATTTGCAGGTCCCGTTGGTTGAATAACTTCCGGATTTTCTTCTTGGATATCGATATCTCTGTGTTCTGGATTAGTATTTTCATTATTTTCTAATTGTTGAGCAATTTGACTTTGTAAGTGTGCACTAGGACAGGTTGATAAAAACATATTGGTTTGAATGGTACTATGATGAAGTCCACTACTTTTACTTGGACCATTACCCGAATTACCATGATTATCGGTAGAATTACCATGAGATGATCCAGATTTTAACTCTCTATGTAGAATAACTTTCTTTTGGGATTCTTCAATACTGTTCAATTTAGATTGATGTTTTGCACAAGTATCTGCTTTAATTTTAATATGCTCTTCTATTCTCCAATTCAATTTTCTCATTCTCCATCTTCTATCAGAATTATTACTAACAATGTTATCTAATTTTAATTCAATTGGGAAACTCGATTTGGGATAAACAACACTAGGTAAAACTGCACTTGCTTTGATTTCAGTTGGAGGAAATACTCGAAGTGAATTACGATCAGGACCCCTAAGTATTGATCTTGAAATATTTAATGGTAATTTAACCGATATATCTTTAGAACTATTGGGAGATTTGGCAACTGCAATCAAATCATACTTAACGTATGAATGAGAGTGAATTGATCCAATTTTAGAAGATGCTGGTAATGAACCAGGCAATAAATGGGAAAACGGATATGCGTGAGTACCCATTGAAAACAGGGTCCTCAAAGTTAAAACATCCCAACGGGCCAATACATTCTTTTTCACTGAACAGTCTTTGCAAGAGTTTACCGATGAAGAAGGAATTAAAAATGGTCGAGTATATCTAATGGTTTGGACAAGCAGCAAAGTTACACTTTCCAATTCAAATTCTTCAAAAGGAGGAGGGGTATTGGTTGCAAGCGAAGCCATTGAAGCGTGAGACGACACCGTGGTTAAGCTTGGAGAAGAAAGTTCTCTTACTGGAGTTGAAACCCTTGAATTCGAATGGGATTGCGTTGGAGTCGGATGCGAGGATGTTGGATGAAGCTGGCCAGCTTGTGGAAGCTTGATATCAAGCGACAAGAGACCCGAAATAATCGAGCCAGACGATTCATGAGGCTGCCCATATAGAATTATAGGAGGAGATTCAACATTGATGGACATGGTTAAGCTAGGAGAATTGGCAGATGTTGAAGAGGATGCAAGACCCGAAAGGTGATGCTGGGACATGGTTGGAGAAAGCAAAGGCTTGTGGTGGTTCGAAGATCCCGATCCTTCTGACTTATCGTGTTTCTTCTCTGCATGCTGGTTCAACACACGGGAAAGTAAAGGCATCTTGGTCCCCTTTAATTCTTTAGATGAATTAGTCAAAAATTGTGGCTATAAGAGATTCCGGTAACTCTTTATGTCTAAACTATTGGGTATTTCTTTCTAACAACACAGTAACATTAATTCCAAAAGCTGACGGACCTTCCCGCGAAAACAACAAGGATATGGATTACAAACTCAAGCGTTCGAGAAGTGAAGAAGCTTTTGATAATAGAAGAAGCTTTTGAAAAATTAGCTGACTCTCGCACATAAAGAGAAAAAAAAAAAATCAAGACAAAATTGGCTTCATCTGAACTCATCTCTCAGTGAATCCGTCAAGTACTGGATGGATTCCTCTATAACTACATAGAAAAACCGTAGGTATTGGTTTTCTTTTCAAGAGCAACATTGTTTTCTGGAGATATCCTGGTTTATGGGTTCAGGTTGCAACTTTAAGCTCCGTTTATGGAGCACAATGCGCAATTATCAGACCATCGCCGATAAACAAGCAGTCTAATTTTCATACTTCAATTGTAAGAATCTTTTGGAATTGTCCAAAGTGTAGTGGCTCCAACGGAGTACGCCGTGGTTGAGTCAGGAGGTTCCTTTGGAGTCAGCCGTTCTTTCGTCTCCACATTTTTTGAAGGTAGAACCTCTGTACACGTGAAATAACGGGCACAAATAAAAATTGATAACCCCCACCAATTGAATGGACACACGGGAAACGACTCCAATTAATTATCACATAGAATCATAATCAATGTAGCCATGCTATAGCATGGAGTATCATTAGTAACTTTTTAATTGATTATAAAAAAGGTCGTGCTTGAGTCAAACAGCACACCTAGACACCAGATATATAACAATAATTTTTCAGGCATCAAGACATAAATACCGATTCAATTACTGTATTACCAGGTCGAAGGATGTCCCAACAGTACTTGGTTGTTGATAATGGGTCATATAGCATCAAGGCTGGCTTCAGTACTGGCGACTATAACGAAAACAATGCGCTGAATGCATTGAAAACCCAGAATTCGATATCAAGAACGAAAGATGGATTGATATATATTGGTAATGACTACTTAACGCAAACGAACAACTATAGTGGGATAAATATCAAAAGACCGCACGAGCAAGGACATTTGACTTCATGGGAAACAGAGAAACCAATCTGGGACTATACTTTAGATAAGTTATCACCTAAGAAGGAGCTAGATTTATCATCGATACATTTAACATTAACTGAAACCCCATTTCAATTACCCCAATTATCAATCAATACTGACCAAATAATATTTGAAGAGTATGGGTTCAATGAGTATTATAGATGTGCCCCGGCATCGCTAGCGCCGTGGCTGAATAAAACTGAAGCAGAGCCAAATGATTTCAATTTAATAATTGATTCTGGATTCCAATCAACCTGGATAATCCCAGTAATTTATCAGAAAGTTTGGTGGAAAGGAGTTAAAAAATTACCAATCGGGGGTAAATTATTGAATGGATTATTAAGAGATTTAATTTCATTTCGACATTACGATATAACTGATGAGCCTTTATTAATCAATACTATTAAAGAACAAACATGTTTTGTTGCTAATGATTTTAATAAAATTTTACAAAATAAATTAGACTCTAAATGTGAATTTGTATTACCAGACTTCAAGACTACAATTACTGGATATGTACGTACCAAAGATACAGAGTTATCACAAGATGTCCAATCATTAAAATTATTTGATGAACGATTTAGTGTTCCGGAATCGATATTTCATCCCGAGGTTATTTTTGATAATAATTCAACTTCTGCTAATAATTCAATGATTCAATCTACACCTTTCAAGAATATCATTGATTTAATTGTTGAATCAATCATGTCGTGTCCCGAGATTACCAGGCCTTTATTATCGGGTAATATAACTTTTGTTGGTGGTACCACTAATTTATCTAATTTTAAGGAAAGGATACTTTATGAGTTGAAAAAAGAATTACCCGGTGACTGGATTGTTAAATCAAAACCAAATTTATTCAAGAATTATGATGAAGTAAATTGGCATGGTGGGTTAAATTTAGTAAATAATGATATTATTGATAAATTAAGTATATCTAGAAAAGAATATTTTGAACATGGTTCAAACTGGTGTCAAAATCATTTTGGTTTTGAAAATATTATAAATTAAACTAATTATACTCTATTAAATGATTAAATGTTAAGTATCTACTAAAAATTAACCAACCATATCTAAACCACACCATTTGTGAAAAGTGACCATAAGCCATTGCTGCATAACTAACACTCAACATATTCAAATCCGAGTAAACTTTGATTGATGATGATGATGAATGATTATTATTACTGAAAAAACTAATATCAATATTGATCTTTAATTTTAATACATTATTGATAATAAATTTGAATAATTGATCAATGAATAACTCAACATTGGTTAATAGAGTAAATGAATATTTTTCAAGAAAATTCAAACTCTTCAAAACATATAATTTACTGGGATATTTTTTTTGATAATATTTTGTGAAAAAATGTTTGGTTCCATAATATAATGATATATGGTTTGGATGATTGGAAACTCCTTGATCATCAAATGTAATGAAAATCACATCCTTTTTGTTTGGTGGAGATGTTCCAATTTTATTAATTAATGATTGATTAATATCTTCAATACTCCAATGTTCATTCATTCCATCTTTAAAATTATCGAGTATGATTACATTTTCTGATTCAATTCCAATAATTCTAGCTGATTGCTTCAATTCTTCAGCTCTTATCTTTCCAAAAGATTCATCAACCGCATCTCCTTTAGAAAAACATATTAATTTAACATCATTATTATGTTTCTTCTTGGTTATTTCAATCAATGAAGGACTGAAAAACATCACTTCATCATCGGGATGGCCAATTATAAAATATACACTACTATTCAGCAATGGTAATGGTGTAGGTGAAGTTATCGAATTATATGGGTAATTCGATTTTTCAAATTTATTCTGTTGAATTTGACAATTAGTATATTTTAGTAATGTTTGGGGTATTATTGTGGTTAATGTTATCCATATGAAAAATGTAACCCCGAGGAGTTTCAATAGTAGCATTGGAAGTCTAAACAACATCTCTCTGTATTCAATATATCCTAATATTCCAATGAAGAATAGTTATCCACTTCTTATCAAGCTGTCCTTTTTGTCTTGTAGTGAAATTGTCATGTCTCCGCGTGGTCCAGCTGTTTTTCTGTCTAGTTTTTTTTTTTTTTTTTAGTTTTTTTTTTTTTCTTTTTCTTTTTCAGCCAATTTTTTGTTGAGGGCCAAAAAACCAGTTTTCAATTTTGTACACCAATTTCCCTCCAACTTTTTGCATCAAGTTGGGGTTTGTTCATTGGGAAGCTTTTCTCATGAAAACGTAGCCGGTGTTGAAGGTGAGGTCTATGTGGGTGGTGGATCTGTCGCCAATTAATGATTCCATTTCTCTCATCAAGGACTCGATCAAATTATGGGGGTCCCCGGTGGCCTGTTTGTAATTGTGGTATCCGCTGTAAGTACCAATGTAGTTTTCAAAAGCTTTCAAGTCAGTGTTGGACTTGACGATGTTGAGGTCTTGTTCTTTTGGTACCGGATCGGTGGAAGGTCTAAACTTGGATTGTTGTATGTCAACGTATAAATCACGGGGGATTTTGGCATTAACCGACTCCAACTCGTTCTTCAAAATGTCTCTACCCGGTTGTTCCCAATGCGGACCCATAAGTTTTGGATCCTGGTAAACATATTTGTGATACAAGTCATCGAGCTTACGCAAAATTTCCGCTTTCGAGTCAGCATCAATCGTCTGACCGTTACTGAAATTGGTGATGACCGGATCGATGTAGTACCAATAAGCTAACACTCCACCGGGTTTCAATAGCTTGTATGCTTTTCTGAAAAACAATTCGTGGTCATCAAACCAATGGATACATTGAGCAGCAGTAATCAAATCAACCGACTCCAATTCAATGTCCAAGTCTGTTTTGGTCAATGAATTGTCTTCTTTCTTCGTCACAAAGTCTTCGACCGACGAAGCGACAAACTGGATTGACTCCTGGTTCTCAATCCCCATTTCCTCCAACCTGGCGGCTTTCAAGGAGTTTGCCGTCTCAATCATCAGCGGCGATAAATCAAGCCCAATAACCTCCTTACTAAAATTAAGCAACGGGTAACTTGCAACCCCTGACCCACATCCCAAGTCGATCGCTTTGTCGATGGGGAATACTCGTGATTTATCCCCATTAACCACGTAGTTTTGTAAAATTTGGTAGAAGCTTGCTGGATAGTGTGGGCGGAAAGAGTTGTAGTTCAATGTCTTGAACCCAGTCTTGGAAAAAGTAGCCATGTCTTGATGTTGTTTAATAAGTGTTCTTGATGTTTTTAATAAGTGTGGGTTTTTTGAGTTTTTTCTGGCGGATCGCACAGTATTTATAGTTAATCGCAATGTGGGGGTGTTTTAATTGCAAAAAAAGAGTACGATTCTTAAATTTAGTATACACGATCTATTTAACATATAAGTTGATTTATGGCCATTCGAAGTGGCTTCCGTTTGACTGGGTCATGTCGTGGTTGAACTCGCTGTTCTCATCGTGAGACATGTCCAAGAATGGAACCAACCCCAAGGACCCATCGGCTGCAAATTCATTCATCATGAGCTGTCTGTTCAAATTGACCTTGAATGGGTCAAATTGAAGGATGTTGTCCAAACCGTCGGGTGGGGTGTCGCCGTTGTCTCCATTATTATTGCTGTCGGAACTGCTATTACTTGAACTCATGTTAGTGAATTGGTTCAAATTATTGTTGTTATTGAAAACAAGATTGAAGTCTTCTTGATTGATGGAGGTCTGTTTTGGAGGGAAAGTTGAGTCGTAACCGTTTGGATTGAGATTGTTTGAGTGCATGGCTCTGTCATCGAAACTTTGTCTATGTGGGGCTACTTGGATTGCCGTATTGAACATTTCATCATTGTCAAATTCACTAGTTAAGTTGTTGGTGATGGAATTGGAATGACTGATTGAGGAATGTCTTGGTCCTTGTGCTTTATATTGACCATTGGTGGATTGCAGTTGCTTACCACGATCGACCGCTGTTTTGGTGATTGGTTGGGCATTTGGAATTGACATACTCAATCTTTTCTTCAAATTCGAAGTATTCTTATTCAAATTTAATCCAAGAATACTTAAAGTTGCCAATTCCAATAGCTTGACTGAATTTTTAGTTAACCCACCGGGGATATCATTACCACTTTCTAGATTCAAATTAGATATGGTATCTAATAATAACTGCTTCAGGTTTTGGTATAATGGACCACCTTTTATATAGTCAAGACTACCTTTAGCAACAAGGAGGGTGAATCTAGCTTGTTCTCTTGCAATATTGATTGGAACTGGTAATAAATAAGAAGATGAATATTTGGTTAGACTTTTCAAAACTTCAAGGATTTGAATAGATGACTGTTGAATCATACTAACACTTGATACTATGTTGGAAACATCATGTTGTCCTTTACTCAATTGTTCTTTAGTTGAAAGACCAACGTTATGGTGGTTACCATATTTGGAGATGATGGGTAAATAAATTAAAATTTTGGCATGATAATATAAAAAGATTAAAGTTAGTTGTTGCTTATTATAGTTTTTCCACATACTATCATCAGAATCACCTAAAGTTTTATGGTCTTTTAATGAAAAGCCATTAACATCAACTTCAAATTTAAGGTCACTTGGTAATTCTCTTCTCCAACAATCAAGCATTCTATCTTTTTCTAAAGATTTTTCTTGGGCATTAGTTGTATCAAATCTTGAAAAAATTGAATCAAGAATATGACCTAATACTTTACAATATAACATAACACTTAATGCAAATTTTGAAACTTTCCCCACGATTGAAAGCTTGGTATTATTTATAATCAAGATATTTTCATTATCATCGTCGTCGTCATCATTTTTACCACTGAATGGTAAGGCACATTCAATTTCAAAATCTTTGAATAATCTTGGAACACCTAGGTTTAAGGAAGAATAAATGTCAAGACAGTAAATACACCAAAATAAAATACGTCTTTCACCCTGCATGAAATTTCTTAAGTTTACATTACCATCATCATTACCAGCGATACCTAAAACAGCAGCAGGGCATCGGTGTAATCTTAATTGCTGAGCCATAGTTATAACTCTACCTCTTAATTCATAACAAGTTATTATATCACCAATAACTAAACAATATTGCAAGGCTAAAGATAATATTTGAAGTGATTGAATTGAACAGTGTTTGGTAATAATACAATTTGGTTTAATGAATTCATGGATTAAATAATCGTAATGGTTCAAAGATTTGATATAACGGTGGAGGATTCCATCCTTATTTTTTGAATTTGGATTTTTTGATGACATTTCACTATATTTATTTGATAACAAACTTAAACTTAATACCAAAACCATGATGGCACCAAATTTTTCAACCAGCTCATAGGAAGAATCACCCTCTGAATGAAGAGGAGCATCGGAAGATTCAAGTATATTGGCTAACTTCATGTAATTTTTCAAAAAAGAATTCTTATCTAGAATAGGGAAAACATTGCCCCAATCCTGGAAATAGATTGTGACCAAATGGTCCAAGTCAAGTCTCGAAGTAGGCAATTTAATGCTTCGTATAAAGTACGATGCTTCTGAATCCTCGAGTTTGGTAATTCCAACTCGGTTCAAGATAATTTTCAAGAGAAATTCGTTCATAACATGAGAGGATGCATCTGGTTTCATGGATTCATTGGAATTTTCTTTTAAAGAAGCAATTGCATTGGCAGTTAATATAGCTGGTTTGGAATGATAACCATGAACTTGACAAATTCTTGCGAGAAGAGTCGGAATAAATAAAGTCTCCTCGGTACTACGAGGAATCGATACTGCAACAAGTCTGGTTAACTGTTGTTGTTTATTTGTTTCATCTAATTCTTGTTGACTAGCGGTTTTATTTTTTTGCATTTGAGCAATGGCAGTAGCTGCTGCAAATGCTCCTGGTGCTGGGGTGACTTCTTTAATTGGGTATCTTTGATTATCATCTTTGGTATGAATCGACAGATCATCATTGAAACTCAAAAGACTCACTTCATCGTCATCATCACTCAAATTAATCGAGCCTGCAATCGATACCTTGTCGGTGGCCTTAGAGTCAAATATAGAACCGGCTATTGAAACTGGCCTTTCGTGAACCGCCAGCGGATTGGTTGTGCATCCACAAGGACACCCTTTATCATGAAGATGCGAATGTAATACCTCATTACCATTCTCGTTATTCAAAAGTGAGAGATTCGAAGAAGTTATTGGTTGGCTCCTTTTGTTTCTCGCTTGTTCTTCATCAATGTGACCAACGCTTGAATTAAGTAGTTCAAGTTGTTCATCCCTTATATCCAACAACCCCACCAACTTTTTGTTTTCTGATTCAAGCTGACGTATTCTTTCTTCTAAAGTTTCGGTATAACCTTTTGGAAATGCTCTTCTAGAAAGCTTGTCACTGACAATACACTTCAATCCGGTAGCAGCACAGCTTGAGCACGGTTGACGTCCGTCACATTTCACCTTCTTGGCTCTGCACCTATCACAGGCCTGGGCAACTCTTTCCGTTGTCGAACCTGGTGCTTTAATGGTTTTGGTATTGGTCCCCGATCCTTCGCCTGGAGAACTCTTTTTTTTCGCCCGGGGTTTCCTTGGTGCCTTTACTTTAGTATCTGGCTCTTGGATATTCTGCTGTATATTCTGTTGTAAATCCTGCTGTATCTTCTGTTGCAGGTCTCCATTCTGTTGCAACGGATCTCCCATTATAAGGTCGTCTGCTTTTATAAATGAACTTATCAGGGTGGACATGGTTTTACTGGTGCTTGTTTCACCAAATTGCGCCTAGTTTAGAAAAGTTTGTCTGGAAGAATAGTATACAAAAATATTTCCAACTCCTGGATTTCCCCAGTCTTTAAAATGAATTTGAGTGAGTTACAATAAGCGTTGGTTTGATTCGATTGACTCATTTTTTTTTTTTTTTTTTATTTAATTTTTCATGCGTTTTGTCCAACTCTCACTCTGGGAATACGCTTACAAGCTTATGATCCTCGGATTTAGACACTGGAGGTGCTCGATGGAATAATGAAAAATTGAGAAACAAAAATGAATATATAAGATTCCGTTATCTGAATAGCAAAAAGGGATCGGTCTTTGGATCCAGGGGAGTTATTAGCATAGGAAAGAGGCGATGGCAGTTGCGACCAGGTCGAAGAGACCGTTGGAGGCAGCTAAGACCGAAACTGTCAAGAGACTAAAGACGGAAGTTGGCCTGGGGGACGGCGACTCGATTACGGAGTTGAAGCAGGAGGGCAACACTGGGGTAAAAAGCCTGGAGCGGAAGCATATTAAGGTTGAGGTTGAGGATGAATCATCGGAGACATCTCCGAATGTTTTTAGAACGGTTACCGGGGAAGATTTGAAGCTGGTTGGCTTGGATGCCCGAGTACCTCTGAATTGGCATGAAATATATAATGAAATAGTATACATGAGATCCAAGTTCATGGCCCCGGTTGATACTATGGGGTGTGAGAGGATGCCCGAGACGATTACTCCGAATGTGACTCGAGATAAGCCAAAAGTGTATCGGTTCCAACTTTTGATTTCGTTGATGTTATCGTCCCAGACTAAGGATGAGGTGAATTTTGAGGCCATGGTTAATCTTCAGACCATTTTCTTGAAGAAAGGGTATGAAAATGGGCTTTGTCTTGAGGCGATTTTGGATTCTGCAGAATCAGATATCGATAATTATATTCAAAAAGTTGGTTTCCATAGGAGGAAAGCAGGTTTTATTAAGAACTCATGCGATATATTAAACGATCAGTTCAATGGTGATATCCCCAAGACTATAGAAGATATAGTTAGCTTACCGGGTGTAGGTCCCAAGATGGGATATCTTTTGCTACAAAAAGGATGGAACATTAATGATGGAATTGGTGTAGATGTTCACTTACATCGATTAGCGCAAATGTGGGGGTGGGTATCGAAATCCGATAAACCAGAGAATACTAGAAATGAATTGGAAAAATGGCTACCGAAAAGCTTATGGGCTGACATTAATCCCTTGCTAGTTGGATTTGGCCAAAGTGTTTGTGCACCCAGGTCAAACAATTGTGATATTTGCACTTTGGCAAAGAAGGGACTATGTAAGAGTTCAAATAAGAAATTATTGAAACAGCCTATTGATGATAAGAGGAAAGCCAAATTAAAATCACAAAGAAGTGATATGTCGGGTTTAATTGATTTGTTCTAACATATTCTTATTCATTTTTCTATATATCATTATACATATTAGTCTACTAAATTACTTTGTTTACATAACCCATAGAATATACTATTTTTATCTTTTAATAAGGTTTCTGGAGTATCAAATTCAGCAACTTCTCCCTTTTCGAGTACAACTATTCTATCACTATGAAGAATAGTTTCTAATCTATGGGCGATTGATATAATAGTTCGGTCTTTGAATTGACTTCTAATTGTTTCCTGGACAATTTTATCAGTTTGAACATCTACTGAAGCAGTTGCTTCATCCAAAATCAAGACTTTAGAAGGATTCAATAATGCCCTGGCTAAGCAAAGTAATTGCTTTTGACCGGCTGATAAATTTCCCCCATTTTCACTAATTCTTGCTTCTAATTTAACTCCCAAATTCAATGCAATCTTCTTCTTTTCTGCTTCTTCTTTCTCCTTTTCGGTTGGTTCTGTTTTCATGTTTTCAACATGAGTTTTTAAATGAGCCAACTCCAAAACTTCCCACAATTTATCATCGGTGTATTGATCAAATGGATCGATATTTTGTCTGACGGTACCGACAATTGTTTGTGAATCTTGAGGTATAATACTTAAATGACGTCTCAAATCATACAATCCCATCTTAGTAGTATTTATACCATCAATCTCAATATACCCTTCAGTAGACTCGATGATCCTGAACAATGCTAAAGTTAATGTAGATTTACCAGCACCAGTTCTACCAACTATACCAATTTTTTCATGACCTTTGAATTCAAGGTTGATATTTTTCAATACCGGATCCAAGTTTTCTCTATACTTCGTTGTATAATTGACAAATTTGATTGCACCTTTATCTGGCCAATGATTTGGAGGCCTGAAACTAGTGATCATTTCAGCTTCATGATCTAAATTTATATATTCTAATAATCTTTCAACGGTAACTGTTTGCGTTTCAATGTCAGCCCATTGTCTAATTAATGAGTTCAATAGAGAAGAGACACTCAATGCATAATTAATGATAAAACCAACCAAAGCAGGTTTGATTGGGTTTTTACTTGAAAGACTTAAAACACTTAAAAGACTGGTTAAAAACAAAATCAACGATGACATGAACTGCAATCTAACGGATAACCATCTATTACAACATTGTAATAGATGAGAAACACCAATGTAGGTATCAATGTTTTTCATACTTCTATGGGAAAATCTTTGTACTTGATTATAAGCAGTTATAGTCTCCACACCATTAAGAGATTCTTGAATTGATGCAATAACAGGAGATTTTGAAATTGATTGTAATCTTTTCAATTCCCTTGAAGCAGGGATGAAATAAAGTCGTATGAAGTTATAGAAAAATCCTAAAATTAGAATAATGAAAAACATAAAAGGTAAATTATAAGTTATTACTCCAAAAGTTGTGACAGCATTTAATAAAATTGTGGCAAAGGCAATTAATAACCAGGGGATTTGCATATCAATCGAACTCATATCTTCAGTAAACCTATTTAAAATCCTACCGACGGGTGTAGTTTCGAAAAATGACATTGGAGATCTTAAAATTGAAGAAGCTAACCTTTCATGAAAGTTTTCAGCACCTTTAATAATACAATAAGTCCAGATTATAAAAGAACCTGCTAAAACAAATAATCCACCTAGTACCCCATACAATCCATATTGGGCCAAGTAGCGACCTGAATGCTCATTGTTACCAACTAAAGCATTATGTTCAGACCAACGAGTCAAAATAACCTTCACCATCAAGTTTGTGAATGAAGTACCAGCAACGAATATAAGGTAAACGAAAATTAATTTGTAATTTGACGCTTTCAAATAATCCCAAATAACTGAAAATTTCACGCTTCCTTTTGAAAGACCCTCTTTACTGTGGCCAGTCTTCTTATTTAAATTAATACTTTCATGATCTTCGTAAACGTAGTCCAAAGATACGATACTTGCTTTACCAATAGTGTCATTTGAAAATCTTCTTTGAACTCCTGAAGGATTGATGTGTTCAGCCAAATCTTCGATTGAGTCAACTATATCTGAAACATTCGTTGAGTTTATTAAAGTATTCTCATTTGTAGTTTGTGGTTTTGTTTCAATATCCGATCCATTGTCATCATTATTGTTCTGTTTCCCAAATTCTTTAATTAATTCAAATAATAAAGAATTTTCATTTTGCATGACAGTTTCAAAATCTCCTTTTTCTATGATTTTACCCTTTTGTAATAAAATGATTTCATCAGCTTCATGTAACATATTGATTGAATTGGTTGCTAAAACCACAGATTTATTAGCCAACAAACCATCTTTATTCAATACTTGCTCGATAATTCTCTTCCCGACGTTAGCATCAACAGCACTCAAAATATCGTCTAAAATATAGATATCTGATCTTGAGTATACAGCTCTAGCTAAAGAAATTCTTGCCTTTTGACCACCAGAAAGACTCACACCTTTCTCACCCACAGTTGTTTTATCACCATCTGGTAACGATGAGAAATCGGGTATTAATTGACAAGCTTCAACAGTTTTATCATAAAAAAGTTTATTGTATTTAAAACCAAATAAAATATTTTCTTTAACAGTGGCATTTAAAATCCAAGGATTTTGAGAAGAATAAGCTACTGAGCCACCAATTTCGAATTTTGTTTCTGGATTTTGTAAAACTTCCAATTGACCCAATAAAGAACGTATAAAAGTTGATTTACCACTACCAACTTTACCAACTATACAGGTAAGGTTTGATTTTCTTGCAACAAATTTATCAATTTCTAAAGCGACATGGTTGGCAGATTCAATTGAAGCTTCTTCGTCTAAAATTTCAGAGCTTTCATCATTAGATTTATTCTTCTTCCAAATGAATTTAGCATTTTCAATATTGATACAAATTTCATTATTTTCAGTAGGGGGTTCTAACTGGTTAGCTTGATTCAAGTTTTCTTCTAATAATAATAAAGAAGTTAATCTTGCCAAAGAATTTTTTGTTTGAATTGTGGAAACGATACCACTAGGTAATACGAATATTGGTTGCGTTAATAAATCAAAGAAGGAAAGAGCAGGAAAGACTATATCTGGGGTTAAAGGGACATCATAAATGATTGAAAAAGACCAGTAAGCAGCCACAGAAATGAAAAAGGGAATACATGACCAAATGAATATAGCAAAAGCACTTAATATACCAATTTTTTTTTGAGATTTCAATTCTTTTTCATTTCTAATATGTCTTAATCTTTCAAGTAAAGGTTTTTCCCAAGAGTATAATTTAATACTTTTAATTGTTGTTAATATTTCATTTGTCAAGCTTACTCTTTCATCTTTTGCAGCCAACCATTTTTTCACGGTCGAGGTAAAAGAGGAATTTATAATTATTGCACCGGGGATACTAACAACTGCAGCCAATAAAGCACCCCATACTGCTTTCCCAATGATTTTATGTAAGCAGAGAAGAATAAGGACCACGGCAATTGGCGCTTCTAAGTAATTTTGTAAATTTTGTAGGAAGCTTTGAATTATACCAATATCCATTGTAATATTATTGATGATAGAACCGGTTGATTTTATGGATTTCAGCTCTGATGATAATCTCATTGATTTATTATAGATCAAGGAAGTCAAGGAAGAGTCCACTAAGAAGGAAACTTGGTATTCATATTTGTAAGCTTGATTGAACAAGATGAATTTGGAAATTGAAAGGATAAACATGAGAGAGATGTAAAAATAACCAATTATCAAAGGAGGATGAGGAGACTCATTCAAGTAAGAAGCAAAGAACTGAATCAATTTTTGCAAAACAAAAGGTTGAATAAATTGTACTGCAGTTTCACTAAAAGAAAAGAAACAAGTTTTGAACATGATCAAACCAAAAGATTTCAATAGAGCTTTAATTAAAGATCCATTGGAAGTTTCCCAATTTTTGGTTAATAAGTCACAAGCAACTTTAGCTGAGATGTTCTCTGGAAGTTCTGGTAAGGATTCAATTTCCAATTCATTTTCTTGATAAGTTTGTTTTATAAGAGGTTGGATATACCCAAAAGTGATTTCACTAATCACGTCATGATCATCAAACCCCCAGTCATTCAAATGATAATAATCAACCAATTCCGACGTTGGTCTATAGTGGGCAAATTCGAAGTAGAAGATCAAAAAGGAATTAACCACTAAAGTTGCTTGTATAGGGATGTTATTCCAAATTTTGATTGAAGACGAAGAATCCTGGATCAAGATAATCAAGTTCAACGCAAAATGACCAATCCACCAGATCAATAAGGAAGCAGATGGAATGACTGAGCGAGTAGGTTCAATTAGATGTAAAGGAATAAACCCAACTATCAACGCAGCCAATATGGCAACCGGGGCAATATTCGATAGCGATAATCCTACTAATAGCAAACAATGAAAGCCAAGTAATCCCAATTTAACCCATTGGAATAGGCCACAGCTTTCCAACTTGAATGAAGATCCAAATGAATACCTTATCCGTTTATCAATAAGAAGACCACCAACTTGAAATATCGTGAAAAGTAAGCATGCTGAAGCAAACAAGACGCTAAGAACATCAACGAACAACGGATTAAGAGGATTGTGCAACTCGGAGTGCAATGGCTGGTACCATGGACGGGCTCCGACTGCTTCTACTACTTCAACTGCTTTAATCATACTTGACTAGATAAAGTAGATATAGCTTTGGGCTTTTATCGACGGAGAGATATTTATAGGTACTTGAAATTTATCGGCTTTCACTACTTTTTCGGCTTACTTCACAATGCGCTCCTTGGCCGTTAACTTCAATTGGCACGTATCTCCGTCCCAATTCGTAATTGGCTTCCGGGTAAAGCTACAGCCAATCAGCGTCCGTCCACCACAGTGTAATTGCATGGTTGAATACGAGCACTTCATTCCACCCTCAGGTTACTAAGGGATTGTTAGTGGACATATATCCGCCCGGTACAAAAAAGCGATGCGATGAGCGTCACGTGATTGATTGGGTGGGTACGGAGGTTTTGCTCGTGCAACGTACTCTGTTTCAATATTAGTATTACTCGGGACACCTTTTAATTCCGTACATAGCATTTGTATGTTAAGGGAATTTGCGCCTAAGTCATAATTTCAACAACTTGTTGCATTGTATGGAGGGAAACTCAGCAATGATTAGTTGATTGGGTCTGGAATTCTTTCCATAGAAAATTAGTGGCTAGCATCTGGGTGCAAACTTATCATCCCATGACACTTGTAGTAGTGGATCCGTAACAGCTTTTCACCAACTATGTATTCAGTTGAAGAAAAGCAATTTAGATTTTTAATTATCTTGCTTGTTCTTCTTGGTCGAATCTGAGTTCTTGTAAAGCAGTCGATGATGATTTCTCTAGGTTAGCGAAGTATCAATATGAAAAGCTGCTGTTCCAGCTTCTTTGCTTAAAGCAGCACCTTTCATCATATCCGAAACTTCGGGGGTAGAGAAATCCGGGAATATTGAAGCTTAATCTCATTTCTTTGACCTTTGAACCTGGTATTGGCATTTCAGACAACATAATATTTAACTTACAGTATTTACTATAAGAAGAATAACAAGCAATAAACATAACCCGGTGTTTATAAATTGTTATTTCTATTTCTTGAATACCTTGACCGCAAAACTTGCTTATTAGCGTTAATAGAAACCTCGCACACAAGTTGATGATTATGCCTGTGAAACTAGTCAGCACCACCTAATCCAACTATTGACATGGTCCCTTCCTTGATCAGATTCGAAGGGGCATCAAGAAGAATAAGGTATTAGGTTTGGCGGTATAAAGAAACCGCTTACGTAATCCCCCGCCGTTACATCACCTCTCGGGGTTAGGGGTCTTCTTAGTGAAACAATCTCTTGATAATTGGATAAAAAAACGTAGTAGTTAAAGATAGCAATAGGTCAAGATGATTATTGATAAGATGATGAAGAGAAGCATACTGCGACTATACTCAACAGGGAGCGGAGGACCAGGGAGTCCGTTGTATCCAAAATCGAAGATTCCGGTACCTCCACATTTTGACCCAATCAAGTATAGACAATGGATACGATTGAATCCAAATAGTATTCCCGAAGAGAAGAAGGTTTCTATAATGTCATATAATTTGCTAAGCCAGCACTACCTATGGAGACTGGTGTTTGGATACTTGAAACAAGATTATCTTGATTGGAGTAATTATCGATTCCCGTTAATAAATAAAACCATTGAATATTTTCAAAGTGATATAATATGTTTCCAAGAGTTAGAGTGTTCAATTTACGAAAAGCAGTGGAAGAACGGATTCCCATTATCCCACTATAAATCAATATATATTAAGAAACTGAATCCTTTATATTGGGGGAATAAGCCATCAAATCAAATGGATGGAGTTGCAATATTTGTCAATAGTGATAAATTTGATATTATTGATTACCAAACGGTTAACTTCAGTGAATATATTCAAACCCATCGGGATAAATTTTCGCTAACCAATGATTTACTCAAAAGAGTAGTCCCCAGAAATACGGTTGCAATTATAGTACAACTTTATGACAAGGTTAATGATAAGAACATTTTTGTTACCAATACTCATTTGTATTGGTCACCGAAATTCAACGACGTTAAATTATTTCAATCCAAATTGTTAATCAACTTATTGAAAGAATTCATAACTAATACAGCTAAAGAATCAAATCCCCATATTATTATGTGTGGAGATTTTAACTCGATTCCTGAATCAATGGTTTTCAGATTTTTAAACAACGAGGTCATCTCCTTATCTAAATATAAAGATTTTGAAAAATTTAATTACGGTCACAAATTAAATAACGAAATTATAATTAATGACGAAATTAAAAATCCCTTTGATTTATCTAGTGCTTATGATATTCTATTAAGCAACCACAACTACTCAAAGCATAAATTAAACTTCACCAGCTACACTAGAAACCTTACGGCCGTGTTAGATCATATCTGGTACTCTAGTCAGACCTTTAACGTAGTCAAAATTTTAAGTGAAGTAGATGAAAATTATACTTGGAACTTCCAAGTAAAAGGCTTTCCTAACGAACAATTCCCGAGTGACCACATTCCTCTAATAGCAGAAGTCGCCTACAACTCATAGTTTCCTCTTTCATATAGATTTTTAGATATTTATATATATTAATGTTACTATTACTGTGAAAAAAAAACTTGGTGTATGGGTGTTTTGTTGGCGGTCGTGTATTTGTGTTCAATTTACAGGGTAAAATCCTGCTGTTTGTATTTTGATAATTTTTTTTTTTTGTTTTTTGGTGGCCACTCAATTATCATTCCATTCATTCAATAATCTATCTTGCTAACTGATTAGAATACACCAACCATTAAACTGTTTCACTTGGAAAATTAAATATCGTTTGTGTGTGTGTTTTTATTGATTTTTTCCCAACGAAATCTCAAGGTTATTGCTAGAAATTTAACTAGTTTTCATTTAAAATAAAAGAAGTGGAGTTGGAATCATTTTATCGTTTAGTTTTAATAATCAAATGAATCTAATCGATCTGAAATATGAATATTAATCCAAATTATCAACAGCCTCAGATTCAGGCACAACAACCAAACTTGCAAGCTCAACAAATTTTATTACAACAATTACAACAGGGACAATCATCAAATAATAGCCAATTTAATCAACAACAAGCGGCTGATGCAGCACTGGCTGGTTTCCCAGATAGTGCAGCAGCAGCTGCCGCTGCCGCTGCTTTCTATCAAAGACCTTTGCCAGCCACTCAGTCCAATCAACCAAATAATCAACAACTGCAAGCCAATTACTTCCCGCAATTTTCACAACAAAATCAACAAAGTATTCAACAGCAATCAAACCAAACCCCAACTACGAAATATGCCCAACCAACTAACCAATCAATACAATATCCTCAAAATCAATCACTGATTGTACCCCCTCATCCTCAACAGAAATTTTTTGGCCAACAACAACAGCAACAACAACTTCAACAGCCAAAGATTACTACAATCAATATCGAGAACCCAAACTCCCAATACTGGCAACACCAATTACAATTATGCCAATTATCTAGAAGTTCTAATATTCCTCATTTTTATGCAAGACAATATGCTCAAAATTCCCGTAAAAATAAAGTTGGAACTTATAATGAAATTAAATCCTTAACTTTACTCGATGCAACCAAACAAATCGTGGCAGCTTTAGAAGAGCAAGAGAAAAAAAATAGTGAGATTACTACTCCAACATCTTCTAGTGCAGTTTTGTATGGGAAAAAATCAGTTATTCAACATCCTGAAGAAGAACATGCACAAGAAGAAAGAAGAATGATTGCTAAAACTAATGGTAAACAATTGTGGTGTCAATTAGATTTAACTGGTCAAGGTATAGTTAATTTATCACCAAAATTATTTCAATATGACTTCTTAGAATCATTATATTTGAGTAATAATAAATTAACTAGTATTCCTTCTGTTGTTGGTAAATTGAAAGGTCTCAGAGTATTAGATTTATCCCATAATAGAATTAATGAAGTTCCTAGAGAATTAGGAATATGTCATAATTTAAGATTTTTATATTTATTTGATAATAATATTAAAACTTTACCAAGTGAATTTGGTAATTTAGGGGAATTGTTATTTTTGGGTATTGAAGGTAATCCGTTAGATTTAAAATTTGCTAATATTTTAGCAGAGCATGGGACAAGACAATTAATTTGTCATTTAAGAGATTTAAAACCAGTTCAATATACTCCAAATCCAAGACCTTGGTTATTATTGGAAGATGATGGTGAAATAATTGATCCAATAACAAATCAAAATGCTTATACTGAAGATCGTTTGAATAATGATACTAAAAATACTTTTACATTATTATCTTATAATATCTTATGTCATCATTATGCAACTTCCAAATTATTCAGCTATACACCAAAATGGGCATTAGAATGGGATTATCGTAGATCAGTTTTGCAAGAAGAAATTTTAAATCAAGATCGTGATATTGTTTGTATGCAAGAAGTTGAAAATAGAAGTTTTAGTGAATTTTGGGTACCACTTTTAGCCAAATATGGTTATAAAGGAGTTTATTATTGTAAAACAAGATCAAAAACAATGAGTGAAGCTGATTCCAAAAAAGTTGATGGATGTGCAACTTTTTATAAAACATCAAAATTCAATCTTATTTCTAAACAAAATTTTGAATATAATAGTGTTTGTATGGGAAGTGATAAATACAAAAAGACGAAAGATTTATTTAATAGATTCATGAATAAAGATAATATTGCATTAATAACATTTTTAGAACATATTGAAACTGGTGAAAAAATTGTTATTGCAAATACTCATTTACACTGGGATCCAACATTTAATGATGTTAAAACTTTACAAGTTGGTATTTTATTAGAAGAATTACAAGGTATTATGAAAAGATTACATCGTACCGGATCAATTGATGAGGTTAGAAGTAATTCATTAATTATTTGTGGTGATTTTAATTCAATTAAAGATAGTGCAGTTTATCAATTATTCAGTACTGGATCAGTTCTGAAACATGCTGATTTAGATGGTCGTGATTATGGTAAATTTACTGAAGAAGGATTCCGTCATAATTTTAAATTAAAATCAGCTTATGATTCAATTGATGATTTACCATTTACTAATTTTTCACCATCATTCACTGATGTAATTGATTATATTTGGTATTCGACTTCAACTTTACAAGTTAAAGGTGTTTTAGGTAAAGTTGATGAAGATTATTCAAGTCATTATATTGGATTTCCAAGTGCTCATTTCCCTTCAGATCATGTTCCAGTTGTTACCAAGTTTCAAATTAAAAAAAGTGGTGGATCCACTAAGAAACCTGATTTCAAACCTGACTTTAAAACTGGCTCTTCAAGAAAAACATGATTAACTTAATTTTCTTCCTGCTGATTTCTTTTATTTTGGTTTGTTCGTTGTTTATTGTTCAGTTTACGTATCTTCCTTTCCATTCCCCATATGTTTTTTTTATTGTTCTTTGTTCCTATGTTAATGTTTGAGTTGCATTTTACCGTTGTCTTTGTTTGATTTTATTTTCTCGTTTTAATTAATTTATACTTTTTGTATAGATAATCTTCCTCCTTATTATTATTTTTCTAGATCATTTTATGATTAACTGTATAATAATTCACAATATAAAAAAATCTATCTATGAAAATTTGTAGCAATATTAAAAAAAAGCCTTTTAGCAACCATTTGTAGTGCTGCGCTCGCAATTGAATATTTAGCAACTAATACAAATAGCGGTATAAGAATACATTACTTGAGTAAGAATTGGATGGAGGCATATAATAAGTTGATCAGTAATTAAAGATGAACTCCGTTCCTACCCAAGCAGACTTTCAAGATGCCCATTTATCGTTAACCGGAGAAGAACAGAAGTATCGAGAAAGACTACAAGAGTATAGTGAGACCCGATTCAGCAATACGGATTTAGTTTATCCATGGAGTTTTGAAACGGTGCCCGGGTTCTTCAAACAGGCAGATGACAAGACTGATGATATGGAATTTGACTATTTGCAAGAGGGGTTTGGGAAACTTAAACCGTGGGAACAAGTGCAAAAGGAGATTGAACAATTGAATGCTAATGCCTCAGATAATGAAGTCTATAAGATTATTTTCTGTGGTAGACATGGACAAGGATACCATAACGTGATTGTTAGTAAATATGGGTACGAAGAGTGGGATAAGAAATGGCATTCGTTAACTAAAGACGGTGATATTACTTATGCACCCGACCCTGAATTGACAAGTTTAGGAATCGAACAAGCTAAGGCCAATAATGAAGCTTGGAAAAGAGAAATCAAGGCTGGATGTCCAATTCCAACTAAATTTTATAGTTCTCCGTTACAAAGGTCATGTTATACTTTGTTATATACCTGGGATGGAATCCCCCAAAAAAATCCCCCGGTAATTACTGAAACTATTCGTGAAACCATGGGATTGAATCTATGCGATAAGAGATCGTCACGCCAGACCATCAAGGATAGATTCGGGCCCCATGGTTTCATCATCGATGACCTGGTTACTGAACGAGATGATTTGTATCTGAATGTTTACCGGGAAAAACTACATGAACATGCAATTCGAGTGAATTCATTTTTGCAATCAGTGTTTGACCAAGATTGGAACCCTGATGAATGCAAAGTTGATAAGAAGTCGGCACTTGAAAATAGCTACGTCTCAACCACTACTCATGCCGGCTGTATTCGGGCCTTCATTCTTGTAGTTGGCCATCGTCGCTTCACCATTCCAACCGGAGGTATGATACCTTTGGTGGTTAAAGCTACTAGAAGAGTATAGATATCACACGAGTACAATAAGGCAATGCCCATTAAATGTCTACTGAATGCCTATTGGATGACTATTAGATAGATATTATTTGGAAAAGCTCTTCCTCTTGGCATATATATATATATAGAATAGATATATATAGAATAGTATTGTAAATGTTTAAAACCCTTTATTGGAATTTGCAACAATGCTATCAAAGCAAGTTGGCTTCTGCAGTACCCCTTATGAAAAATCCCCGTGAACAAAGTACTGAAGAGCTCTATTATTTTATTTTATGACAAGACCCTTGTCAAAAGGGCTCTTTATTTTCCTCCAAGGCCCTTTGTTAACTATAGATTGTTAGGTTATTCTCCCAAAAGAGCAAAGACAATCAAAAGTTAAAAGTTTGCGAAAAAAAAATGCCAATTAACGAAGATGACAATATTTGCTGCCTGTTTTAGGTAGTTTTTGTATGTCCAAAGTGCTTTTTATCTTGCTCTATATGCAAGGAAGTACGAGTAATCCGATTCTCAAGGTTCATACTGTTTGGGGAAGGCTGAATTTAACAACCGTAGAATGTAGCAAGAGTATAAATACCTTGAAGTTTTTTTTATAGTTTTAGGTTAATTCAGTTTGCAGTCAAACCGAGGAGATGATTTTGAAAAATAGAATACGGAGCAGTTGGTTCTTATTGGTGATAATTTCGGTTCTTGTCACTAGTGTTGATGGATTTAAATGGCCTTGGGAAGACGATGGAGACTCGAGTAGCTCCAGTAGCTCTAGTTCTTCGAGAACGTCGAGTTCGTCGAGTTCCTCAAGTTCCTCAAAGGCTTCTTCAGGGTCTGGGGATGGGTCTAAGTCAGGAAGTTCGCTTTCGAGTTTGACTAGTGAGATTGGATCTTTAGGTAATGATATTAGTAATTTGGGGAACGATGAAGATGCTGAAAATTATGCTCCCCATAATACTAGTTGTTCATCTGATTCTTTGATACGAAGAGCATCTGGGTTAAACGATGATGAAAAATCATATATCGAAAAGAGGTGGGAAACCACCAATAAGAATTTGATTGATTTTCTTAATAATCGAGCCAATCTTTCTGATTTCAATGCTAGAGATTTCATTGATAATTATCAAGAAGCTCATAATATTACTATTGGTCTTGCCTTTAGTGGTGGTGGTTATAGAGCAATGTTGTGTGGAGCAGGTCAAATCTTGGGGCTTGATGATCGATACGATGATGCTAATTCCGATGGATTAGGAGGGGTTTTACAATCTGCTTCTTATCTTAGTGGTCTTCTGGGTGGTAATTGGCTTGTTGGTAGTTTAGTCTTGAATGACTGGATTTCAGTAGGTGACATTATTGATGGAGAGGCTAAAATTTGGGATTTGGAAGATACAATTTTTAATCCAAATGGTATTAATGTTTATAAAACTGCCAAGTATTACTACGAAGTTTATAATGCTATTAATGCTAAAGATGATGCCGGTTATGATGTAACAATTACTGATATTTGGGGTAAAGCCTTGTCTTATCAATTTTATACTTCGGATACTGATGGTGATAATGTTACTTGGTCGAGTATTCGTAATTTATCAAGTTTTAAAAATCATGAAATGCCTTATCCAATAGTTGTTGCTGATGGTAGAACGCCTGGTACTCAGATTATTAATGGAAATTCCACCGTTTTTGAAATCAGTCCTTATGAACTAGGTTCCTGGGATCCTTCATTACAAGCTTTTGTTGATACTCATTATGTGGGATCAGAATTATCAAATGGTGAGTCGAGTCAATGTGTTAGTAACTTTGATAATGCTGGTTTTATAATGGGTACTTCGTCCACTCTTTTCAATCAATTAGTTCTTCGTTTACCCAATATGGGATTAAGTTCAATTTTGAAAACTGTCATTCAAAAACTTTTAAATCTTGTTAGTTATGATGAAATTGATGTTGCAAATTATAAACCAAATCCTTTTTATAAAACTGAATGGGGTAACGACTCTATTACTTCAAATGATACCCTTTATTTGGTCGACGGTGGTGAAGATTCTCAAAATGTCCCATTTTATCCATTGATTCAAACCGATCGTGGTGTTGATGTTATATTTGCTTACGACAATTCCGCTGACCTTGATGATAATTGGCCAAATGGTACTTCCATTGTTCACACTTATCAAAGACAGTTTACTCAACAGGGTAATGGATCTCCTTTCCCTTATGTTCCAACCGCTGAATATTTTGTTGATAATGATTTAAATAAGAAACCAACTTTTTTCGGTTGTGATGCTAGTAATTTATCTGCGTTGGTTGAATATCATGATAAAAAAGGCCTTAATGAAACTGATATTCCTTTGGTGATTTATTTCCCAAACTCTGAATACTCTTATGAAGCTAATACTTCAACTTATAAGATGTCCTATGATGAAGATGAAAAACTCGGGCTTATTCAAAATGGATTTGAAGTTAGCACTAGAGATAACTCAACCGATTGGGCCAAATGTATCGGTTGTGCAATCATTAGAAGACAACAAGAACGTTTTAAATTACTGCAATCTGACGAATGCAAAGAATGCTTCAGCAAATACTGCTGGCAAGGTTCCATTGAAGAGACTGCTGATGATATTTATGGCTCAACTGAATCTCAAACTGACACCAGTCTTACTGCTCCCCGTACTTCATCTTCCTCAAACTCAGGATCTAGTAGTGGTGGTGGTAGTGGTGGTGGTAGTGGTGGTAGTGGTGGTAGTGGCAGCTCTTCTAATGGTGGTTCTTCTAGTGGCAGCTCTTCTGAAAGTAGTGGATCCAGTACCTCGTCTAGTAACAGAAGTAGCGATGGAGTCCAAACTGCTTCGGTTCATTGGTATATGGTTACATTGGTGCCATTAACCTGGGGAATTATTTGGTTCTTGTAGATACTTCTTTTCTTTTCCCTTCATTTTTACTTCTTTCGATAACACCTTCGCTTGAAATTTTCTGTTCTTTTCACTTCTAAGTATACCCTTTTAATTTCAGAAATCATTTTAGTACCAGTTTCAGAGCCTTGTAAGGTTATTAGTGTTTTTTTGCAACCCGGTGTATGGGTGTAATATTATGTACTGCATATATTTTTTTTTCTGTGAAGGCATCTCCATCGCATAATAAAAAAATTGTACCAGTGAAAAAAAGATCAAACTTTTGTTATAGCCTTTCAACATCGTCATTTACCAAAGTCTTTGAATAGTTGATAGTCAAGATGGTCAAGTCTTATGATCGTTATGAGCAAGAAGATAGCTTTGGTGTGATTTCAGCACAATCGAACATAGTTTGGCTTCCACCAGCTGCAAATCAATCACTGAAATCAATTGGTAGAGCACTTTCGTCCGGGTTAGAAGAGATTTTAGAATGGGATATTAAAACTGGTGAAGTTATGAATAGATTGAGAGATGGTTTAACGCCAGGTGCTTCGAATGCTCCAACAGCACTGGCTCCAGCATCTGTATCGTACTTATGTTATCACGAACAAACTAACATTGTAGCAGCTGGATATCAAGATGGGTCTATAAAAATTTGGGATTTGACATCAAGTTCAGTGATGGCAACATTTCAAGGTCATAAAAGTTCAATTTCTATTTTAAAATTTGATAATAGTGGTACAAGATTAGTATCTGGATCATCAGATTCTTCAATCATTTTATGGGATTTAGTGAGTGAAGAAGGTTTATTCAAATTGAAAGGTCATAAGGGACCAATCACTGGTTTATTATTTTTAGATGAAGATCCTGAATCTAAAGAAGTTGATGATTTAGAAGATTTCTTATTGAGTGTTTCTAAAGATGGATTAATTAAATTATGGGAATTGAAAACTAAACAATGTATAGAAACTCATTTAGCTCATTCCAATGAATGTTGGTCATTGGGAATTAATAAAACCCATGATTTAGTGATTACAAGTGGTAATAAAGACCAAGTTAAAGTATGGCAAGCTGACTTGAGTCAACCAGACGGTGAAAAAATCATCGAAAAGGGGTCATTTGAAAAACAAAGTAAATCCAGATGTACAAATATTGAATTTCAACAAGTGAAAGACTCAAATGGTTCTAATGAAATTTTTTCATTACAAAATAGTGATAGAACTGTCGAAATCTTCCGTGTTAGAACAATTGATGAAATAAAAAAGGGTATAACTAAGAGAACCAAAAGATTAAAAGAAAAAGGATATGAAGATGATGAAATCTTACAAAACATTAGAGATTCAGAAATAAGTATGATGATTACCCCATTCACCACAATTAGAACTACATCTAAGATTAAGTCAATTAATTTTGTTAATACCAAATCAAAGAAACAATTGGATATACTTATATCTTTAACTAATAATTCTATTGAGTATCATAATATTCCAATTCCTGAGCAAATAAGAAAAGCATCACCAGCCGAATTATATTCGGTTAAACAGCATTCCATAGACTTATTAGGACACAGAAATGATATAAGGACTATGGATATTTCTTCTGATAATAAATTATTAGCAACTGCATCAAATGGAGAATTAAAAATTTGGAATATCAAGACCAAAAATGTTATTAGATCATTCATATTAGAAAGTGGATATGCACTTTGTTGTAAATTTTTACCAGGAGGTACATTAGTTGTTGTTGGGTTTAAGAATGGGGATTTAGAACTTTACGATTTAGCGACTTCATCGATTGTTGATAAGATTGAAAAAGCCCATTCAAATAATAATAATGTTAATGATGAAAATGGATCAGCCATTTGGTCATTAGATATAACTCCAGATGGTAAAACATTAATAACTGGTAGTAATGATAAATCGGTTAAATTTTGGAATTTTAAACCAGAACAAGAATTAATACCAGGAACTAATTCATTCATTACTAAGTTAAAATTTATTCATCATCAAACATTAGAATTAGATGAAGAAATTTTATGTGTCAGAATATCACCAGATTCAAGATTATTAGCAATCTCATTATTGAATAATAATGTTCAAGTTGTATTTTTAGATACATTGAAATTATTTTTAACTCTTTATGGGCATAAATTACCAGTATTATCAATTGATATATCATTTGATTCTAAGTTAATTATAACATCATCTGCAGATAAAAATGTTAAGATTTGGGGGTTAGATTTTGGTGATTGTCATAAATCGATTTTCGGGCATCAAGATTCAATTATGAATGTTAAATTCATACCAGAAAGTCATAATTTTTTTTCATCTGGTAAAGACGGATTAATTAAATATTGGGATGGGGATAAATTTGAATGTATCCAAAAATTACCAGCACATCAACTGGAGGTATGGTGTTTAGCAATTAGTAGTGATGGATTATTCATGATATCAACATCTCATGATCATTCGATTAGATTATGGTCAGCAACTAATGATCAAGTATTCTTGGAAGAAGAACGAGAAAAAGAAATGGATGAGTTATATGAGAATGAGTTGTTAGATTCATTAGAAAATGAAGAAAAACCTAAAAAAGATGATGAAGATGAAGATGAAAGTGAAGAAGTCACCAAAGTCACCAAACAGACCATGGAAACATTGAAAGCTGGGGAAAAATTAATGGAAGCTCTTGATATAGGTATTGAAGATGTTGAATCAACTGAAGAATATATACAACATTTAAAACATTACCAACAGAAGAAGACTAATATTGCCCCAACCAAACCAACACCAAATTCTATTTTAATTGCATTTAATGTTAGTGGACAAGAATATGTTTTGAATACAATTACCAAAATCAAGTCATCTCAATTAGAAGATGCTCTTTTAGTATTACCGTTCTCCTACACATTGAAATTACTTAAATTTATTGAAATATGGACCAATAAAGATAATATCACTAGTAATATTGTTAATATTTCTTTAATATGCAAAATATTATTCTTTGTTATCAGAACCAATGCAAAAGAATTGATTCATCAAAAGGACCCTCATTTAAAGAACCAATTAATAAAAGTTAAACAACAATTAAGAGATGAATTAACCCAAGCTGCAAATCAATTAGGTTATAATACTCAAGGTTTAAAATTTACTAGACAACAATGGAAATTGAACCATGAAACTCAATTCATTGATCAAGCCGATCAAAAAGATTTCGATGACAAGAAAGCTCTCAAAAGAAGCTTCCCTACTGTTTAGTACATAAGTAAATAGACGACCATATAAAAGTACTTCGTGTAAAGAAAACACCCTGTAATCTCTTGACAGCTTAACGGTTTATCCTCCAATCAGGGTCTGTACACTGTCAAGCCAAACGGCTGAAAAACTCGTACCACTTCCCTTCGAGAGGCTTCTCCCAATAATGGTGTTACTTATCTCTACTCTTATCCCATTTCCTCCTCCGATAATACCCTGTTACATCAGTCTATGCCGTTTAACTATTCACTACGGTATGCCAAAGAATCACGCCCGTACATCACCGTTTTTTTTTCCCTGCTAATTTAGTTCCTCCCCCTCCTCCTCAATGGAAAATTTTTCTCCTCAGCTCCAGGGCAAGAGCCGGTGTTTCCATTAGAATTCCCATTACATGCCATTGGCTTATCGTCTACACTCCAGTGTATTTGTTTGTGTGTCTACTGTTGTGTTGGTGTGTCTAAAGGTTAATTTGTTTGCGTTTTTTATCGAAATATTCTAAAAAAAAAAAGTAGTCTGGCGGGTATCATTTTTTTTATTGATCTTTTTTTCTAAGTTTTCCTCTTTTTCCTACTTCTTCTTGTACTCCACCTATAGTTGAATCTTGAACTATAGCACCAAGCAGTGATCTTTAGCAAGTCACCGTTCTCCCCAATTGCTTACTGTGTGTGTGAGTTAGTGTTTGCTTGTGTGTTTGAAGGTTACTCGTGCTGCTGGGTAAGTTTATGTGTGTGCTGTTTGCTTAAATTAGACGCTTAATATCTATTTGACATTCTTCGTCGACCGCTAGCTAGGTTCTTGTCATATCGCGCCGGCTTGATATCTGGTTACATTATCTGGTGTCATATCTGATTTCATCTTTGGTTTCGTGTTTGATTTCATATCTGATTCTTACCGGCGACCTTTTTTTTTTTTATCTCTTTTTTACTGTTTTGTGTGGATCTCCAGTGTGGATCCCTGATAATCGTGTTCCTTGTTGGCTTACTACACAAGAGCTAGTACGAACTTTTTTCGAAAGACAATTCTTTCTTACCTTGCTAGAGTAAAACTGGCTTATCTTCAGCTTAAGTCTTTGGAAATTTCCTCGACCCTTTTAAGTTTTGCCTGTCTTTCTTTGTCCTTTTTTCTTTTTCTGTTTCAAAAGTTTTTTTTTTTTTGTTCCCCTTCATTTTTTGGTTGTCTCAGTAATCTGTTGCCTACTAAAAAAAAAAGAAGTTGCCGATTCTTCGGGTTTCCTCAAGTCATAGTCATATTGAAAATTTTGTATCCGTTTTCATCTTATTCATTTCATTATATTTGCCATGAATAATTTACAACAGCCCCAAAATATGGGGTCAACTTGGCATAGTATGTACTCTCCTCAGGATCGTCAAAAAGTTATTCAAATTGTCTTGAGCACCTTGAAAGATATTCAAGGTAATAATTACGACGCTCAAAAAGCTCAAACAATGGCTCAGGAATTTGAAAAATTCACTTTTATGAAGGCTCCCTCGAGAGATGAGTATTTACGATCAATAAAACAAAAGATCACCCAATTGAGAAGTGGCTCAATGAGAAATATGGCTGCGGCATCTGCTGCAGCTAATCCTAATAACATTGCCAATAATAATAATAACAATAACACTAATAACAATATAAACGCTCCGGCTAGAAATCCTACTGTTCCTAATAATACTGCTGGTATGGTTAATAATGTGGGCCCTCAAAATAATATGAATCATCAAAGCATGAATTTCTTACAACAACAAGCTCAAGCAAGGCAACAATCTGCTGCTCAAATTCAGGCTCAAATGAGAAATAATCAACAGCAACAGCAGCAACCCCCATCTCAACCTCAGCAACCTCCAACTCAACAGCCTCAACAACCTCAAGGATCGAACCAAGGTCCAAATCAAGGTTCAATGAATAATACTGGTTTACAGCAAAATTCTCAAATACAACAAATCATTAGCAATATGATCAAAAATGTTCCAATCCCTCAAGCATTATTATCAAAAATACCTAACCTACCCCCTAATTGTAATACCTGGACCCAAATTTTTGATTGTTTCCAGAAAAAAATTATTCCTCATTCTGCTATGCCGGTAATTAGAGATATTCATAATACCCATATGCAATTTGCATTACGGCAGCATCAACAACAAAGATTAAACCAATTTCAAAAAAATCAACAACCTCAACAATCTCAACAACAGGGGAATCAAAATACTCAACAGAATAACCAAAATAAATTGAACCTTCCTGCTGGTCTTCCTGCTAATTTCAATTTGAATAACTTAACTCCACAACAAAAACAACAATTATTACAAAGACAATTGCAACAACAACAGCAAAATAATAACAATAATGCTCTTCAAAATCAACAAAAAACTCAACCACAACCGGTACCGCAAAATGACCAAAATCAAATTCCTCCTCAATCTCAACAACCTCAACAACCTCAACAACCACAAAACCAGCAAGGTCTTCAAGGTCAACAGCAGGCTAGACCTGCAAATACTACCATAACCCCTGAAGATATTGTGAGGTATAGTTCTGATGCATTAACATTATTGGCAACGTTACAAAATAATGGTTCAATTCCAAGAGAATTAGATCAAAATCAAAAACAGAGCTTCATTCGTAAATATATTCATCATCAAAAACTTTCTTTATGGAAACAACAACAAAGAAATAACCTTAATATTCCACCTAATCAAGCAATTGCAACGAATAGTAACGATGCCGTTAATCAAGCACAAATTCAAAGAAGATTACAGGCGCAGGCCGAAGCTCAAGCTCAACAACAAAATCAACAAGGTCAACAAGGCCAGGCAAATCAAGGTCTGGCTTCCCAAATTCCAAGTGTGTCTCCGGCTACTGCATTTCAACCTCAACCACAACCTCAAGGTCAACCTGGTGTTAACGGTATTAATAACGTGCCTCCTCAACAGCTGCCTTTAATTAATAATATGCATATTCCAAATCAACAAATCATGAGACCTCAAGGCCAAATGAATAATCTTTCATCACCATTAATGCAACAAAGAGGATTGGCCCCTACCCCTGCTATGAATAATGCTAATCTTAATAATGCTAATGCGGCTTTCAATCCCAATGCCCCTAGTACATCTGTTCCTCCTACAAATCCTTCTGCACAAGCTGGGGGTACTAATCAACAACCTCCACAACCTCAAGGTATTCCTGGCGCAGGTGGTAGACCAAATACTACTGCAAATCCAATTAATAATATTTTACCACCTTTAAATGATGAGATGAAAGTGAGATTGCGTAAGTTATTTGAAGAAGTATCTAGAAATACTGTTCCATTGAGAGATGTAACGCTGTTATTATCTCCACAGGATAAGAAAGCCGTTGGTGAAACCTTGGCCAAAATAAGTCAACAGTATGCTAATGTGGATACTATTTTAAGTTATTTTTATGTTCTTACTAAAAATTTAGAAGGCACTAAAAGATTAATTCAAATGAAACATATGACTAGAAATATTGTTGATAATTTAAGAAGAGGGGTTTATTTAGCAGGTCCTGATTTACTTGAAAAATTAAGAACTCAATATCAAAAATATTTTGATTATGTTAAGGAACAAATTGCTATGAGAAGACAACTTCAACAACGTCAAGGTCAACAACGTCAAGGTGCTAATGGTGCTCCTGGTAGTCAACAATCACCACAATTTATGAATAATCAATTAAATGGTACAGTTCCAATGCCAAACCAAATATCACCACAATTGAGAAATGCTATGATTCCAGATCAAAATCAGAGAAATAATATGAGACCTCAAGCAAATTGGAATAACATGGGTAAACCAGTTATTGGACAACAAGCACCTCAAGCACCAATTCCAACCCAACCTCAAATGCAACAAGGTCAACTACCACAAGGTATTCAACCAACACCTAATTTACAACCAAGACTGAGACCTCAAAGTGGAGCATTTAATAGTAGTCCAATGATGCCGAATATGGCATCTCCTATGATGGCTAATACAGTTATGCCAAATGCACAACAACCAGCATTCCAACAAACACCTCAACAACAACCAGCTCCAACTCCATCTATGAAAGCTAAAGACTTGGCTGCAGCTCAAAAGAAATCTATCTCTGGTCCTGGATCTGGCAGGCGTAAAGGTTCCACCAAAGCTACTCAAGCTGCTCAGGCTGCTCAAGTTGCTGCTGCTAACATTTCAACTCCTGCTGCCGCTGTTGTTACTCCTGCTACTTTGGCTAATACTATTAAAACCCCTAATAGCATTCCAACCCCTCAAGTTCCTCAAACCCATAGTAATAAGAATACTCCAACTGGGCAATCACCTAATTATCCAAATAAACCAAGTAGTTCATCAAGTATTCTGGTTAATAAGGATGCTGCCGTTGGGGATATTTTTAATCACAGTGGGGCTGATTCAAAACTGGCAAGAAGAAGAGAGTTATCAAATTCTGATCCTGAGAAGTTCTTCTATGCTTCTTTAGCCAATCTATTAGAATTACCGGATCCAGAAGGGACAGCTAATAATAGTAAAGGAAGCAGTATTGATATGTTGAATACACCTATAAGTATTGGTTCAGTTGCTTCGACTACCTCAAATCAAGCTAATAGTACTACTACTGGTGGGACCACCGCTAATTCTTCTCCATTAGTCAATGGTAAATCTAATGCTAAATCTCCATTGTCTCCACATAATGTCAATAGTTCAAACCAATGGACTTGTGAGATTAGACCTGATGCTATAGTATCAGCATTTAGACAGGTTGATGGAATAAGAGAGTTAGCAGCCAATGATATAATATCCACATGCTCTCATTTGGCAGAACTTGAAAGCCAATCCAAATCACAGGTTCCTACTCGAGATGAAGGTAATGCTACTACCGGAAATCTTGAATCTCAAGGTATTAAACGTGAAAATGACCAAATGGAGGATTTCGATGATATTGAAGGCTTGTTTGATGAAAAGAAAATCAAACTTGATGACATTAGTCACAATCAATTTATGTTTGAGCCAGTTGCTTTTGATGATTGGAAACAGTTTGTTGTCACTAGTTTACAATAATAACTCTGTTTTAACTTTATTTTTTCTTCCGTATGTGCTTTAATTTCTTTCTTTCTTTCCTACTTTCTTTCTTTTCGCCGTTTTGAACTTTCAATGTGTTATATAACTCTACATGTATTTTTCTATTATTTCTTCTGTTAGTTTTAATTTTATAGCGTGGACTCACGAATATTATAGACTTTTTTTTGCAATTTACTTTTTTCATTTGTTTCGCTGGATTTGATTGTACTTCATTGCCTTGTAGTTTTATAATAGGTGTTAAAATTAAGTAAATTTGATGTTTTGTATGTATTCGTGAAACCATTTGTAAGGTTTTTTCGAAATTCATGAGAAAAATCGAAAAAAACCCAAAATTTCAAGATTAATGGCTTTTTCTTCATTAACTACAAAAGAATAGCGTCGATGGCACCATTATTCAAACCTGAAGACAAACAGCTCTCCGTGGCGTTTGTTTGCCTTGGGAACATGTATGTTACATAATGAGGAGTGAGTGTGATTCAGTATATTAACAATATTGCAGATGTCGTTCTCCAATGGCAGAAGCCGTTTTCAAACACAAGGTAAAAGAATTAGGATACTCAGACTATTTCAAGCTCATTGACTCGTATGGGACCATTGGATTTCATTCTGGTGACTCACCAGATTCAAGATCTGCAAGAACATGCCGTAAACATGGAGTTCCCGTTAATCATAGATCGCAGAAGATCAGTCCCAAAGATTTTACAAAATTCGACTATGTGATTGGAATGGATGAATCCAACTTATCTGATTTACATTATATGAAACCAAGAGACAGCAAGACACAAGTTTCGATATTCGGCAAGTGGAGAACTGATAAAAGTTTTGAAAAAGTTGTTGCTGATCCATATTACGGAGGAACAGACGGATTTGAGTATAACTTCAGACAAGTTAGTCATTTCAGTGAAGAGTTCCTCAAGCAGGAAATTGGGGAATTGGATTAGTTTATATGTTTGCACAAATAGAATCAACTATTAGATATTTACAATTAGAAAACATATTTGTTGTGAGATTCAAAGACTAGCGTAGACCTCGACTGGCTCCCTGCTATTCTGAAACCACTGGAACTAGAGAACACAATCGGTTTTGATAAATTTGCCAACTTGGTGATATTGCTGCCAACTTGGTGACATCTCTGACAACTTGGTGACCAGCTGGGAGACATTTTCAGTGTTAATTTCTTATTTTCACTGTCACCCGTATTTGTAACCACTGTAGCAGTCCCCTGAGCCCAACCAACTTCATATTCAGGCAAGATACTCCTGCTTTCACCGGCTCTTGCTTTTTGCAATAATTCATCTGGTTGTTGCAAATGAATTGACGGTACGGGCCTTTCCCTCGAGGTTCCATCCATATGGGTAATTGTGAGAACGGCAAGTGGTGGTCCCTTTGTGTAAATGTGGGCACGGGAAAATATGGAGAGAGCCTTAAAGAAAAAAAAAGACAAGGAAGCGTAGTAAAACCGACGGTAAGAGAGAATCTTGCAACAATAACTTGAACTTGAAAGTTAGTGGAATACATGCACGATATATAACAATTGACTGAGGGATGAGTGCCAGAAAACTACAACAAGAGTTTGACAAGACCAACAAGAAGATTGCCGAAGGGTTATCGGTGTTTGATGATATTTATGATAAGTTAATGACTACTGAAATAAGTAGTCAGAAGGAGAAATTAGAGAGTGATTTGAAGAAAGAAATAAAGAAGTTACAAAGATCAAGGGATCAATTAAAACAGTGGTTGGGAGATGGAAGTATTAAATTAGATAAAAATTTATTACAAGAAAATCGTACTAAGATTGAACATGCCATGGATCAATTTAAAGATTTAGAAAAACTGCTGAAAATCAAGCAATTTTCGAATGAAGGGTTAGAATTACAGAATCAAAAGAAGTTCCATCGATTTTCTGATGATCCAGCAGATGCTAAGAAAATTGAAGCTTATAATTATATAAGTGATATAATTGATCAAATTAATCAACAGAATGAAGGATTAGAACAAGAAATTTCTCAATTAAGTTCACAACTGAGAAGATCCAAGCTGTCAAGTATTTTGCAGCTGTCAATTGAAGATTGTAAATATAAACAAGAACGTAATGGAAATCATTTGACTCAATTAGAGAAGATATTAAGAAACTTTGAAAATGGTAAATTAGATCCAGAAAGAATTGAAGATATTAAAGATGATTTGGAATATTATGTTGAAAATAACCAAGATGAAGATTATGTTGAATATGATGATTTTTATGATCAACTCGAAATGGATGATGAAAATGGCGAATTTGAAGAAGGTCACGGAGTTTTAATGGGTGATTTGGATCAAACTAAACCAGAAAGTGATGAAGATCAAAAGAGTACCTCTTACCCAACTGCTCCTTCACCATCCAACGAAAACACGCCATCACAGCCTCAACAACAACAACAACAGCAACCCCAACCTCAACCCCAACCTCAACCACAACCTCAACAACCCCAATCGCAAAGTCATACTCCTATCATAAGCAAGAAGAAGGCCGGTGTAGTGCCTGCCACCAACCCACCACCAATCACCAATGCCAATTCATATTCTAATGTGGTGAAGGCCGCTACTACAAATGGGAATACCTTACCCTCAGTGGCAGCTTCAGCCACTGCAGCCGCCACTGCAGCAACAGCACCAGCCAGTCGTAACGCAAGTGGGAAAGTACCACCGCCGGGTCTCAATAATAAACTGACTACAGCATCACCACAAGCTGCAAGTAGCAAATTAAATTCTCAGTCACCAATAACTTCAAATGGAGGAGAAAGCGAAAAGAAATTATCAACCAAATCACAATCAGAATCGCCAATAATGCTGAATGAAAACAAGACGTTTTGGGATACCATTCCCAGATTATCGACTATTCCACAACTGCGTCTTAATAATCCATTACCATTTCAAAATATAAGTTCTATGCTAGAAAATTCCTTATTAAATTGTCCTGATTCCTTTGATGCAGAAAAACCAAGACAATATAACCCAACCAACGTTCATCCAAGCTCAGTTGATTATCCTCAAGAACCAATGTATGAATTAAATCTGAGTCATATAATGAAAAAATTCGATAACGATACTTTATTTTACTGTTTCTATTACAGTGAAGGTATATATAATTTATCCAAATGGAATGCAGCCAAAGAGTTAAGTAAAAGAGGTTGGATATGGAATACTGAAACAAAACAGTGGTTTGCTAAAGATCAAAAGAATTCTAAATCAAGATCAATGTCCGTCATACAAAAGGAAGATACTCCTGATGATAATCATCACTCTGATCATCATACCGAAGATGAACAAGATGAATTAAAAGAACAAAACTATAAATACTTTGATTACGAGCGTACTTGGTTAATCAGACGTAAAGATAACTTTGTCTTTGTACCTGAAACCAGACAAACATTCTAAGTATCTAAATATATATATGTAAATTTACTCGAGTATTTAAACGAAGTTCCTGGGCTCAACAATAAGACGGCTTACTTGTGGTTTTTGTATCAGTGCATCTTCAAATAGTTTCATCGTCAACTCTGAAACCAGTCCCATGTTTCATTCTGATATTCTTCACCTTCATCTTCTTAATCATCGAATGATGAAGCGTATTATGTTAGAATTGTACTTTCCATCCCTTCACACCAGTGGATTCTACAGTACCCCTACAATGTCCCCTACAATGGCCCCTACAATAACACTAAGTGTCACCTCCAGCGACACAACCAACCACACCCACAGCTCGCTGTTAGTAACGGCCACAAGTTGTTAATGTTGGTGATGGTCCTGGTTTTGTTAGCAAGTCCAGACTCTTCCAATTTTTTTTTTTTTTTTTTTTGTTTTTGGTGTATTTGAACTAAAACTCGTTAAGCATTTTTGTTACTTCAAAACACTTAAATCAGTGTATTCGCCTATCTAGTTTCCAACTACTTGGTTTTTCCTTCTATCTACTACAAATTAACATAGGCAGTTATAGATTCATATAGTTGAAGCGCTAGATTAACATTTGAAATCGCATTTTGTCTCTAATTGGTATCCTTTTGTTTTTTCACCCCTATTGTTCACACTGCCATTTTTTTCTTTTTGATTTTATTAGATTTGGACCTATAATCCTTTAGAAGAAGGCAATTACACCCTTTAATGTCAAGATAAGTGCTTTAGAGCTCACATTAACGAATTTTCTTTCATTTCTTTTACTTGGTTAACTATATTTCATTTTTTGGTTCTTTGAATATTTGCAAAACTTTTTTTTTTTTTTTTTTTTTTTCTTTATTGATTTTTTTTTACGATTGTATTATAACTATTCCAATGTCTTTAAGCTATGAAGAGTTTAAAGATGCTACTCGGGTGTTCGCTCGAAGTGAAGCTACCGATTCTAGTGGGTGTGTGATTTGTACTGATCCAGATACTACGTGTCCTAAATGTAAGGATGATGAGGAGTGTGTTCAGCTATCACAAACTTGTGATGCATGTCCAAGATCAGTTTGTCAGAAGAAAGATGGGGAGAGTTCAAGCAAGTCTACTCCGGTTGGAGGAATCGTTGGAGGGGTGATTGGTGGTTTGGCTGTATTGGGGTTGATTGGTGGGTTTTTATACTACCGATATGTCTATAGAAAGAAACACCCAGTGTCTTTGGATGATGAAGATATGGCGATGAGTGAATATGACTATGACTATGACTACGATTATGATGATACTTCTAGTGGTAAGCAGATGCACCATTACGAACAAAAGCTTGACGAACATATGTCTCCTAATCAAAATGGGACTGATACTACTTCCACAGCAGGTGGAGGAAGCGCAGGAGGAGTTGGTGGTGCTGCCGGGGCAGTAGGTGGTGTTGGTGGTGTTGCAGGCAGTGGTGTTGCTAATGGTAATAATGAATCAGGAGATTTGGAAAAACAGATACCCGCTCAACAAGTAAATCAACAGACATTCAATCAACAACAGCGTCGTCCACCAGCGTCTAGATCTGCACAAGCAGCTGCTCGTCGTAATAGATCCAATCGTAGATTGTCAAGTTATGAATCATTTACTCGTCCAAAAGTTAAATACGAAACCAGAGACCGCCGTTATAATAATTCGGTCAGAGGTCACCGAGGAGGTAGAAGAGGCGGTAGAGGAGGTGGAGCAAGAGGAATGAGTACCAATCAACCAAATGTGAGTAATGTTTATTTGGATCCACAATCCAATAACAGAAATTCGGTTGCAACCTCAATTTCCACAACCAATGCATCAAACATTCTACCAATTGCTTATATTCCAGGGGTCACCGTGCGTCCAACCAGAAATAACACCAGATCAGTCTATTCATATGAAACCGAATCGATATTTAGTGATTTGAATACAATTGAAAACGCCTCGATCATCGGTGATGTGATGAGGGCCAATAATCATAATCCTAACGACCAAAATAATAATAATAATTCCAATGCAGAGGAACAAAATAAACCCAAGGACTCGACCATGACTGCCATAAAGGCCCAACCAAGATTGGTCAACGTTGATCGTATTGAAGAAGAAGAAGAAGAAGAAGAAGAGGAAGAGGAAGATGAAGATACCGATAATGACGAAGAAAGTTATACTAAATCTAGTAACGATTTAGAGTCTCGCAATACAAATAATGATACATTGATCAATACCAGTCACGAGGGCTCCCGTATTGATTTGAAACTAAACATCCAGAACGTCGATGGGGATCAAACATTACCTGAAGAGGATGAAAGTGACGATAGTGATGTGGACTCTGACATTGGTGAGATTACTCGTGCCACCAGTGTACGCAGAAACAATACCATCACTACCAACAACTCCAATACCAAGAATAACGTGTCTGACCGGAGATTGGTTATCAACAACGACGACGATGCGTTTGTCAAGCCCCTGATACCCAGAAATGACGACGACAACAGTTTACAAGGATCAAATAACGGATCATTCATCTTGGACGTTGAAATCGACAATAAAGATGAAAAAAAAAGACCCCAGAGTGATGACAGCGGTGAAAAGAGCCCGTTTGACGATCCTGAATAATCATCTAACTAAAAAATACATTCATAACTTAAAACCCAGTGTAGAAATGGTTGCAACAAGGTTTCCTTTGTCTTTCGGACTTGTAGCTCGCTCCGACTAATGATTGGTCCACGATCAAACTGAAAAAAAAGAGGGAATGATCGGTATAATTATTGGTCAAATACAACAATACCCTACCTAATATGGAGAGCTTACCGGGACTTCGAAGAAAGCCAACAGGCAATTGTCTGGTAGATTACTTACAAGGGTGTATTCCAATATGCCCAATGACCGTAATGCACGTGATACCAAATCTTACTTTCTATTGCAAAAAAACGATTGGGTATACTTAGCCAGATACAAGTGAATAGGATACCCCGGATAACGCCAATTGCAATCAGACCCACTGGATCATCGAACGAATCAAATCAATCGGCCAGATTGAAGATTAGTAAGACAATCAAAATGTTGAACGAATAAATTTTTTTTTTCGTTCACAAAAAATTCAATTCCCAAAAATTGAAAAATTCCATTTCCTCGTTTTCGAATTCGTTGGAAATTGTATTTAGGAGGTTAGATTTCCTTTTTGAAAGCTCAATTGAAAAGGGAAAAATTCTAGTACTTATCAATTGAATCACTACAGAAACCAGTAAGTATGTCTGAACTTGAACAAAAAGCCATTAACACCATTAGATTATTAGCAGTTGATGCTGTTGCTGCTGCTAATTCTGGACATCCAGGGGCACCATTAGGGATGGCACCAGCTGCTCATGCTGTTTGGCAAACCATGAAATTTAATCCAAAGAATCCAAAATGGATTAATAGAGATAGATTTGTTTTATCAAATGGTCATGCTTGTGCTTTACTTTATTCATTATTAGTTTTATATGGATACGATTTAAGTATTGAAGATTTAAAACAATTCAGACAATTGGGTTCTAAAACTCCAGGTCACCCAGAAGCTTTAGATGTTCCAGGCGTTGAAGTTACCACTGGTCCTTTAGGTCAAGGTATTTCCAATGCTGTTGGTATTGCTTTAGCTCAAAAACAATTTGCTGCTACTTACAACAAACCAGATTTCCAAATTTCTGATTCTAACATTTTTGTTTTCTTGGGTGATGGTTGTTTACAAGAAGGTGTTGCTTCTGAAGCATCTTCTTTAGCTGGTCACTTAAAATTGAACAATATCATTGCCTTTTGGGATGATAATCATATTTCAATTGATGGTAACACCAATGTTGCTTTCACTGAAGATGTTTTAGGTAGATATAAAGCTTATGGTTGGAATATTTTAGAGGTTGAAAATGGTAATACTGATGTTGATGGTATCACTAAAGCCATTGAAGCTGCTAAGAAATCCGATTTACCAACTATTATCAGATTACCAACCACCATTGGATTTGGTTCTTTAGCTGAAGGTACCCATGGTGTTCATGGTGCTCCATTAAAAGCTGATGATATTAAACAATTGAAAACCAAATTTGGTTTCAACCCAGAAGAATCTTTTGTTATTCCAAAAGAAGTTACCGAATTATATAACAAACACGTTTCTGAAAACCAACAAGTTGAAAATGATTGGAATAAATTATTTGCTGCTTATAAAGAAAAATACCCAACTGAAGGTGCTGAAGTTGAACGTCGTTTAAGTGGTAAATTACCAGAAGGTTGGGAAAAATCATTACCAGTTTATACTCCAAATGATAAACCAGTTGCTACTAGAAAATTATCAGAAATTGTTTTATCCAATGTTGTTCCAGTTGTTCCAGAAATCATTGGTGGTTCTGCTGATTTAACTGGTTCTAATTTAACTAGAACTACTGATATGGTTGATTTCCAACATCCTGATACTAAATTAGGTGACTATTCTGGTCGTTATATCAGATACGGTGTTAGAGAACATGGTATGGGTGCTATCATGAATGGTATTGCTGCCTTTGGTGCTAACTACAAAAATTATGGTGGTACCTTCTTAAATTTTGTTTCTTATGCTGCTGGTGCCGTTAGATTAAGTGCTTTATCTCATCATCCAGTTACTTGGGTTGCTACTCATGATTCAATTGGTTTAGGTGAAGATGGTCCAACTCATCAACCTATTGAAACTTTAGCTCATTTAAGAGCCATTCCAAACTTGTCAGTTTGGAGACCAGCTGATGGTAATGAAACTTCTGCTGCTTATAAGAGTGCTATTGAATCAACTTCCACTCCTCATGTTATTGCTTTAACTAGACAAAACTTACCACAATTGGAAGGTTCTTCAATTGAAGTTGCTTCTAAAGGTGGTTATACTTTAATTAAACAAGATAAACCTGATGTTATCATTGCTGCTTCTGGTTCCGAAGTTGCAATTGCCGTTGATGCTTCTAAAAAATTAAGCGAAGAAGGAATTAAAGCTAACGTTGTTTCTATTCCAGATTTCTTAACTTTTGATAAACAAGATCAAAGTTATCAATTATCAGTTTTACCAGACGGTGTTCCAATTTTATCAGTTGAAGTTATGTCAACTTTCGGATGGTCTAAATACTCTCATGAACAATTTGGATTAAACAGATTTGGTGCCTCCGGTAAAGGACCAGCTATTTACGAATACTTTGGTTTCACTCCAGAAGGAGTTGCTGATAAAGCTGCTAAGACTGTTCAATTTTACAAAGGTAAAGATGTTTTATCTCCATTGAATAAAGCTTTTTAAAGTAGTTTAGAGAATTAAATATTTTAGATTATTAGAATATATATTTAAATTTTTAGAATAAATGTTTAGATTACTAGAATAAATATTTTATTAGAATAAATATTTTATTAGAATGAATAGATTATTAGAATGTTTAGATTATTGTATTGTACTAAAAGATAGCAATTTTTTTTTCTTTTTTTCTACAATTAAAGTTAAAGTATCAAATTTCATTTATTCAAAGACAATCATATTTCATTATAAACTTATTTAGAGGTGTCAACAACGTATCTACCCAAAATTTTACCTTGTTCCATTAATTCGTAAATGTGAGGTAATTCAGAAAGACCAACAACTTTAATTGGACATTTAATCAAACCTCTAGAGAAAAAGTCAATAGCTTCAGCAGAATCGGCTCTGTTACCAACATAAGAACCTCTAATAGAAACCGACTTGACAACAGCATCAAAGACTGGAGCTTCAATTTTAGCACCAGCAGGTAAACCAACCAAAACAACGGTACCAGTAGATCTAACGTAAGCAACTGATTGAGACATGGCACGAGCAGAAACCGAAACGTTAATAACCCCATGTGGACCACCGTTAGTAGCAGCTTGAACATCTTTAACGATATCCTTTGATTGGGTGAAATCAACATAGACTTCGGCACCAAGAGACTTGGTGAATTCACCCTTTTCGGCACCACCATCAATGGCCAAAACACGGTAACCCATTGCTTTAGCGTATTGAATGGCCAAAGAACCTAAACCACCACCAGCACCAGAAACAGCAACCCATTCCCCGGCTTTCAATTGAGCAGTCTTCAAGGCCTTGTAAACCGTGATACCAGCACACAAGATAGGAGCAGCTTGGGCCAAGTCGGTACCTTTTGGAATTCTAGCAGCCTGGACCGCATCGGCAGTAGCGTATTCTTGGAAAGAACCGTCATGGGTATAACCAGATAAATCAGCTTCTGGACAATTGGATTCATTTGATTTTTGACAGTATTCACAAGACATACAAGAACCATTCAACCATTTGATACCGGCCAAATCACCCAATTTCCAACCTTTAACATTTTCCCCAAGACCAACAACAACACCAGCACCTTCATGACCACCAACCAAAGGTAATTTGGTATCCAATGGCCAATCCCCTTTCCAGGCATGTAAATCAGTATGACAAACACCAGAGTATTTAACGTTAATCAAGATTTCATTAGACTTAGGAGTTGGAACAGCAATATCCTTATATTGCAATTCACCACCGTTTTTTTCAAAAATAACTGCTTTTTGGGTTTTTGGAACTGACATTTTTAGATTAGAGTGTTGAGTATAATAGTATTGAGAATAGTATTATAGAATAGAGAAAGAGAAATACCCTTTGGTCAAAGAGAATTCCCCCAGCTATTTATACAGCAATCCCCCCATCAGTGCTAGGCGGGGGGTTCCATTGATAGATAGCAGTATATCGGACTGGTTAAGCTCTTCACGGTTTTTCAGCTTCGCTATTTGGACTTGATGGTGGGGCCAAACCAGATCAGTGAGGGGCGGCCCTTTGCTAACAAAACAAAAAAAAAAAAAGGGTGAAAAATGAGAAAAATCAGGCCAAAAATCACCTGTTGGACGCTTGTTTCATGCTCAAGGAGACCGACAACACCTGATCATCGCTGCTGGCACCGTGGCAGACTGTGGTGGATGTATGGCAGAGCAGCTGGAGGGAAGAGCCGTTGAATCGAAGAGACGTATGGGTGGTATCAGGACGGGGATCGACGCTACGGGCTTTTGTTTGGAGGGGGAGGACTAAACTCCTTCGCAGAGCTATACTCCGAAGCCTATACTCCGAAACATGGAGAATCTAGAGTCCGATACTGTGGGGACACTAGACACTGACGGATGGTGATGAAGGTATGAGCTAATGAAGGTATGAGATAATGAAGGTATGAGATAATGAAGGGAAGGAGATAATGAAGGTAAGGAGGTGACGGGGTATGGGTTGTTGGGGAGCTGGGTGTTGGGAGCTGGGTCAAGGGAAATTACAAGAGGAACGTACAAGTATTTATACAAAGATAGAATAACTACCATGGTATTAATAATATATATTTTTGGGTTCCCAATGATCATTTTGAATAAAGTCAATTAGAGTTCTGGAACCGGTTTGCAACAAAGGATGGCCACTGACAATCACTAAGAATTTTTCCAAACCCTGTCTTCTTTTCTCGATATTTAAATCGTTGAACTTGTTTGAATTTAGTAAGATTTTACCCGGTAAGGAAGGTATTATTACTCTGGTTGTTTCTTGTTCTAATATTTTTTTGAAATTGACAAAGTCTCTATATCTTCTTCTTACTCGGCTATTTCGTTTTTTGAATGCCGGTATATTGGTCTAGCTATTAGTATCGGGGACGAAGGTTTTAGGTGAACATTTCAATACGTACGCGGCAGACGATTTCGTAGTCAGTATACAATTCTTTCCCCATATGGGTTTGAGGATTTCTCACCTATCACGTTAGTAAGTAATCACTTTTATAAATATGATGCTAGACATACCTCGATTTCGAGAAAGTTTTCTGGCTCGCCGTAGATTTCGTTGAAACTCTGGTGGGCGTGTCGGGTGCCCGACGTGTTGATCACATCACTTATAGGCTGGAAAGGTTTAGACATGTTGCTTGCTGGGCAATCAGTGATATGCTTTGGTTCCTTGGGGCCCTTTTTATAGTTGATAAGTGACGAGGTGCTCCTTTACTAGAGAAGAAAAATGGGTAGGTGCACGTCGCCCCAACTAAGACCCTAACGATTACAGGGTGTTAACTAATACTACAATAACGGAGTATTTACTATTGAATGTATTAAATATATTAAGTGTTTATTTATTGGATGAATGTTTTATTGAATGAATGTTTTATTGAATGAATGTTTATTTATTGAATGTTTTTGTGGTAATCGTAAGTCGTATGAGGATGTAGATATTAGATATAAGATTTGTTGATTTTTGGAACGTGATGGCTCTTGTTGGATAAACCAGCAGCAAGATGAGGCCATCCTAAGAACAAACCTAAACCAGAGGCCCAGACGGCCAATGCAGGTAATCTTTTAGCGTATAAAGAACGGAAAGAAGTTCTGGCAAGATGAGTAGCAGGCATTTTGTATTTGTATTTGTAGTGAATATATAAGCGAGTTGATGATCTTGATGACAGGAGAAGATGGCTAAACGAGGATCCCATCCCAGTTTATATACTAATCCAGTGTAGAATAGTAACCTGATTGTTGCAAAATAGTGGTGTTACTTTTACACCCAAGTGGTGCGATAAAAAAAGTAACACCACTTTATCGTCCCTCCGTACCTCCAAGGTCATCCCTCGTCTGATTATTGATGAGTACTATTACCAGATTAACTTAGCTGAGTTACCAGATGAACCGAATGACAGATGAGTACTACCAGATTAACTAAATGACAGATGAGTGGATTACTACATGTTTACAATGAAATTATCATACCCGTTAATTAATTACTTACTCGATTTTTTTATCCAAATATTCTTGTTGCAAGTCAAAAGTATTACTTCTGACATCACCGTCTTGTAAAACAGCCACTCTCATGGAAGATAATAAATTATGAGCAGCGTTTGAGTGAGCATAGACTGCCCCGTTGAAGGCCTTGGTGGCGTCTTTACCAATACTGGCTCTAACCAAGGCTTGACCACCCGGATGTTCTTTAATGAACTTAGAAACATTATGGATGATCCCGGCAATGATCAATAACCCTTCCTTTTTAGCTCTGGTATTGAATTCTTCGCGATCCCACACTGGTAATTCAGAAACTTGGGATCCCCAGTTCAATTTAGCCTTCATACGGTCCAATTTCTTCTGTTCTTGTTGAATAAGACCCTGTTCAATTGCGTTTTGACTGAAAGTTTTCAAATTCCAGGCCAAACCAATTTTGGATAAGAACCAAATGGTGATTTTGGTTGGATCGTATTGGTACCATTTCAAAGCATTTCTGTAGTCAGAAGGAAATTCATGATGGAAATTATGATAACCTTCCCCGAAAGTAACAAACGCAGTGACGGCGTGATCTCTAGGGGTTCTGCGATCGTCAAAAGGTTGAATCCCAATCCAGTGGGCTAAAGAATTAACACAAAAGGTGGCTTGTTGAATAACAAAGGTTTTCAAAATCCCTCCGTAGATAAACCCCCCCCAGTAATCCCCCCAACCTAAACCGGCAATCAAAGTAGGTAAAACAAGAGCCATGAAGACCATCAAGGTTAAATAATGACGATGTTGGAAGTTAACCACCCAATCACTAGTCAAATCACTGATATCGGCTCTGGCACGGTTCTTAGGATTAGGGATACTCAACATCCATCCCATATGACTGTACCAGAACCCTTGCCTGGCATCATAAGGATCTCTGGGAGTATCGGTGTAACGATGATGAACACGATGAGAATGCCCCCACCATTTGATTGAACCTTCTACTGCACCAGCACCAAATAAAGCGAAAAATAACCGGACTGGTAATGCTGCATCATAAGATTTATGAGCGTATAAACGATGGTAACCAGCAGTGATGGAAATCCCACTGAAAACGTATAAAACCAATCCTAAAAGAGTGGTTTTCCACAGAGGAGGATATCTAATTGCACTGACAAAACCATACACTGGAATAACCACAACCAATATCATATTAAGCCAATTAATATGTTGGTACCAATTAGATAAAGTCCATGGTTTTTCACTAATATGTTGAATCTTCAGGTACTTTTGTTTATCCAATTCATCTTTTTCCGCCAAAGTCATCGATTTGGCATTCTTAGTATCCATGGCTTTAACCGAGTCATCTGCAATCTGTTCAGCAGTAACATTGACTAATCCTTTGGTACCCATTAACTTACCCCCAAGACCAGCAGCAACAACTCTGGGAGTCCGTTTATTGGTACCGGCTGCCAAAGCATTAAGCTTGGTAATATCAACCACTTCCAAGTTATCCGACATGTTGGTTAATGAGCAAGAAACAAGGGAGAATTGGCAAATATCAGTATATATATAAAATTACTAAAACGAACAAAAAAAAATTAACAAAAAAAAAAAAAACTAACAAAAAAAAAAAAAAAAATTCGCTAAAAAAGAAACGCTGGGCCCAAAAAAAAATATATCACTGGAAACTGCTGGAAACAAGGTACCAGCCAACAATAAATACAATGCAAAGAATATGGCACTACAATTACAAGCAGGAGCGTGTCATGAAATGGCCCCACCAGCTAGAGCAGCTAACGTTTTCACTTGACAAGTACCAATAAAACGGTTGAAACCTTGTCTGATGGCCCTGGTTTTTGTTGGGTAGCGCTTGCTGTGTGCAGGCGATCCCAAAAGTTGGATCTGGTGTCCGGGTGCATGCGCTATCTATTGTCTACTTGCTACATCATGTAACGGAAGTGATGTAGAATTGTTGGACGGAATGCCGAGGTATGGGCCCACTAAGCCCGGGTGTACGGGGGTGGACCCTGGATAGGAGTTGCTACTCCCTGAGGCAAACTGCAAAAGGCAAACTGCAAACTGCAAAAGGCAAACTGCAAAGGTTAAAAAGGAAACTGCAAATGGCAAACTGCAAATGGCAAATGGCAAACTGCAAAAGACAAAAAGTAAACTGCAAGTGTCACGTGCACGCCACCCGGGGGACGGAGGTACGGATTGTTTCCTTGATCATCCGATAAACATTGCTAGCCCTCCAAAGTCCTGAAATAACCCCAGGGCAAGTTTATTACACAAGCAAATTAATCCATAGTTATCAGGTCACTTTGGATTTACATCATTTCACGTCAATCATCTTTGATTTACTGGATTGAAGTACATATTAAGCCTTTATTGTTGTTTCTCCACCTTTTAGTTTTTTTTTTTCAGATTAATTTTTAGTCCGATTAATTTTTCTGCTGAATTAACTAGCTATCTGGTATAACTAGGTATTGGTAGTATAATGAACACTCCCACCAATTCAAATAACAACTTCCAAAGGACTCCCGCCAGTCCAAGCTTGCACCATCACCATTCCCATTCGAATCACCTATCACATCCCTCTCGTAAGCCATCAGTGGTTGAGTTATTAAGTTCACCTCCACCATTACCCCAAACACCTGATTTAGCCATCAACGATGAATTGAACTCATTTAGTTTATCAAGAAACACCTCCATCAGTTCCAGAGCTTCATCGCAGATTCAGCTGAGTGATTGGAATGAAATACCATTAAGCGAATTGGCCGAACAATCAAAATTAATATCAATTAATTCAAGTTACTCAATACAAAAAGCTTTTGAAACATTGGTCAATCATGATTTAACCTCAATTCCGGTTTCCTTGAGTACTTCCAATCTGAAGGATTTATCTAATTGCTTAACTTTTGATTTTAGTGATTTAAACACTTATCTTTTATTAATCATGAATAAAATTAATATTAATGATTTACCAATTACTGAAATTGGCGATAAAAATTGGTCATTAAATGAAAAAAGAGACTTTTTCATGAAGATTATTAATAAGGCTAAACGGGGGGAAGAAGTGCCCGTTGATTTTATTGTTAAATTACATCCAAAAAATCCTTTTTTACAATTTAATTCAAATCAACCTTTGTTAAAAGCAATGGAAGCTTTAGGTAATGGCACTCATCGGGTGGCCATCACCAACAATACAAATCAAATCATTGGGGTCTTATCCCAAAGAAGATTAATCAAATACATGTGGGAAAATGCCCGTAGATTTCCTTCCTTGGAGTATTACTTGAACTCAACTTTACAAGATTTGAAAATCGGCTCAACTAATCCTTTCACCATCTATGAAGATCAACCTTTAATCGATGCATTATTGAAAATGTTCAATGAACGGGTAAGTTCATTGGCGGTTATTGATCGTAAACATTTATTAATTGGTAACATTTCAATCGTGGATGTGAAAAACGTGAGCTCCACTAAAAACTCCCACTTATTATTTAAATCAGTTTTAAATTTCATCAGCTATAACTTATCCCAAAAGGGTATTGAAGAAGGTCAAGACCAATTCCCTATTTTCCATGTTAATAACCAACTGAGCTTGGGCAGAGTCATTGCTAAATTAGTAGCCACTCAATCCCATCGTTTGTGGATTGTGGATTCAAGACCTTCAATTAATCATAATTCAGTTAGTAGTAACTCTTCAAATAATTCCGGTCCGATCGAATCAGCTCTTTCTCCCCAACCTTCTGAATCGGATTTATTGAATTTAGAACCAAGTGGTCGTCCCGGTAAACTAATCGGCGTGGTTACTCTAACCGATATCTTGGGTCTTTTTGCTCAACTGAAGTTGAATCATAAAAAAATTGACCCCCAATTTGCTAGAAATCAAAGACGTAGATCTTCAACTTCAACTACAAGATCTTCTCTAGATGGTTTACCTCCAGCAGTCCCAAACTCTCCCAATGATAATGGTGACCTCTTCAGAAAATCGTACACTGCAAATAAAGGCGATAACGTTTTCTCCAAAAACTAACTTGTTTATTTATTTTATTAAAAAAGAAAATACATCTATATATAATTATAATTAATTTGTAGTTGCAGCTTGGTCGATATACGTTTTGTCAATCATGACAAGGGCTGGAGCCCTACTCTGGCACGTGCACACAGCACGACAATGCGCCCGCTCACGTGCGTGAGCCCACCGGCAGTTTTTTGCTCTGCGTTCTTTATCTATAGTAGTTGTAACGCACCCCCTCTTCGCACACACTGGAAAACTTTGACTGAGAGAAGGAAAATTTTTTTGGCGGTACTTATTAACACTGCTTCTTTCCTTCCCTTTTTTTTTTTTCCTTCTTCTTTTTCTTCTTCATCTAAGAACTTCATTAAAAATGGGTAAAGAAAAACAACACGTTAACTTAGTCGTTATTGGTCACGTCGATTCCGGTAAATCTACTACCACCGGTCACTTAATTTACAAGTG